CCTCTTACCACTCCATGTTTCACCCGCAGGGTCGATAGGCTCAATGCTCATGATAAAACTCCATTCATTAGCTAGCTTGAAATAAGTGTGTCATTAGTTTGCATTACAATTACAACAGTCACTCTTCCTAGATCCAGCTTGATTTAACCAAGCTATATATATTCTTGGGAGGACTCTGAAGAATTGTTAAAATCTTTTCAAATGCTTGGTAGAAACCTTTCGAGTCTCGTTGACAAATATCTTACATTGTTGTCAGTACATGTGGCCTGCTAAACATTACTGTCAGATGCATTTGGCCTTGCTCCTTTTCTTACGTAGTTCTCATGACAAGCAGGCTGTTTGTTTGTTTGCCTCCCTGGTGACTATGTTAGATATTTGCTATAAATATATAGTTATCAAGCTATTTAACACCTATCATTATTATCATTCTCTTGAAATTAAAATATAAACGTGGGAGTTTTCTATATTTACTGCACGCGGCTTTAAAAGTCGTGTTTGTCTGGGACATTTTTGCTAATGATCGTTTAGGACAAGGATCAACAAGTTCAAATGTATTTGTCAATTTGGTAGGAAACTTCGGAAAATGACATAATGATTTAATATATGTGCATATTGAGTTTGCAACACAATTATTGATCGTTAACCTTTTGAGTCATTTCACTTAATTATCCGAAGAACTGATTAACTTTCGATAAAGTAAACTTTCTGATTTATTATCTCATCAGATCTTATGGTAGCTAGATTTGGCTGTACTCTCTGCTTTTCAATACTCTGTTATATCTTAATCATATGCTCTGATATTAAGAGGTTTTGTCAATCTCACGATTAATTACCCAGCGTATCACTATTAACCATCCGAATCGAGATCAGAATGACTCGACCCTCTTCTAAAATGGAGATTTATACCAACAAAAACTATTACCTGGTTATTTTTAGTTCATTTCTCGCTATTTATAGGGATAAAAACAAAAAATACGCTGTGTGTGTTGGGCATCTTAAACACTTTGTGAACTCAACTTCTTCCGGGTTTTCTCCATGTAATTTTTTTTGTTTTATTTATCATGCATATAGCCCAGCTTAAACCAGAAAAAAACTTTTACAGTTTTCCATACTTTCTCACCTCGAGGTAATAGAGGGGCAGAGGTGTGCTAGAGGTCTCCCAGAGGTGTTCTAGAGGTCTGCCAGAACTGCTTTAAGTATTTTCATACAATGCATTTGCTGCAACAGAAAATTCAACTTTGTTTTTCACGCTACCTCTAGTAGCAGAGTAAAGCAGAATAACACTGTTGGGTGTATAAACACGAATATAGAGGTGTTTAAACTCGGATAAGTCGCATTGTCGACGTTATCATCGACCCTGATTCAAACGTCATTTAAATTTCGAATTGATTAAAAATGTTAATAATTAGAGAATCTTCAAGTCAGGCAGTCTTTTATTTCATTTAAGCTCATTCTATGTCTGAGACCTTGTCATTCATTAAAAGATTTGAAACAATCAATGGAATGTCTACTCGGAAGCAAGGTCAGAGGGGCAATTTGTAATTGAGAGAATAATTATTCACTTGCGATTCACTTGCTTAAATATAATTATCGATTTACTGATTTAAATCTCCAACGTGGGGTTGCTATAGCATCAGCTTTTTTGTCGAAAGAGTTTTGTTTGATTAGATTGGACTGCCTAAAAAGGGCTTTTCTCGAAGCGTCGAAATTCTCTTACGGCTATATAGAATTACTAAACTATAATTCCTGAGGAACGAAGCCAAATATGAAACGGATACACAATTCCCGCTTGCTTGAAAATCTCAGGCTGTTCATACACTAAACATAAGCATTTGATTTGGTGTTATCTCCATAATGCTTGTTGAGAATATGTAATCCACTTATGAATAAATATCTCGATATACTATAAGATCACACGTGAGGTAAAAATAACTTCAGTGATATATACTAATATACTTGTGATTCATACTTTCTATAGCTACCTACAGATTATAGAGCAACATCTGTCCGTTTCTATGCACATAGTGATAAGAGGTGAACAGTGTTATCTATACGACACGATTTAAGTTATCGTAAATATTATGAGTTATTCTATATCTAGCTTATAAAGTTATAATTTAGAGGATCTTAATTAAGTCAGGCCAAATAGTCTAGCCGTTTGATATTTTGCTTAGATATAATACCATTAGTTGATGTCAACTTATGAAAACTAAATATTGTTCTGGTAACTTCGAAGTAAAGTGAAAATTCAAGTACCTCTCATCAGCTGAACCAGATAACAGCGCGTGGTAGAAGCCCTAGTGTAGCCCAAGTCTCTATTTCAGCTTTCTCATTCAATGATCTTGGTCCGGTTGAAAAATCTCCACAATAAAAGAGCGTCTGAATGTTGTGAAACTTTCCAGATTTTAAGTAAGATACAACATAACATTTCAAATGACACAGGTGGCAGGAAGGACAAACTGCAGAAGATTTGGGGAGACCGTCAAGTCAGGAAGGCGATGAATGTTGAAGGCGGAAGTTTCAATAGGTGTTACCTTTAATACCTTATTACCCTGTATATAGGCGCAACGTCTCAAAACTAATTTCCTGCAGTTTTGGAAAAAATTGAATTAAAATTTCCTTTGCCTATAGACGCTGGTTTTCGTATCCAGGCCTAAACTTCACACTCTTTATAGTATAAAAAATACTCTACAACTGTATTTGATTTGCTTAAAAGAATGTAAGGTGTATTGCAAAATAATTAAGTGAAATTGTTCTGCTATTTATCACTTTTCGACCAACAGCAACTGGGAGTCAAATGGTGTGTAACTTCATCTCATGAAGTACAACGTTGATGAGTTCATCCAATTATACCTCTTATTTCCAAATATTTGTTCTTCTAGAATGATATTTATTCGATTGTGTTTATGTAAGTTATGCTTGAAATTTCAATTTATTTTCTTAATATTTCCATTTCGTTTACTATGAGGGATTTGTAAAGAGATGACTACAGAACGTACACAACGAAAACAATGTACTAAAAAAAGTTAATGCTATTATTCCATTGGATTTTATTTATACCAAAGCCCTTTCCTTTATTGAATCTATTCCACCTTCATCTTTCTCAGGTAATTCATTATAATTACCTCATCGATATGTAGCTGGGTCGATTGAAACATTGTTCCAACTCAATTACAATCCCCTAATATAATCCCGTGATTTATAACTTCACCGTATAAATCCTATACCAATCACAAGTACTTTTCATGTTTTTCAAACTATATGCATGCATGTTAGGTATGAGGATAAGAACGGGGCTATTCCTCTCCACTTAAATTTGTTACGTAATGCGTCTCGCACATCAGCGAATGTGGTGAAAGACTCAAAAAATGAGTTTATATTTTGCTAAGCATACGACGATTTGGATCCGATCATATCTCCCCATTAATCATTTATCAGTTTCCCAAGATGACGTCATGATTCGTTTATTCCTCAAGAGCAACCTGGCGGTATCCAGAGAAACAAAAAAATAAACAATTACGCTTGGGAAAGATAACTCAAAGATATGGAAGGAAAAATAGTTACTAGGCTGCAAAATTACAAATATACATAGTAGACATTCCATGCAATAATAATTATCCAGATCAATACATTCGTGCCGCGTGAAACCGCTCTTTTTAATCGTGTTTTCCTGTGACTTGGCCACCCATATTCGTTGAATTAGTTTATTTAAATGAAAACGTTGGAATGCAACGAATGTCTAACAATGCAAACAAATTTATCAGCAATAATCACAGCTGGATGTAAATAGTCATTCATTAAAATGATATTAAATGCACTTTGACCATATAATGTGTTACTGACAACTTTCGTGGGAAACCAGTTTATTGAATTTAACGTTACCGATGTTCAAAATATGCTCCCTGAATTAAGTTTTGCGGCAAATGCACGATCACAACATTGCATGTTACTCGACTACCATATAAGTCAAAAGAAATTTCTGTCAAAGAACGAATTTTTTCAGCTTAAAAGAATGTCATTTCTGAGTTATGAGAGAACAAGTCATATTTATAATTCAAGCAATTCCATAAATGAAGATAAAAATACCTTTAGGTTTTGTCTGACCTTGATATTTCAGCTGCAGCTGTTATCGCTTCTCTTCGCTGACTCATTGCAATCAGGAAAAATTAATTGCAATTAAAACATGTGGGAATATATGTTCATTAACAAATGATTATCAAGTTTGCTTTGCATTACCATGTAATAGCTAACAATGTGTTCAATTGTTTATGTTCAACAACATACCATTTCTATCACGACTGACGCGTTTCCGCTCATAATCACGCAATATACTTGTACTTCTTTTTCAAATCTTAACTCTAGACTTCGGTGTATAAGACGCATCATCAATGTCATTCTCTCAAGCACATGCTTTATTCAAAGTACTTACACAAAAATGATGAAATATCGGTGAATTCATTTGAGATGGTGAAATTTTGAAGAATATAAGATCGGCTATTCTGTCTTCACATTTCAACTCTATAAGCGGGAGGCCATCTGATATGTTCACCATTTATGGAATTTATCTTACTCTGTTAGAAAAATATGACTTCTTAATTTTCACACCGCATGTAAATGATTGGAAACCAGTAATACACTCTTTAAACCTTCCGGAAATCTTCGTGTCTAAGGTGCATGAAAATCAGTGAACAACTTATAAAAAGTAATAATCCCTAGAAAATTGCGTGGAACTTTATTTGAGAAGCAATACAGTTAGCAGACAGATCAAGTGTGCTCTGACTGTTCAGTCTCACTCGACACGATAGGCACGAAATACTCAAAAGATTTATCAGTGTCTGGGAACACAATTATAAATCAAAATCACAGTGTTCATTATGAACCTATCAGTGGTCCAATGAGTGTTCAAATACAACAATTTTTTAAAAAGAAGCATTGGGGGAAACATCACGTTTATTGGAAGAAGCTATTTTAGCGTGTTCATTATTTATAGTCTTATCATATTCATCTGTAAGAAGTGATCTGGTAATTCGAGCTCCGTCAGTAAAATGGAAGGGATATTTCAACACATATAATTAATAAAAGCTCCCGACGGCTTTTAGCCAGGATATTTGCTCCAATAAAAGCGACCAACATTTGCTACTCGGCAAGTTCGCTGAAGAAGTTCAAGCCGTGCGAAGCAAGAAGGAACGGTCGTCGTCTTTTTAAGCCAAACAACTCGACTTTATTGAAGTGTATTCAGTCATCGTTTGCTATAAGGTGAGTAGTACTCGGTGTATTATTTCAATGATTTGGTGGGTTGTTATTGTGTGCGTTGGTGTTCCGGGGTTGACCGTTGAACCGCATATTAAGATTGAAATTTGTTTGTTTAGTTTTCATTATCTAAACAAAGTCAAAGTTATGTCAAATATTATTTCCTATTTGATACAAATCGATAGGCTTACTTTTCGCTATAGAAAATGAACATAGTAATATATACACTGGCACTGCAACTGGGCAATTGTATGTTACGTTGTGTCTCGGTGTAAACAGAAAGACAGTGAACATAATTTATAAACGTTGTTGGGATTGCATGACCTGAACAACGACGACTTGAACAATCCTCATTTCGGGGGGTATTTTGGTAGGCGAATAATGCTAGTAATTATGCCTTATATGTTGCTACTTGCACGTGTGAAAAGCATGTGTGAATACGATTTGTTATCGCACAAGGAGTTTTTGCATTTACCTGACGCAAATTATTCAAATGGTGAAGTGGCGTAAACCACGCGAAAACGCGATAGAAAACAATCCATATAAGTTGTTCGTAATCATGATGAAATACGCTATAGTATCGATCCTAATTTAACAACACACGTTTCTTATCAAATATTTCATAAATGGAAACTTTTCTTAAGATAACATGTTTTAGATGCAAAATATTGTTTTGCTTTAAGATAGATATGCTGCATTTGTTTAGAAATGCTATCTTGACTGCAATCTTAAGGTCTCAATGTATTCATGGGTATTACTTTACAGACGATTTCATTCGAACATATCGACGTTAATGTCGAAAGGTGAACTAAAGCGATTAATTTGCTTAGAATGAAATCAGTAATGCCTGAAACATCTTAGGTGAAAATAAGGAAACTTCAGGCCAGTGAATAGTGTCCTAAAAGGTTAGTAAGGGAGGATTAGTTTTCCTTGTTTACCTTTGAGCTTTAAGATAAATTTATCTTTGCTTAATATGGTAAAAACGTTTTACAAGGTGTTGGATTTGCTCAATTAAACCACGTTTTGAATTTTGAGATTGAAGTATCACTCGTATATGTACAAATACGTAAAATATGCTCTCTTTATAGACGTGTATAATCGCATTTGCACAGCATGGAATGTTATGACAATAGGAGGCCACCGGCACCATTTGAGAATTGTCACAATTAACCGGTTCCCTTTCGGGGTTTAGAAATCTGCATGTAATCGTGATTGTGAACAAATCAACTCGACCTTTTTTTACTCACACTCGCCAGTATATTATGTAACACTTTAAACGTTGATGTTGGGAACTGTGTTAGTATAAAGTCACTTACATGCAGTGCTGCTGTTTTATAATATTGCATGATATCTAACACGATTTAGAAGAGCTGGATAGATAAATTGCCGCGCCGTATACCCACGATAAGCTAAAATTTAATATACATTTGTACATTTACGAATCTATTTGCTAATCCGTCAATAGAGTAACGGATTTATTCAAGAGATATTCCAAATCTTAAAACACTAAGCTAAAATGGTTGGACCGTGTCTTTGTAGTCTTACATAAGTAACTTCAATCACTCCTTCATTTTAACACGTTAGAGAAAGAGTTGCCGCCGCACGATCGGTCGCAAACGGTTAATATCCGGTTTAACCAGACATTCCTGTTATGATCAAATGAAAAACTCCATTTTTTTACATCTTCTGAAGATTCTCGAATGCGATAGTTATCTCATATCATGCAAGACTCCAGCTTCAAGTCCAAATATATTTATTTTGTTGTTATCCGTTACAGATATGATGAAAGCCATGTGTCAATTCTTAATTCTAGTCGTTTTATTACATTTTGGCAAACAGATTGATTCCGCGTAAGTGTTTTAACTCAGAATTTGTATTGATAATAATCTAATAATCGTTTTGATGGAAACTAAACACTTCATAGGAACATAACTTTTACATCATGTGAATGAGGAAATCAAATACGACATGCTCTCATTTTTTCATCAAGGTTGTAATCGATATTTTCAGGTCAAGTAAATATTGCCCCCGCAAAGTTCGTTCTTATTTTGATGCATGTATTATGGTAAAAACAGCTCTGCAGTCCATCTTCACATAATATTCATTTCACAATCTGGGAAGGTACGTGCCCACAGCATGAGAACTGCCCTCGATTTTCCGAACAATTAAGATATATATTTTTCATAAGGTTCGATAGGGTTTCGAGGGAGTTTAATACTGAATTATTTCCGTAACAACATCACGGGATCCGCAGGTTTCTGAGGAGATCAGAAACAAGGATTGGAGAGATGAGGCAGCGAATGAGGAATCTGACATTATTGTAACAAGTCGCGCTAGGTCGAGAAGCAACGATAAGGGGGGGGGGGGTTAGAGAGTAGCGCTAGGGGTAGACGCAACTATAGGAGGGGTCGGATATTGTTGCTTCAAGTCGTGTTAAGAGAGACACTGCAGTAGGATGGGGTCAAACAGTGCTAGGAATCGTCCGATAGGAGTGAAACTGTGGTAAGAGGGGTCAGTGGGGACTAGGAGGGTTCAGAGAATGTTGCTGAAAATCATGTAAGGAATCAAACTATGGTAGGATGGGTCGAACAGTTCCAGGAGTTGCCAGACATTATAGCTTTAGGCAGCTAGAACGATAATTTTTTTTTGGGGGGGGGTTAATCCATATATTCACTGCCCGACAGATTTCTACTGTGAACTATTGAACCTACAAATGAAATCCGTCAGAACTGATCGGAAGAACTGAATATATGAACAAACACCCCCAATTAGCGTCGTGTTAAGAGAGAAACTAGCACAAACTACGGTGCAGGAGTTGCTGCAAAAAACATTATGAGAGGCCTAACTTCCGGGCTAAGGAATGGATGGTCTTTTATCCGTCCAGGTTCGCGTAATATCTTTCGGGTGATCAAACGAGGCGGCGTTGCTTCCCAACGCAACGGTCAAAGATAAAAGCGCATGCGTAACGTAAAGAGGAATGGAGGGGAAAATATTTGAGGAATGTCAATCGAAGGAATAGAGGGGAATGCCGAAACGATACAAATAAACGGGAGAAAAAAAGCGTTTATAATAACAAAGGCTAAGCAGGGATTTAATCCAGGCGTAAGTGGGAGTACTTTGACACCCCTGAAATAAGAAATTATTATTATGATCCATAAACGTCGAATTACACATGGCCGTATTTGAATGAAACGGCATTCAATCATAACATGTTAGTTCATAGGAAGTTTTCAGTGATGTTTACCATGTCTTTATCTTTATCTTTAGATCAGTGGATATGAAAAGAAGCATCATTGGTGGACAAGATGCGGCGTTCTTGCAAAGCGGTCTCAGACTCCGTTCAATCTGTGATACACACAGAGATTTAAGTTCAAGACAACGCGAAATCTGTCGAAAAGATGTGGCCCTCATGGGAAGCACTCTTGAGGGTGCTATGTTGGCAAGGAAAGAATGTAAAAAGCAATTCCAGAACGAACAATGGGATTGTTCGACCATTCCCGAAGACGAAGCGCTTGGCCAAATGCCAAGTAGATACGGTAAGTTATCATTATGAAAAGCTTCCCTGGTCAGTTAAGTTAAAAACACAAAAGCAAACAAAATTAACAATCTGCAAATAATGTAATCAGGGTCACAGATAGAATTATTGGGACCTGTGACAATAGTCTCATTTGGGGGTCCCAAAGAGGGACGATATACTTTCGACAATATATTTTTGTTTCTGCGTGTGTTTTTTTGGAGGGGCCTGCAAACCTTCAGTGGCCCAGGGCGAATCGTCTTTTTTTCGCACCCAACAATATGTGTAATATATATTGAATAGTTGAAATATTGTTTCCGTAGCAACGGCTTTCATAGTTAATCCATAGTTAACAGTTTCTCATCCCCAACGTTCTGTACAATATAACAAAAAACATTATTGATCTTTAGTCCACAATTTTGGTGTTTAATTCCGTAAATGCTCCGTTCATTGAAAATATAGGCCAAAGCCAGGTACTTTTTCATTATATACATGTGATACTTACAGAAGTAATTCTGTTCTTTAGCTACTAAGGAAGCTGCTTTTAACCACGCCTTGGTTGCTGCAGGTATTGTCCACGTAATAGCAAGGAATTGCATGAAAGGAGATTTATCTAGTTGTCATTGCAGTGCAGCAAGAAGACCACAAAATTTAAAAGCAGGATATAGATGGGGAGGATGTGGAGATAACATTCATTATGCCTCAGAGTTTTCCAGGAAGTTTTTGGATGACCCTAGGGTAGAGAAATTGAATGGTAGTACTGACATAAAACTGGCTAAAAAACTTCTCATGGATGATCATAATAACGAAGCTGGAAGACAGGTACTAAAAAGTTCCACTACAGTTCTCAAGCCTCATATGATATCGTCCTATATTCTCGCACACACTTGGTACTGGTATGGTACTGGTACTGGTACTGGTATGGTACTGGTATGGTACTGGTATTGGTACCATCAACATCCCAATTTCTAACAGTTCAACATATATATTAGGAGAAAGTCTTAAATTTTTATATCATCCACAATAATTCAGTATCAATTTATGCATTGCTTACCTATATATAGGCTGTGCTGAAGAACCGTCGACTAGTTTGTAAATGCCACGGCGCCACAAGTCAATGTCCAACTCAAACATGTTGGTATCAGGTATCCGAGTTCCACATAATTGGAGACTTTTTGAAATCGAAATATCTTTCAGCAATTAAAGCAAAACTTGCGAAAAAAAAAGGAAAGAAAGTTTTCTTAAAAGGAAAAAATGATAACGATTTGTCTAACGACAAACATAAACTTGTGTACATTGAAGATTCACCCCCATATTGTTCAATTACGTCACGAAGCTATTATTCAACAACCATTGCTCGTCGTCAATGTAACCCAAGAACATCCGGCGCAGGCAGCTGTAGACATCTTTGCTGTAGACCGGGCCACAACACTCAGAATATAACGAAGGAGAAAGAATGCAACTGCAAATTTGTGTGGTGTTGTGACGTTAAATGCCAAAAATGCAGAGAAAGGGTACAAGTGCACACATGTCGTTAAAAATCTTCGGATGTTTCCAGCAAAGACATTGTTCATCATGCGAATATATATAGGCGTATATATATACATTGAACTACGTACGTATGAGCGAAGTGTAAAAATGAATCGTAAAATGGATTTTATCGCCTCTATGTAGTCTAAACTTCACTGAACTTCACGTTAAAAACGAAAATCATTATACATGTAGACATGTTCCAAAGACAAACTTTTTGGTACTAGTTGCAGCATATAACAAACTCTATCCTCCAACCACGTTAGTTTTTTTGTTTCAATTCTTATACGGCAGTTAATTCAAGTCAGGTACTTTCGAAATCCGGCGTACAAGAAACTAGTGTACCCACCCCCCGTGCTCTCAGGTTTTAAGGTTGTTGATTTGTTCTGTAACGAGTCCAGAACCTTTTTCGTAAAACCAATTTTTCACAACACGATTTGCTGTTCCTCGTGCATCTTGCACGTTGGTAAACTTTTGCGACAACCCTCATTGAATTATTTTTAAAGAATTTGGTTCTCATCAATATTTTTTCAAAGAAAGGCTTTCATTTTTAACATGAATATTTTCTAAATTACTTGTCAGTACAATTGAGTCACAGTTTCATTCTGACCACTTACTAAGACTGATTATACTAATCAATATACATGCATAATTAGCTCTTTCCAACTTCAGGATAGATAACGTCTTTTAAAAGTTTTGTTATATTTACAACGCTTTGAGCTACTTTTGAAACACAACTTATAGAGATATCGCAATAGTATTATGCATGGTATGGCTAAAAAGAATGCACATAAATATCAAATAATGGCATGCAGCATTTGTGAAATTAGCCAATGTAAATATTATTGATAGATATACAAAAAATTATACAAAGCGTAATAATATATCACATTTACATAGGCTGACTATATTATATACAAAATTCCACCTTTCACAAATCCATAATGTTTTGCATCGTAATTATATACGGCTATATATTAGATACATTTCACGTTGGTAATTGTAAAAGCCTTGGAAACGAAAATATCTTAGAAGTTCTTATGTCACGCAGTTTTACACAGCCGGCTGTTTGAAATTGTATGACGCAAGATCATGTTGGGTGTAGATACAAAGTAGTGAGACGTCACAGAAACTCGATTGTCCATTCGTAAGTAAACTATTATACGAAATCGGATGCCATTCTTGGTGGCCACTTCCAAACTTTTTTTGAAAACAATTTGATGCCTTTCTTATTTTATTTCAATACTGATAGCTATTAAGATTCAAATAAGACTTTTAGTAATTGCTTATTTTAAACTATAGTTTGTATATTATTTACAATTATATTATATAAAAAATGTAACTTTATATAAATACTAGTAATAATAGTTGATGTATACAAATATGACAGTTGTGATGCGTTCAATTCAGTTCATAAGTTCGAAATTTAAGCCATCTAAAGGAGGCGGGAAATGCATGGTTCAGACTGGGTAGAAACATCTTTCAGTTTCAGTCAGATATATGGTCTTGTTTGGTATATTTGAGATCCTTCTCTATACCATAGGCGATTTTGATCTGTAGTCTGTATATCCTCAACCCGACCATAAATAAACTTACGTAGAATACTATTCGCACAATCAAAAATCATCGCTTTGCGATTTTCAGCAAGTTTTTCACCCGTCAGTACTTGAAATTCTTTGAAAATATTGTTGTTTCTTTTTTGTCAATTTTTCCTAAGAAGGCTATAGACGTCAGTTGACTTCGATGTCGAAGATCCTTCATCCTTGGGACAAAACGTCGAGAAGTTTTGAAAAATTTTTAATCATATATCAACTAACAAGAGAAATCTTTTTCAGTCTCATTTTTAAATTATCTGGATCACACATTTTCTTCAGGGAAAAAAGTTGCTAACAAATAGATACTTTTTGAATTTAGCTGGAATAACTGCATGCAATTAAAAATAATTGGTGGAATTATTAGTTAGTTGGTCTTGTCAGTTGAGTTCAACTCTTGCAATCATTTTGTAAAACTCTAGAGACTATATTTCAGTCATCCCTGGGGTAACCCCTCCCGCACTTTCACATTTCCCCCACTCATATCGTATATAAATTGGGTATGTTATTTTCTAATTCAAATGATATATAGTCAGGGATGTTATTTTTATTTACGCCTCGTTTTGATATATTTTGCTCGTATTTGCTGGTTGAATGACATGTTTATCATTATTGAGGTTTCTCCTTATCCTGACTGCTCGATAGAGAAGATAAATTAACACTAACACACACAGACAGCAAACAAAGAACATTGGTTTTAGAGTCATTTCCAGCAACCGACGACGATTATTATTTCTGTCACTTGAGTTCCAAAATGATTTAATTTGCATGAAACGTAGAAAGATCCCAGGCTTTGTATTGTTTTTCGCATGCTTCACCGATAGCTTGCTCTCGTGTAACTTCGATGAATTATCCGTGATATTCAAAACATTGGTATTTTTCGCCATATTTTGTCCTCCCTGCAGCGGCGGAGCCATCATTATAAAATCGATATTAGGAGCTCTGGAAAGAGAGTTGTATTTTCTGGTTTTAACAACAGGTTTTTCTTTCATTTCACTTGCGTAGCATAAAGACATCCACAATGATGAAACCAAGTAAAGTAGGGCGAGTAAAATCATATCTGTATTTTCTCAACAGAAACCATGTAAAATAAAACACAATTTTTATTTCAAAATGGGACTAAATGTCACATAGGAAGTCTTATTCCCGTTTCGTTATCATTAAATATACAGGGAATTCATGGCCTGGTCACAGACAATAGCCATGTTGACGACATCACTCATGTTTTGTTTCTACCAGTGATATGACAATATTGTTAGCGGGTAGTTAAATTCATTTGCTTGCTATATCTTCCATCGAACACAGGGACCGCGGAGGGGGGGGGGGCTGGGGGGCTTTAGCCCCCCCAATAATTTTCTAAATACATTTGATTCCTTTATAGCGATTTTTATATGGCCGTAATAATACGAATAAAAACTCCTCATAGTAAGTTGTGTAATCATAATTATGTGTTCACTATCCGTGTCGGTGAACAATGTTTTCATTGAAGTGTTTACAAGAAAAATCTAAATAGATAAGTATGGACCCGCCCCCGAGGGTTCACTCTTTCGGCTTCGCTAGCCCCCCCCAATCCAAAAACTGCTCCGCGGTCCCTGGAACAGCAGGTCAAGTTAGTTTAATCGACATTATACTTTTTGCTGGAATATTGTAGGCTAAAATTGATATATAATCGCTTGAGATAGGAAGTTTGTTATTTGAAAATAATATTTTTGTTTCAAATCGTCGTTTGTTTACGGGTTATTCCTCTGTAGAGCAAAAAAACTGAAAACGTATATTATATGTGCTTAAAACCGTAAGAGTAAGTTTTCATAGTTGCTTTGTCATCTTGAGGAGAGAGTGGAAAAGTTCGAGTCGACCTCACATACTCAATTTAATAAGGTTTGGACAACTGGTTATAAATCTGCTAAATACTATGTCTACGATTCCAAACTATAATCATTTATAAAATATAAAAATGTTGAATATATTTTAACACATTTACACAATTTAAAAAACCAATTTTTTGGCTCAACTATATATTTACAAATTAATATATTATAAAATAAACTACTTTATGCTCAGGAAGGTAAGAGTCAAGAGGAACATTCTGTTCATCTCGGCTGTTAACTAAAATGTTACCTCGGAACTGACGTTCTAATATTCTATTGGCTAGTATAGGTCAGTTCAGGTATGTCTTCACTTCTAATCCTGCGAATACTACTTTGAGTATAACAATAAAATGCTTTTAATAATCAGTGAATAAATAAGTTCTACGCTACTTCCCAATGCATGGCATTGTCGTAATTTAAAGTATACAAATACTGGATCATCATCTAGGCTAAAAAAGAGACATATTCACATGCATATACGAATTGCCGAGTATTGCTGATATTAGGAAGCCATCTTCAAATCGCATTAACGTCAGACTTAAAGCATATGGCCTATTTTTGGTGAAAACAATCCATTTTGGTGTGACTAAGGGGGGGGAGGGGGTGCAGTTTACCAGTACACCTATAAGTAACTCAGTTCAAAATTACAAGCCTAGCAACGAATTATTCGCACTAAAATATCCTTCAAATAAAAGTTTATGCAGACAACTAATTGTTTCGGACAAGTAGCCATATAGTTTAAAAAGGGACAGCCATGCATGAAGGGTATTGTTGCGAGGTTTTTTAGTCCTAAAATCCGGCTGCGACCTGCCCGATGTCAGAATTCATACTCGTTCGTGGACTGTTAATGCGCAAGACGCTACCTTTTTTGTACTGCCAAATAATCACCAAAATTTTTGCCTTACAAGCTATGACTTACACATAGGGTATTGTTTATTTACAAACAGTCTGTTCTTGCCTTGTTTTACAAGTTTGACACTTCACTTCACAACACCAATGAAATCGACATTTGCATTGTTTTTTGGCAATGAAAACAATCGTATTGTGGCCCCGACCACAACACAATTCGCCACAACCATGGGATTCGTTGGACGTCTCATCACAAACTCTTCCTCTTGTGCCTGCAACTCCTTTATCTTTTATCGGGTCACAGTATGTTGGGGATCTATCCAAATACACAAGCTTATCTATAGGTGGTTTAACAAAGCGAGTGTCAGGAAGAATTAGGGTCTTTGGAACGTTTCCTTCTTGGGAAAGGATATACGCTGGCTCAACTCGAATTACGTCTTTATATTTGTTTTTGAGAAGACGTCCAACTCGTTCAAACTTTGAGGAAAGTGTTTCCCAACATGTTTTTGAGGAACATGATCCGCTTGCTCCGTGGCAGTTGCAGCGCTGACCCACACTTCTAAGAACAGCCTAAAGCAATTTTTTTATATCATATTAAATTTTTTATACCATAGATATCATATGTAATTTTTTCTAACAATATATATTTTCGATTTTCACATGAAAAAAACGATGATCTGGGTGACACAAATTTCTCGGAGCAATGCTATACAACGTTCCCTGTATACAATACGTCTCTCGTTTGGACACCAAATGAAAGTACATTGTAATAATTTAAAACTAGTGATTCCAATTTCCAAAGAAATTTGAGATAAAGAAAAATTGGAAATGTTCATTATTGATCAACTTGTTTTATCATGCATGTATATTTATGCCTATAAATATTGCGGTATTGATTCTTTTATAGCTTGTGCATGTGCTTTCACAAGGCGGCAAAAGACCAACGCATTAGGTCGGTAACATTTTTTATTACCTGGTATGTGGCCACTATGATAAGACAAAGGCTTTTTTTATTAATTGTATCTCACCGCATGCACGATAACTACAGGCACTATGGTTTGCATCATATAAGCGACAATATGTCTACACTGCTTGAAAAGATCTGTCGGTTCATCAAAAAACGAACCATGGAGGATTACGTACGTCGTGATCTACATCTTTTTAAACAAACTGTCTTTTAAAATGTTTTTTCTTTGGAGATTTTTTTCAAACGAAAATACGTGTTTTCATACATAATACTTTCCTGAAAGGAATCAATGTAGTTCATTGGTACCATAGCAAGTGTTAATAAACAGCGCTGTATGATGCCCATATAATAAACAGCACTGTATGACTGCAATATTTGTTGCTTTACTTACACCAATCAGTACGAATAAACAAAGCCAACTTCTAATGTGTTTAATTATGGCAGAAATCGGTTAAATTCTATGAATTGACTACTTGAGTCTTGAGTGAAATTAACGTTAACTCGGCCAATTGCATGTGGTAATATATTTTCTTGGTAATTTTATATCTTATCATAGACTAGTTTTTGTTTCGTTTTTGCCCACAAGAAATTTACATGTAGCCAAGTTTAATGACGCAATTCCCTAACCTGTTAACCCATAACCCATTTATATCAATTGGGTTGCAAAGATTTTCTTTTTGTAAATTCATGGTAAATTTATTTTTCTCTTCAGTATTAAAAGATAAGTTGAAATTAATGATATAGATACCCATCAAGTATATCATGACTCAGACCTTGCTCATTGTTTGAATGGGAACTCAATTCATCTCTAGTCAAACATTCACCTTGCATGACATACTGAAGCCAAAGGCTATCAAAGCAGATTGCTGGCATGAATTAAGACATTTCATTAGTGAAAGGTAGGGCCTACGCTTGGAATTTCACAAAAAAAGGTAAATCTATAAAGCAAACGCTAGGAAGCTTTCGCAGTTTACCCTCCGAATTAAAATTGATCAGTAATTTTGAAACTTTTTAATCTTCGGTTAAACACGAGTCAGATATTATGCGAGACACGACTTAATTGCTATTATGTCGCTAACAATACTTTCCTGTCGGCAAAAAACATATTAAGCCTTTAAAGTTCAGCCTGTAAATAGCTATGATAGAAATATATATCTCTTAATACCTGTTCTTAAAAGCTCTAGATTACACATTGGCTTAACAGAAACCACCTTCAGACAACTTAATGAACAAGAAATTCTACGATATTCTATACAAGCAGTAAAAACAAATTTCTTAAACCTGGAGCAATGCTAAAGCCTCTCTTTGAACTTACTAAGACAATGGTCGGTGCTATGAAATTACTAATTATTATTTAGTCGGTATGCTTATGATTTTAAATTAATAACACTATATTATAAACACAATCGATGAGTATTCTTCATACCTGACGCCCTGCCTCTCTGTTGTGCTTCACTTGAAGTTCATATTTATTCCTAATCAAGCCACTGGGTCCATCTAAAAAGCGTTTGGAGACGTCAATGCCATGTGCGATGTTATTAGTACATCCTGCGCTGTCCCAAATTTCCTGAGTTGTTCTGCGTCTTTTACTCTCCGCACAAACACAACCTGTGATGTTATTTTTTGCGCAAGCTGATGTCACTGAGTGAGCAACTGCAGCAGACACGATTGCATTCAGGAATGCCGCTTCTTGCGTACCCTCTGGAGGAAACAAATAAATACACACATATTTAGAATATTCGGCAACTTTAACATCGATGAGTTTGAATCGTTATTTTTATACGGATCAGATTTCGGAATATAATTAGAAGCGAAATTTATACGAAAGGCCCGAACATGTTTTCAGTTAGCGCTCAACATTCGTGCACAAATTCTTCTCTATAAAAGAGTCATTCCATGAAAAAATATTTCCAACGTGAAAAATAATTGTAGTGCTTAACACTACAGGCAGCAATATGACGGTTTAGAATTTCAATGTTGAGCAATTGATGGTTGTGACTTGTGTCTTCATTTTTACTTGTTTATATGCGAAGTGAAGAAGCTTTTCCCTTATAATTGACCTTGGGTATATACAGTAAACTATATCTTTAATCTACGCACTTCTGTATACACTACCACGAAATGTTATTAATAACCGATCTCTGATTAGGGATAATTATATCCTAGATAATTGGTTTAAATTTCCTCGCGAGTTTGCCCACCACAGCACGATTAACAATTTCACATTAGGCTAAAATCTAAAGGTAATACGATTATTATGAAAAGCGGTTAACTGAGTACGTACGAAGATATTAGCACGGACAGTGATAGTGTGTGAACATGCACGATAAAGTGAAATCAAGGACTTGTTAATAGGATCAAGTTATTCTATTCCAAACAAATAATTGAAAACTTACGAACAGCTCTCTTTTGGCCAAAACTCGTAAATTCACGATAACTTGAAGTGCAGTTCCATCTGTGACCAGCAAACTGCCTTTCGCATTCTCGTAATCCTGTTTGAATGCCATTCACAATCTCAGCCGTAACACGCGGGTATTTCATACAAAAATTGGTTTGCTCCGGGGTAAAATCGTCGAACACTTTACACACCATCTCCGCACTGAAGGTTGGTGACGGTCGGCTTACACTTAAAAGAATGAAAACGTTATTAAAAAGTTATTTGTACATTACTATTAGATTTCATTGTAAAAATAGTTTTGTAACTCTTAACCAGGAAAAGACATACAACATGTCTGATTTAGCCTCCAATCCTGCATAAAGAGCAATGAAAGGGATGATAAATGAGAACATCATAATTTAGCTGACTCTTCAATGTTCCTGCAATTGTCCTGTCGGTATACAGTCCTACGCAGATTAACTGAACTTGATTATTTTTCAACAATGTGACTTGTTCAATGCCGCTCTGTTTGGTGTCGAATTCAATTAAGAAAGTTTTCAATATTCTTTTTGTTTAATTCATATACGTGATTGGCTCAATCGCTTTCTTAAATCAATCCTTTATCTCCTCGGTTAAAGCCATTCCCCCACGCTAAGTCACACAATGTACAAGCTTCTGGCGGTCTATTGCTTATATTCATTATTTCCTGACTCAATTTGAAAAACGTGTTGCTCAATTATGTGGTTAAAAAGAAACTGACAAACCCTTTCCCGTTTTCTTGTGGCTGTAAATGTCCCTCGACTTTCCCTTTTTAATTTTTATCTTTGATACAAGTTGTGAAAAATTAATTAGAAAAATAAACAAGAATTCAAACAAGTTTTTAGGATCGATTCTTTTCCTTTTCACGTCCAAGTATTAGAATAGAAATACTAATCATCATGCATGCTTTGTAAAGTCTGTCCTTTCTTGTTTAGTGTCAATTTAACATTTCTGGTTTGTTGAATCTTTTCATTCTAAAATCACGTTAGATTTAGATGCAGTTAGACAGACCTTTGTTACACACGCGTCTTATAGCCATGCATTATGCATTGTTTTTTAAAGTTTATAAAACATGATTTCGATATATTTTTATACAATTTATTTGATAAGAGGAACTTGGCAGCATGTATGATGTATATGAAAGGACCAAATTGATAGCCTTCCTCGTATTAACGAGTTTCCTCGGTATATATTCACGAGAAGTTAAAAAAGTTTATTAAATGACTAATTAAATTCTGATATTTAGGAAGTATAAATAATTTCTCTTTGGCCTGATTCATTTTAAATACAAGTAAAACAGCTGATGATTTTGTAGTCATCTCTGATATATGACACAAGTTCTCTACTTCGATTCTTATATCATTGCAAATATATAATACGTCAATTTAAATTGATATTGATAACGTAATCTGTGTGTATATAAATCAGCCACACCCTTTATACCTATTGTAAACACCAAGCACACTTTGCGATGAAAATATCACAAAAAATCCTGGGAAATAAGTTGAGAAGCCAACTTATGTTACATCAGTTGCCCGTTTTCAAGAGAGGATAATATGCAGCAAAGGAAACAATAAACTTAAAACATTATCACAATAAGTTGCGAGACATCGTGATAATTATAATCGATGGAGTTGAAGTGATTATGTCAATATCACAGTCAGTAGCTTCATAAATCTGACATCATATTTATTTTCCCCACCCATATTGGCGAGGAAAATATGTGTGGGCGATTTTTGCCAATATGTTTGCACAACCTCTTCCACAAATAAACAGTCACGCAAATGAAAGGGCATAGTCATATCACATGCTATCTTTAGACGAATCTAGAAAAATGTTGAATATAGTAAAAAGCTTCAATAGTAAGATTTACAAGTTTACAGCGCTTCATTAAAACATTTTACTGACACTTATAGACCATAGACGTCGCAGGATTTATACTGTTAAGTAACATAAGGACAAAATTTGCGAGAGTTCCTAATTTTATCAAAGTCTCCTGCTAGTGGTGACAATCTATCGGCTAATTTTCTGTCACATCTTGCCTGCATGGTAGGGAATAAATGTCCGTTGGCATAACCATTAATATGACATACGAATTCGTTTTTCAATTTTACGAATTATAATTTTCAACCATGGTGGTCATGTAGTAATGGGTTTACTAAAAAGCTTTCGTATGATATAGTAAACTATATATTATGAAAAGTTAATCATTTCGTAAAACTTCTTCTCTTTTCACGTATATTTGCAATTAATAAAAATGTGGTTATATTCGGGATAGATTATATATGAATAAATCGCTCTAATTATATCTCTAATCTGAAGAGGATTGCAAAGAGTACTGGTATTTAGAAGTATTTATAGCCTATTCATCAGATGCTTGAAGTGGTTATTTTGAATGTTCACATCAGCAAATGATTTGGCGGTATAATCTCAGGATCACAACATAAGGCTATAGAGAATTTCCTGTTAGATAAAATTAATTTGGGATCACCGCAATTATATAATTTAGGGAAAAGAAAAACCATATGTGTTTTCTACACACACGCATTACAAACCTGGCAAGTCAGCTGATTTCGTCCTGATCGAAAAATATTGAAATTTTGTGATATAAGTCCTGACTTTATTGTTTACGAGTTGTCCCGTCGCGTTTAGTTGCATGTTTATACAATTAAGGAAACGTGACTCATGCATGCGCAGATAATATAGTGCAAGTATACTTAAGCTGAAAGGCTGACCTGAGCCGCTGAGATGTAGTTTGCCAAGTTTATATGAGTAACAGCATGAACCCCGGTCAAGTTTATTGCTAGCTAGCAAATTTGATTGGTTTATAACGTTTATGGGTTTTGCAGTGCCCCTTCTCACGTCCACACGCGCCTTAATTCCCGGCGGTTTCAATTCCTTTTCCTTAAGTTTGATTTGATTATCCGCAACGCAAGTGCAAGAAAATTTAAGCATGATACTGCAAATACAAAGTACAAATGAAGCGTTTAATTACCTACTCACTTGCCTACTTCTGATATTCACTGCTTGGTCTTCTCCACTGTAAATATAAAAATACATAAGTAACATAACTGAGATATTTTCGTCCTACTGAACAACATGTTTGCCCAGAAATCGTTTGTGTAACACTGGATAGTTTGAATTTGGATAAGAAAATAACATAAGGCATATTTTTACAGAAGGAAATAAAATAAAGGATTTAAGAGTTTTGCAAAATCATTTCCGTCGTAACAGTAGTTGCTGCGTTTCTCTCTCAAATCTATCATTGATATGTTATTAAATTTATTATGCGGTTTCATCCAAAATGAGAAACAATCCCTGACCCTATTTCCGTAAACAACGCTAAAATCTCTTTGTTCATTTAAGAAATAATGAGTCAAAGAGCAATGTCGATTATTCATTTTTAGTGTCGATGATAGATGATGTTAGTAGTGTAACAATTAACTTGAAATTGTGTTTGCGAAATTTCCGCTCCCGTGAATTGCGTTCATGTTGTCTGGAAATTTCTTTTAGTTTTTACAACGTCAGGCGGGGACATGGGGAAAGACGGCGCCGTGCATGATCTCCTATTATTCATCTGTTTTGCTCTTCTCTTCCAACATGAGAAAATTCTACTTACTATAGCGCATGTTACTATATATTTTAAACAGAACATAATTGGATACATGGTTTGTGATGACTTGCAATTTTTTATTCGATCTCTTGTTTCGATCAATTTGAACGAGTGTCGAGCGAATTCGTTCCGAATACTACGATTTTTTAGTGCCCATAATACGATGCTCGCGACGCAATATCGCCATCAGATACATCAAAAGAAGAAAATCTCAAATAAACTGAAAACAGGATGCTTTATTTAGAAGCCCTTAGAAAAAACATTTATTTATAACTTGCTTCAAGATGGCATTCTCTTTAGCGATCATTAGATGCCTATAGCTTCAGGTGGCGACACTGATAATTGCAACTTGTTCCAAACACCCTTGTGTCAGTTGTGATAATTTGGTAACAACTTTGGCCTGGGGCTGAGTGCTTCGTTTCAAAAATAATAGACCTTGACGCAAGGTGACTGTCATAGCGAATATTGCCGAGAATTTACTCACAATGGAAATTCCTTTAGTACAAAAAACCCGAAAAATTCGATATGGAAAGTGAAGTGTTCAATGAATTCAAAAACTTTCATTTCAGTTTAGGAAATTTTTGAACACTGAAGTCATAAGAGTGTTTGTTTAAAATCATTAGAGAAAAAATCTCAATAGGCTATTATGTCTTGGCCAAGTTCTAGACAAAAAAAACTAAGTTGACTTGTGCGGTAAGTTTAGATAAGTTCTCGTTATATCTTTAGGATATTCTATTTACCAACGCCAACCATTTTACAAATAACCTCCTCTGCAGAGGATTCCTTATCAAAAACTATGGTTAGAAAAGAAATGAATAAGGAAACCGCTGTGTGGCGAGAAAATAATCAACCTACGCCCAACCAAAACCAAGTTTTGCCCACGCCTTACTACTAAACACACCCTTGTTTGGACAGTCATTCTGAGACTCCTATTAGAGCTAGTGTTGTAGAGTTGACAACAAACAGTAGGGGAACATTTGTGAGACACGTGAGAGGACATTATTTCGCCTTGTATGAAGTATCATTTCGTCAAAGCTCAATCACTCCTCAGTAACCACGACCATCTTGTGATAAGAACACTAATCTCCTTCTGACATTTGCGGTGGAAAATACGATAAAGAATAATTAATACAAGCATATGTTACAAAATACTAATTAAGTATATCACATGAAACAGTACCCAGCTGATTTTACTACATGTAGACTACGTCAAAAGGTGACTTTATTAAAACTTGGTGATATTCTATAATAATAAAAACATTATTTTTCATCGAAAGGATAGATTACAAATCCTATAGCCCTTACTGTAAAGTATTGGTGAAAGACAGTTATTATGTGTAATTTACTCAGTCTTCAATCTACATGCATTCAACATCAATGAACGCAAGCTTCATATCCTCACCAGAACACGGGGGGAACCGAACGGGTAGGAGGTATGATGTTACCCAAACCCTAGGTGTGTATGAGGCGAGTTTCGGCCCCAACTTCTGCATGATTATCGACATTTTCAGGAACATCAGAGTGCTCCTTATTCTCTTTACCTTTCGAATAAAGATAATGGTAGAAGCCGGGTAATTCACTAGTGGTGTAATGGTAGAAGGGAAAACTTCAACGGGAGAAGACCTAAGAGCATAATTGCCTATCAATAAATTAAGCTCGAGTACCTGTCCTTAGATGACGGTATTGCTATTATGAGGTTGTTTTTTTAGCCGGAGACATGCAGGATCAAACAACAAGATTATCTATATCTTTAATCCCACGAAACGAAAACATGAAAATAGTGTTGGCAGAGTGGTAAACATCCACGTAGCCTTGTACGGTTGATCTTTCTGTTTCTTAAAAGACTGAATTTGCTTGTTCACATCCATTAGGAAATATATATTCTATCATTTATATGTAACCCGAAGCAGACAAGTTCCATTTGCATATAAAGACAACATTTGATCAGAGGATTAGGAGCCTTCCCTAACTTCCCTCGCGGCTTGGCATGAAGTGGTTTTAATTTTAGAAACAAAATTAGTGTTTAATTATACAGTCCTTTTAGAAAGATCTAAATCAACAGATAATACTCAGGACTGAGCACAGCTGAAGTTTGAAAATTGACAAAATTATGCACCTCACGTAATTGTATCGTTCAATATGTTAAACATATTGATTAATAATCCGTTAATTTTAAGTGGTACGTTTTGCGCTTATTCACTGATGCAAGTGGTACTGTGTTTCCTTCATTTCGGCAGTGCGAGAAACAAGGCCAAGGAGACATTATGTTTCAAGCCAAGCATGTGAGATGTGAGAATACGGCAAATATAAAAAAGCAGTTAGCTATATATATAGCTAGCTATATGTGGGTAGGAAATATTAGGGCGTATCATACTTGATCTATCCCAGTTTTAATAAATACACCCGCCGCTGGAATACATCAAGTTTTAATATACGCTCGGCAAACACTGTAATCACCGCTAGGAGAAGGAAACAATTATAGCAAAATATAATGAATTTCTTGGACTGAGAAGTGTGCTAAATTGCCCAAGGGCAAGACAGCCTGTAGATCATGCGCAGATATAATTAGTTTTGACTATATCGTGGGTATTTGACTATAAATTTCTTTAATTTTGCATGCGCTGCATGACTTCCAGTATCACGTTCATGGAACGTTCGCAACAATACAACAGAAACACATGTACTCACAATACGAAAGATCTCGTTTTAATTAAACGAAATTGCGGAATTCGTAAAATTTTAGGCGTTTTCAAAATCTTTTCTATGTGGTCAGTCATGCAATCAAATTTAAACATTGCATGCTATATAAAATCAAAGCATGGTCATATCTCTGTCTGTGTATTACTCTACTGCTCTATAGCATATTTACACTGCGTTTTCAAAGTTATATGTCATTAGTCAAGTGATTGTTTCCTGTTCAAATTGTACGGCAAAACTAGGAATATCATCACTGCAAATTCAACATTGTATAAAGAGGATTTTTGATATTTTAAACTTTGATTATGGGAGAGTATATATAATACATTCCATATATTACACCTGCTTTTATTATTATCATTTATAAAACGCAATACATGGCATCAACTAAAATCGTAACTCACAGCAATTAAGATAACAATTTGTTAAATGTTTACCATACATCCGGAATATAATATATAATTCGGTACTTGAGCGAATTCAGTTGAGTAGCCTTTTCTTAATAAACTTACCAGACAAATAGGGCAATTACGATCCAAAATACTTGTCGAGTGGCCACCATACTTGGTTTTTGTCAATTCACGAACCCTTCGGATGTTTTCAAAGGCTGTTCTATTGCAAAGATGGTCACTCAAGAACGTTGTCCTAACGCTTTTCTGTTAATAACCCTGAGTAGTTGGTGTTAATGCTGTGAATTTTTACGTTCCGTCCTCTTAATTCAGCAACGTTCTAATGTGTCGCACATATGCGAGACTTTATAATATCCTCTGACTTTCCGTTGAAAAACAAAAATATATAATCAATTCCACATGGTAAATTCATTTAGACAAATCACAATCGCTCGAACAGAAGTTTTCCTGAATGACGCTTATCTCTCTTGAAAATGTGTGAATGAGGAAATAATTAGAAACCTCTTCCTCTCCACTTAAAGAACGCGAAATTCGTTAATGAATTCCGAGATCCATGGAAGGAAGAAGAAATTATGCCGTTGCGTTAATGCATTAAACATAAACACTTGTCAATTAAAACAGTTACAAAAAAATTCAGTTCATTATCCATACGTCGTAACAGAGCTTCGGTGAAAAAATCCAAAGGTGGCAACAGTCGTGTAGTGCGGATAAAATTTTCGGATGTATCAGCGGGTAATATATGATTTAATCCAAGATAATTAAACGTTTTTCATAGTAATGCAACACAATGGAAATACGATAGCAATGCAAAAAAAGATCTACTGTCTCAGTGCATGGTCATGCTGAAATAAGATTGGAAAAAAAATAACGAGATGAAACGCTGACCAATTAAATCTTCTTGTGAGTTGTGTAAACATTGTTGGAGGGGATGAACCTGGGGATGAGTAGCTACATACAGATTTTATACGTTGTTACCAAGGAAATATTGCCCGCATATATAGTAGGATGTTATTATATCTGTGATCTTGTATACTCAGTAATACGATGAATTAACAACCAAAAAAAAATTTCAAAATCGTCTTGTGTTCCCATGCAGATTAAATCCATAATAACCACTTTTTTTATGGCATGTTTTATTTCTCGGTTTTTCCCGTCTAAAGGATGATGCATTTCATGTTTTAACATGGCCCGGCATGCTCTTGCATGGCATCGAGCAAGTGGAGCAACCGGTTTATCCAGTTTGTATCACACATTTTCTAAACCCTCCGTTACTTGTGATCTTACCATTTTCAAGAATTTTGAAAAGAGTATATAATAAATAGTTATTTTGCTTCCTTTGTTTTACCGTGTTCTCTAAAACGATAGCAATAGAGAACCACTTCCATGAATCTCTCTATTCAACTTACAGTTATTTTTTATTTTCCTTGCTTACTGCATGTATACATGCTCTTTTTATGAGTCTTTTTATAAACGCCCCCCTCCGAGAAGATAATACCCTAAATCAGCATGCCATATTGCTTTCGTTTTATTCCATTAACATTCACTTATGATAAGATTAGGATTTCTCAGTGTAGAGCAACAACTGTTCGTATTCCAAAGAGTCTATTGGATGAACTGATTATGGGATAAAATTCCAATAAGACATGCATGATCAAGTTGATGGCGTTAACTCAACTATGGATGTATAAGGCCCCTTTTAGACGTATAACTACTCTCCATGTGCCATATATTGCTACATGTTTGTAGTCAACAATACATGATTTGAATAGAGAAAATAAAGAAAATTTACATCCGAACTATTGAACATTGACCAATTGGGACAAAATGAAAACTAGGGCTGTGAATATTCTCTTCAGCTCCACGTATTTAGTTTTTACAAATCACTATATTCGGCTGGCGAATTATCAAGGTCCTGTTAGCATTTACCGGCAGAGATTATATATTTCTTAATATTTCATACAGGATTTCAGATTATGTGATTTAAAAAAGAGGATTATGAATTATTTACATTGGAGTATGTTATAGGTTAAGGATATTGATTACTATACCATCGCGCCAGTTAATTTTAGTTAAATTTAAAATTACCAAAAATAGTAAAAAGTGAAACTGACACACATTTGTGACCGAGACATTTGTGACTGAGATCGTGTTTGCAAATCAAGAGACACATTATATAACCAATCATGAACAGTTTGGCCAAAATCGTCTATGCAAAAAAAAATTAGCCACAAACCGCAAACTAACAGTTGTGTTCTTTAATTTAATAAACTATCAGCTGATTGAAGCCAGGATAATTTGAGCATGAAAATGAAAGCATGAAATATTGAGCTGTCGAAGACTTGTATAGCGTTGTAGTTGTAGGATTGGATTTACTTTCAAATACACGCGATTTGAAGTTTGCCGGCGGATAGCTGTTAGTGGTTCGCGTCGATCGATCCTAAGGTCTCTAATAACAACGGCTCACATGCCAGGATAACGACTGCTATAGTATAAATCATATGTAGGCAGCGCATATCTGCGTGATAGAATTTGCGAGAAATATTTCGGAAATCTGTCGCCTTTAGATCTGAAAGAACGTCCAGGAAAAGAGACGACCTTGGTTATGTTTACTTTTGAAATAAATTCTAGTCAGTAGGTCACATTATAGTGAGTCTCATTTGTTCTATATCCTGTTTTAGGGGTACGTATACTTTGGACATTTACGTCAATGAAATACGGCATATTTTTGTTATGTACTTAGGATTATTTAAAATCCCCCCTAATATGCATGGTCTCAGTAATCTGCAGGCTGAACAATCCTTGTCTTTCCGTTTGGTGGCGATTACTAGAACTTATCATCGCAAGGGTAACGCTGCTGTTACCTGCAACAGCTGTGTACTGATGACGTGATGAATTCTTAATAAGCAAACATAAAATCAACTTAGATCTGAAGACTTTACTGGAAAGAGCCTCCCGTCATGCACAAAAGCATTGCAACACTATTTAACTAAGGTTCCAATTTGCTAATCTCTCAGAAATGACGACCATAGTAGTTCAGTTTGGGATCAGTGAACTTAAATTAATTTTTATACCAACTTATTGTGTTTGGGAAGGAAGGAGATTATCATTTTCAGGCGACATGTATCTGAGTGTTTTCTTCCCAAAAGGTCATCTGATATTTTTATAATTGTACATACCAATGATCTCATGCACCGTTGGGGACCTCCAACCTCTCGAGTCGAGTGAGATGTCACGTTTAATTTATTGATCATGAGATTAATGGTAAACACAACCTATGGATAGTAAATACAAACTATACAACGGTTATATTTACCATCTCTTAAACTTCTAAGTACCTGCTCAATATAAATAATGTGTCACTCATTTACTGCCTAGAAACATGGCCCCACCCTCTCATAACGAGGTTCGCCACTCGTCAGCTTAGATGTAAATGTGAAAGTAGGCTTGTTTATTATTTGTAATCCCTCTATGAGGCACATTAAAAAATCATTACCCTGTCACCTATCTACAGCCTTTCCAAAAAAACTCATTAACCGACTAATGTTAGCTGGAACGACAATTTAACAATACTGAACAGCTCAGTCTTAATTTTTATTACTGTATAATTATAAATCGCTGCAAATACCTGAGATGTGTGTGAAGCATTGTACTGACCTACCAAACTGTATGGAATTTATAGCAAAATGAAAACTATTGTTGGAAAATCATTTTATTCGATATTTAAAATTCTTAATTGTCACACTAAGAAATAATTATAAACAGACTGGCCAGTTATAGTTACCTTTTTCTTGAACCAGGGCTAATGAGGATTTGGGCCTACCTCAACCCGAGTAAAACCTTTGATGTTTGGACGTCCAAACTCTTCAAGGTTGTTCAAAGAAAATATTAGAACTGTCCATTTTTTTCTGCTTCGAGATCCGGGAAAATGTGTAGAAATTGAGATGCTTGAAATGACATTTTCAGCCTTCAAAGTAGACGTATTGAGAACATTTTTCACCAGCAATTGCGAATTTAACAATTTAACAATTTAAAAACTCAATTCTTACTACTGCCGGTAAATTTTAGGTTTTAGAACTATTAATTTTCCAATTAGAACCGCCTATTTTAGGAAAATTAAGGGCTTTACGCTAACTGGATAAAATGATTTCTATATAATGACTTCGAATTTGATGACTGAATTACGCTGCATTCCAGCTATGGTGAAATAATTTTATTAAGTCCATAGATTGAAAACAAGCTTGAAAACAGCTTAAAGCTTAACCGTGATTAACAGTGCGGTTTCGCCCCCTAAAACTTAATTCGACCCTGGCTAAGAAGTGGGTAATACGTAGTATACGAGATAGGCAGACAGCAAATAACAACTTTCGTTTAAGAAGAAAACAGCTAAACTGATTAGAATTGTTCGTGTCTTCGTGTAACTTGATAGCACGAGCAACAACAGTCCCCTACATTGTTAACCGGATGACATTGCCATTGGCCATATTTTCAATCCTCTGAACTTGAAGGACAGCTTTGCTGGCGTAGATTTTGTGCGTAATTAGCTACTTTCAGCTATGGTTAACCAAGACGATACTCAAGTAAGAACTCTGACTAAAACTACCACAGTAATGACAAATCACACAAGCAGTACGTTTGTGGTGGTCTTGCTGACCTCGCTTTAAAATGATATTTGCAATACAATGGGCAAAGTTTTTTTTACAATTTGCAGCATCATCATTTAGTTGTAAACAGACAATTCCGTTTGCGTAAAGTTCAGCAAAAATGAACCGATTTCCTTTAAATTTGTCCATACGAAGACGCATCAAATTCAGAACGGAAAGAGAATCCAAAGGAGCGCCACTCCACGGAAGAGACAAGGAAACGCAAGAAGCAAGAAACAACAGTCAATGGTATGAAGATCACACTCAATATTAGCACCATCATGATGTGTCAGTGTTTTGAAGAGAGCCAGTTTCAGCGGGAACAACATGTCTTTTTAGCATCCGTTGTCCGCCGACGGCCCGGGTCCAAGGTGAAACAACAGCTGTTTAAAAACGAAACTAAAATTCCTAAAACAACCCACGTCAGCTTTTAGGAACTTGTTTTCCCGCAAAAATAATAATATAACCGATACAAACTAAAAAAGTACCATAACAAACAGTTAGGTTTGGTTGCCTGACAGGAAATATTGGGATATTATATTTTCAATGTTCGATTCGAGAATTTTTGCTCGGCAGGTCTTTACCCATAATGAGGGAAGTTATGGCCGTACAATGGGTACAATGGAGTTAAGAATTGCAGTCCCACAGATTGAACAAAATTAATTTTAATAAGGTCTGGGCCGTCTATCAAATTTTACTCAAGAATAAGGGAATTTTTGTTGAAATCATCCCATTCATTCGTCCGCTCCCGCAAACGTTTTTCTCATGGCACAGGAGCCAAGGGAGGACTAGGACTACGTTTGGTGACCGCTGACGGTGATATTTAAAAGTTAAATTTTTGGTACTGGATCGAATCCAGAGAATTGTAGTTAAAGGCTAGTTTCCACTCAGGAAAATTCTCCTTTGGATCGGACAGGACAGCAAAGTTTTCTTTGTATAAACACCGCCTGAGAACTCACCGACAAAGGAAATTTTGCTGTCCGTTCCGATCCAAAGGAGATTTTTCCTGAGTGGAAACTAGCCTTAAAAGTAGTTGTAACGACGTGAGAACTAAACTGGGTATCTTGGCTTTATATGAAAGTATTTATTTATAAATCTAGTATGCTGGAATGATTGAATAATCCACTGATAAATCTTAACCACACAACCAACAATGAGGCTGCAAGAATACTATCACGTGATACATTCTACACGTGAAGTGGTTTTCGAAAATAACAAAGAATTTTGGCAATTGAATGTCGTCGAAATGGATGGGAAGCAGGCTTATAGAACTGTGATTTGTGGCAAAACAAAACCTAAAAGAACGTCAATTAATAGCTTATTCCCAGAGATTTTAACCATTATATTCTGCTACTTAGATTTACGTGATAAAGGACGCGTAGCACAAGTATGTCGAAGATGGCGTGATGCTGCCTATGCCAAGTGTGTATGGAGATCAACTCAAGCGAGATTACATTTTAGACGATCAACTCAATATTTATTTCCCTCATTAGCGGCCCGGGGAATTCGTAAAATACGGGTACTCAGTTTGAAAAACGATCTTAGTTACTTGGTACATAGCATGAGTAATCTGGAGTGTCTAAATTTGAAAGGATGTTACAACGTTACAGATAACAGTATAACCAAGGCTTTTGTGAAGACTATGTCGACTTTGACAGTTCTCGATCTAAGCCTTTGTAAACAAGTGACCGATACTAGTGTGGATCGAATTTCTCGTTTTCTATGTAACCTGGAGATACTAGATCTAGGTGGTTGTTGTAATATTACAAATGGTGCTTTGCTCTATTGCGCGAAAGGACTTGTTCATCTGAAACACCTCAACTTACGTAGTTGTCGTCATATTTCCGATCTTGGCATAGCCCACATTGCTGGTCTCACTGCTGCTACTTATGGGAATAAAAACCTTACCCATCTTTGTCTTCAAGACTGTCAGAAAATTACTGATAATGCTCTATGTAATATAGCCAAAGGTTTGCTGAACTTGGAGGAATTAAATTTAAGTTTTTGTTGTGGTATCCGAGATGTCGGTCTCGCAAATTTGGCTGGCCTCAAACATTTGAAAGAAATAAATCTGAGATCGTGTGATAATATTGGAGATGAAGGGATTTCAAGTTTAGCGGATGGATGCTCAAGTTTAACGAGTTTAGATTTAAGTTTTTGTGACAGGATTGGGGACGAAGCATTGAAGCACATCTCGCACAGTCTGTATAACCTAAGACATCTAGAATTAGGCTCGTGTAGAATTACAGACGAAGGATTATATGCTGTTGCCAGAAACTTACAAGATATTCGAGTTTTGAATATTGGACAGTGTAACATGATTACAGACAAAGGACTCGCATATATAGCGGAAAATCTACGAAATGTAACAAGTATTGACTTATATGGTTGTACGAAAGTCACAAAAATTGGTTTGAATCAAATTGTCCAGATGCCAGAACTGCGCATATTAAATCTTGGCCTTTGGCAAAGGTAATACAAGAACTCTATTGTTTGAGTGTGTTTCAATAAAGCAGCATGATGAAACGCACTGCCTTGAATGCCTTGCCAACAAGAGAAATTCAGTACGCTCCTTATAGGAGAAAAAGTATATTTTGAACTAAAATCAGGATTTTTACAGAAACATTTTTAAAAATCATGTACATAGCAGAATCTATAATTTTAACACAATGCATTGTAGGCTTTAATGCCACATTAGTATAAATATGGTGCTGTAAATAGATCTATAGAATGCTACCACCAAGTACTAAATTGTAAAAAGAAAAACTTTATGGGGAAGTATCACACATTATATGCTGTCTGGCCAATATAAACCTCATGTCCGAGGTTTTCTTTTGTAGTTTTGGCCCAGGGCACAAACAGAAACTCTAAAAGGAGAGGCTCTAGGTCTGCACTTGGATACTTGTCAGGTTTTGCCAGATTTTACTGCTTGGTGTCGTAGGTTTTTGCAGATAAAATTGCCTCTTCCTGTTTTATGAATGAAGTTTAATTTTTTAACAATAAATAGTGGGAAATTGAGTTGGAGACTCAATTTCTCAGGGTCATGTGAGATGTGAGAAAAATTCTTTTTGGATATTCTTCACGATCACCTCTGCTTCTCCACCATTCTTCTTGCTACCTAAAACACTTAGAAATATGTTGCCCCACTTTTATCGAATAAAAAATTTAGTAAGAAAATGAGCTGTCTTTCATTGCCTAATATGAATTGAAAAAATGAATGAAAGATTTTTTACCCACTAGCAATTTTCAAAAATTTACAATGCATGAATATTGCAAAAAAACCTTCAAGACAAGATGAGAACCATAGGCTAACACAGAGTCACCACCAGTGAACTGTAAATGAACTATATTATAGTTCACTCACTGGTCAACACCAACCACTCAAGCGTTTCAAAAATTAAAAGGTCAGCGGTATATAATAAAAAAAACAAAAAATCAAAATCCCAAAATCCCCTAAATTTTCCCAACTTTTGTCTCGCCATCGAGTTTGGCTGAGTTGATTATGGCTTCGGCTGAATCTCATGTTGACATAGAGCAACAAATTCTAAATATTATTGCTTCTACTGTTCCGAACGAAGCGAAGAAAACTTTAATAGAGTACTGTTGTAAGCAATCACTGGAATTATTGCAGCAAGACGCATGTCATAGTGTTTTAAAACACGCCATTGAATGGATCGTGCGTGAATCGGACGAGTTATTGATCGACAGTGGTCGAATGTTGTTGAAGACTTGTGCTCAAAATAAACCATCGGCTCTTGCTTCATTTTTTACAGAAACCGTTTTGTTAACATTGCTCAAAGCGAACGATGCTGAACCAAATCGCATACTAGACATTATAAATTGCGTGTTTCCATATTTGAAGACGTCATCCAAAATCTACCCACGACTATGTAAAATTGTGTGTCAAGAAGTTACAACATGGTTAACTCGAGATGAGATACAGTTTTGTGGTAGTGTGGCTATGTTTTTGGAGGAAAATTTTGAATATTTACTAGACATACAACATGAACTACTCAGAGTAAATATTCGAATGATTCAATGTCTTGGCAAAACAAAAATTCCAAATGTATCCAAAGATGCAATGATTGAATTTTTCGATAAAGTGGAATGTATCTGCAAATTTCTTCGCACTATTTGGGCCAAAGATACATCACAAAGCTTTATAATGATCTCGGTCAAAGAATGCTTTGAAATATTGTCAAACCCAAGCTATCAAAGTACTGTGGCTTTAGCAAGTCTTACTAATTACATACCAGAAGATGTCATTAACCCTATAATTGGTGATGTCACTGTTTCAAGCACCATAACTGATGATACTATTCTCTCTGGATTATCAAAAATGGTGCAGTGGCTTGTATGGCCAAAAAAAACAAAGGTTGCACTGTGGCTGTTGACATTTTTCAGGTGTTTAGGGAAAAGTGGGAGGAAAAAGGTCTTGCAACAACTCATTCTGGATAGAATATTACAGGTGAGGGAGAAAATGAAAATTGCAGGAAACATCAACATTCCATGTGCACATTATATTAGGTAGCATATTGTCATCTTGCCTTTAAGTGAAAACAATAGTTTAGGAAATAGATTTTCTAAACAATGCAATAGATTTTCTGGGTACCTTGCTATCTTAATTATATGGTCTGTTTAGAAACATCATACCCTTTACTCAACATTATTTAGGCACTTTATACTTAGGCACTTTATACTTATATAGGCACTACCATACTCAAGTAATGCCCTAATTTGATGGTACAATCATAGTAATATCTTGCTATTTTAATTTTAGGTCCTCAGCAGAGTATTTATGCCTGTAATCCGTGAAAGCAATTTTGTAGTTCTGGTCAACATGCTTATGAACTGTTTGGATTCACCTTTTGCATTTCATAAGGTACTGTAAAAATGTTTTTAAAAAGCTTCGTAACTACTTCTTACAATATCTGGTTAACCGGTTATGACCAATATTTAGAGTCATTAAATGAATGCAGTATCAAAGTGCAATGACAAAGTAAAATGCAATGCAAATGCACAGTCTGGAGGCATGGCCTCTTAGATCAGTTCTTATATTAACTGTGTACTACTGTATATGTAATGTTTTTCTTATGGCAGTGTCGTTAATACTAATTAATACTTGAAACCATTATTTTTCTTTAGATTATTCCATTTGTTCCAAATCTCATGGATCGTTTACGAAAAGAAAAAAAGGAGCAATCTAATCATTATTTAACTGCATTAGGAGAATTGATGTTTACACTAATGTACAGATTTCCTGATAATTCAGGAGTTATTTATGGACCTCTTTTACTTGCTTTAAAAGTAAGCAAAACGTAGACATTTCATAAATTAGTAACAGGAGAATGCATATACTTTGAATCTATGGCTGTCTGACATAAAGTAATGTTATTTTTGCCATTCCAAGGTATAAAACAATAATTTTCTTGAAAAACCAACAAATTCTTACTAAGTGATCTTGTAGGATATTTCCAAACCAACCATTGAAATGATGAACAAATGGATCCACTCTGCATCAAACATTGGACATGCAAGTGAGAATAGTGAACCTAAGACAAGTTTCATCTTCACAACAGAGATGTTGAACTTAGTCAAAAACAAAAGCAGGACTGGATTAGTGAATTTGGGAAATACATGTTACATGAACAGTATCTTGCAGTGTCTCTTCATGCTTGATGTGTAAGTACCCTACTAAAAACTAATCATATGAATATTTAACTTTTCATACCATATAACAACAATTTACTTCGCTAGTTAACTGGAATAACTGGTTGACGGAATAGGACTGATATTTAGAGTCATTAAGTACGTAATTGCAGTACATAGAGCAATGATTGACCAAAGAGATGATTTTCATCCAGTCTAGTCTGTTTCATTTCAGATGCATGCGTATCATTGGAATTAATTTGTTATATTATGATTACATTCAAAAGAATGAATAATCATCCAGTCATCAACATACGATGATGATACCAGTCATACCACAGAGATAGAAATGTGCTTTACATATACATTCAAATGATATATTGACTGTAAGATTAACAGGGAAGACTATTGTAACTCTTTGCACTGTTACAAGCACTGTTACAAAAAAATAACAATAAACCTTTTGGGAAAGGTGGTTGAAAGTACATATATCAGTGTTTCTGACATTTTACTTAATATTTTACTTTAGGTTTCGTAATCATTTGTTCGCAAGGCCTGCCTCACAAACTAGACACCCTGTTCTGTATAGTCTGCAAGATGTCATCACATTTTTACTTCTATCCAAGGTAAATTGTGGGAATTAATTGAGGCAATTCTTGTAATTTGTCCTGTAAATAAATTATGGTTGTGAAGTTGATACACTATAAAAGGTATGTACTGTAAAACAACAGTAATATTGAAATGAAACTCTAACGTGATCTTTTATTTTTTTAGCGAAATGCTGTAGCACCTGAAAATTTTGTTCGACATTCTCGTCCACCCTGGTTTCCTGCCAGGACTCAACAGGACTGTTGTGAATTTGTTCATTACTTGATGGATAAATTAGAGGAAGAAGATAAATCCCTGTTACAGGATAAGGTAGAAACAGCGACACCAGCAACAAATATTGTCGAAGAACATTTTAAAGGCGTTCTTTGTGTTACATATGAATGCATGACTTGTGGAAATGAGTCAAAACACAAGGAAGACTTCACAGATATACTTCTTGCATTTCCGGAAGTATTGCCTGTTAATGCTGAGACACCAAACTCCAGTAATCTTCCAACACAGGAAGAAAATCCTAAAAGTTTAAAGGGTGGAGATCAAGTTCGAAATTTACAAGACAGTAGATACAAGGAAGATTCGTTTGAAACATCCAAAGAAAAAGCGTCTAACGTCCAAACAAAACCAAAATCATCAACGGATAGTCCAACCACAGTGAAACAAGACGTCAGAAATCGCTGTACGTTTACCATTAACGAAATGCTTGATTATTTCATGAAACCCGAACAACTCACTGGCAATAATCAGTATTTTTGTGATGAATGTCGTGCTAATGTTGACGGGGAGCGCCGTGTACAAATAACAAAGTTACCGAAGTTTCTCGTTCTCTCTTTAAAACGCTTTAGTTTTGATGTGAAGAGTCAGACAAAACCAAAATTATTACATGTTGTAGACTATCCAGAAGAACTAACTTTCTGCAGTGTTGGTGAAAGTATTCTCTTACAGTCAAATAAAGAAGATGAGGAAATTGCGATGAAGATCGATGGTGAAGAAGATCAAGCCATGGACACATCATTTTCATTATATCCATATAAACTATGCTCTGTGGTCGTTCATTCCGGTCATACTTGTGAAGCTGGTCATTATTACAGTTACGCTTTAGATACTTCCAGAAACGGCAGTGATTCAAAACGAAATCAATGGTATTGCTTTAATGATGAAAATACTTATGAAACGTCGTATAAGGATTTCGTGGAAAGAGAGAGGAACAGCGTAACTGACACGACATATATTGTGATCTATATGATTGATAAACCAGGAATGAATGAAGCGTGTGAACAGACTGAAGCTCCAGCCGAGATGATAACCAGGGTTGAACAGGATAATCGCAAGTATCTACTGGTAAAAAAACAAACTTGAATCATTCAAATAAACCACTTCTTTCCACGTGTACATCGGAGACACAGTTCTGTGATCGTAGATTTCTAAAGATCATAGATTTCATAGATTTTCACTTTTCACGAAAATCAGTTTTTGGGTATATCAGGATAGGTTTGGGGTTTATCCAAATCCCAGGGGGGGGGTACCATTGTATCTCAGTTTTGTTTTGAAGTAAGATGGAAATATTCAGTGTTGCTTTTCTTTTTATGCAGGAAAGATCGACACGTTCTTCAGTTCAACAACAAAGTAAAGCGGTGGAAGGCCGCAATAAAGAAGACGACGACTCACCCCCACCTGGGAGTTGTGGCTCTAATGGTTCAAGCTTTTCCGTCCCTGGAAATAGGTTCATTTTTTAACAAATGAATCCTCGAGATTTGCGGGTATCCCACTCCAGTATATATAGAAAAGAATGCCGAAATCAATGTTATTGTAGTGACACGGATGCATTGTCTGTGTGGGGCAGGATCATGCAACACGTCCAGTGTGTTGTTACGTAGTTTGTTACTAATAATACCTTAAAATTATTAGATATAACTATATGTACGAGGTGTTTAAACGATTGTTTTTCACATATTGACTAGTGAGGATCTGGGATTTAAGAGTGTGAAGCCCTCGTAAACTTGTCATGGGAGCTGTTTTAAAATGCGTTGAGTTTCTACGAAAATAATAATTTTGAAATGACTATGATAAATTAGTTTGTTATCTTGGTGAAGCGTACCTCAAATTTGTAACAACAATATAAAAGGTTTATGTGCTGAAGGGTACCACAAACCCGCAATCAATGGTCTCAAATATCTAAAAATGGCTTTCAAAAAATGCGACAACTCAACAGAATTAGTGAACAACAAGAGGTTTTATTGTATTCGATAATTAAAAATATTTTCAGTTTAATTATTCAATTCCACATCGTGTTACAATGTCATCTGTCCAATTTCTTCATTTCCCATAAACCATCATTTAAATAATGAATATTCTCGACTCCAATTCCTTTGTTGACAGAAACTCTAAGAGTAAACATTTCTAGAGATGAGGTATTTGCTATCGTGCGGTGACGTATCTTTTGAGCACCCCCAGTTAGCCCACCACCTGATGCCTCGCCTAGTATAGTAATATTATGTAACTATAATTCGTGGAGAAAACCTAATCGCGTTTAAAGCTTTCATTTACAGTCATCCACAGTAAATGCAGTCCTGTTTCTCATGTGCAACACTCCTATGGGTACTTGAAAGAGTACATGTAAAATTTCGATTTCGATTTTTGTATGTATACACAGATGTGTACAAATCAGTGGTACACAAGACCAGAAAGAATCAGACCAGACTGTATTGATTCCAAAAGCTTTTTTGACTCAGTTTGATTTGATTGTAGTACGCCTGAATGAGTTACTCACATGTCTTGTGATGACATTGTCATCGTTCCAACAGCTAATGCATGTATTTTTCCTTCAGCGTGAATGGCCTAAGGAAGCAGGTCAAGGAACACATACACAGTAATGACTAGCGAAAGAATTCGGTGGAAACTACACATTTTCATTCCCCATAACACACGTCCCTTAACACGGGTTAACCCAGAGCTTCGTTATCGTTACATAGATATCTTCTATACCCAGGATTAGGAAGGCTTCCTGACCGATGTAAAATTAACTTTCGAAGGGTATATGTATATGAATAGGATACAATAATCGAATCCTTATCCGCATCAATAAGATTTGCACCAGGTGACGTAAGGCCAGGACACATAATGTTTGCTCCACTCAGGATAAATTTAATGGCACCTTTATCTACCTGTTGATGTGGCAATATAAATGGGTCTAAATAAAGATATTAAACTTTGATATTAATGACCATGCCATGAAGTATTGGCTGAGTCAGAAGGTGGGGAGCATTTAGCATTTTATAAGTTGCGTTAATCCCCACGAGCAAAAATTCGTGAACAAGTCATTCAAATTTTAACAATAGGTGATTTCAATAGTTTTGGGTTTTTTTGGGACACCCTAGACAAACGTAAACGTTGAAAATGAGATTCCATGTGTGCTAGATAAACTGACAACACTGTCAATAATTTTTTGGCTTATCTACTTTATCAAAGTTTACTCTATCACCGACTAACTACAGTGAATTTTCGCCGCTCATGATAAAACTGGAAAGAAATTGATGATGAAAATAAAAATATCATGTAATAACTCACACTGATGCAGCAATCTTAGTGTTGGGAAATATGGACTGTCTCTTTGTTTAAAAAACAACAGCTCTGAGTTGACAGCAATTATTTCAACATGATCATGGCTAAAAAAAGGACATAAACCATCACCACCGCACCAGATCAGAGTATAACCCGTATAGGGAGCAGCCAAGTTCGGGTTGTATGTCATTGCTGCGGTCTGTCAGTCTTAACAGAGTAGTTTCACTATTATTACTCTATTCTGTAGCTAAGTGACATTAAGTTACAACACACTATGTATAATGCGTTTCACCTAATTTTTCTCTCTGTCAAATGACCTAACCCAATTTACTTTATCGTCGGAAAGTGACTGTTGTTGATCTGCTGATGAGTGAAGAAGGCGACCAAAGCATGTCTCATTTATTTGATTGCGATGATCCGGTTAGCCTGCGCACAGACGTAATGTACACGTAAAATACGTATTTTACGTGTACATTACGTCTGTGCGCAGGCTATGATCCGGTTAGAAACAATACTGATAAAAGTCGAGAAGCCTTGTTGTATCTATCATCGTTAATGTATTCGGCTGCTGGCCAAGAATTTAAACTCGATTGCAATTGACGGACGCAATACATTACATAGGTAATGAATAAGTAATGAATGAAAACAGTATTTTACCATTTAATCAAAACCATCGACTCTTTTTTGGGGCAAATACCATCTATATAATCTTTAATGGCGGGAAACTGCTCTACTAGTTTAGCTCTTATGCTTCTTTGGACAGATGACTTGAGTTGAGTTACACCAGATATGTTTTCATCTGCCTGAAACCTATGGAAATATTGATCGTATTATTTTGTGCACTTGCGAAAGTTAGGACAACGTCCGTTTTTTCATGTGCTCAATATAGTATCTTATCATAATTTTGTTAGGCACCTTATTAAGGTCTCATGAACGGTCGTAGTCTCTATTAAGAAAGTGTTATGGTAGAAACGGGTCGTGGCGATCGTGCGTGTTCACAACATTTACTAGGCTCCAAAATATGTATCATAAATGAAATATCTTAAAAAGTATTTTTAGTTGATGTTGAGTGGTTGTGATGTTTTTTCACCTCGTATGTACAATACGTTCCAATATAGATTTTTATGATTTCAAAGATATACCAATATGAAAAAAACAACTTTAACCAATGCAAAAATTTACTTTTTATCCATTCATGTTAAAACAGCCCAATCTAGCCTGACTGACATTGTTTAGTCTTGTTATGAGCAAACGTTTTGGTTACTAAGTTGCTTCACTTAACAGCTAAACATTCCAGGAGCATAACCAATTTAACATAAAAAAGATTTAGAGCTCGAAGACAATCTCAACTGACAGGTCTAAATTAAGATCCCCCAAATGAAAATTGTAAAAAAACCTGTAAGATATTAAACCCATGAATAATAATTCTCAACATATTGATTCCTAAGAGTCAGAGAAAAGCACATATGTTACAATGTAGTAGGATATTGACTAGGATGAAAAAGTGAAAATTCAAGAAAGGAAGGAGTGAAATTGATGGATTGAAACAGAGTGGATGAAATTTTAGTTTATGAGAACAAAAAATTTGTTCAGAGGCCAGTAGTTTACTTTGTCTAATAGCAAATCTATCTTTCAAATCTTTCTAACCCAGGCTATAGAGTTTTAGCTTGGCTTCAGCAGTCATATTATCAGAAGAAATGCAATATTTTTTAATGGGGAGAAAATATGGGTATAGTGTAGCATTGCACCAACATTGCTACATGGCAAAAAATGCTCAAGTTGTTTTCCAGTTGATGAAAACAGAGCTGAACAATGTTGCACTGCACAGCAAGAACACTACTGTTATCAATTTGTAGCAACTTGTCAGGCAAAAAATTGCCACAATTTGTACAACAACCATGTTTGTTGGGTGCATCACAACAATGTTCAGTTCTGTTTCAGTTTCATGAATGGAGAACAACTTAATAAATTTTCACGTGTGTAACCTCCAGTGATAGCGAATTAAATTTCAGCATACTCTCATAGTCACAATAAAGCTAAACCAATAGTCTAGGGCAGTTTAATTAAACAATTGTAACCCAGTACAACCTGGTAAAATGTCATTTGCAGGTATGCTTTTCAGGGACCTTGTTAGGGAGTGTTTTGAAGCCTTCTGGCTAAAAATCAGCTATAAACCTTTCCCTCTTCACTGTCAGGGGGTTGCAAGGATGCTCGTGCATTTGTACCATACCATAATATGTCCTATTGACTTAACGAGAATCGCTAATTTAATACAAATCAATAGATATTGATAACTATATTTTCTCTCTATGTATATATATTTATATATTGATGATGAATTAAATATCAATAAACTCACTTCTTAAACATTTTGCTTTCTTGATATTTGAAATTTTTAAATTCTTGTATGAGACTATGAGCCCGCACTTTCACAGAATAATTTATTTACTACTACACTAAGTATTTGTGAAATCCAAAATGGTGTCCACACGACAGTGCACAACAAAGTTCTCTGTCGGAGAAACAGTTTTATGCTACGAACCAGATGAAAGCAAAGCAAAAGTTTTGTATGAATCTAAGGTATATCATGATATCGACTTTCTTAAAGACTTTCTTTTACAAAAAATGTAGATTCATCATTCATTCTGGTGACTCTCAGTTCAGCCTCTTTTTCTCTCTTTTGTCAATTGTCATTGCTATCCCCCTATGAGGACAGTCATATGCAAATAAGCTCTGGAAACCCTGGAGGCTGGAGCATGTGATGTCAGAACAACTGAACAAAAACTATCCAACAGGCAGCAAAGGAAGGCAACACAGAAAATTTGGTTTCCCTGGGCCACCCCATTTAGGTTACCTGAAATCAGGCAAACACAGAGAAAATGAACCCTGTTCAACTCCTGTCACAACAACCAGGGTGCATTACGAATGCATCAATATAATCGAATAAACCAAAACATGGTATATTTGAGTAATTTGACAATGGTAAGCTCGAATATACGGAATATGGTATATTCAACTATGGTCGAATATACTGGAGTACGGTATATTCAACCTTGTTAAGGTAAATACCATACCATAGTAAGGCATACCATTTCCATTTGAGCTTACCATGTTGAAATATACCATATTCTGGTATATTTAACCAGTGTAAGGTTGAAGATATTTTACATCCGATATATCAAAATATGGTATATTTGACATTGGCAAGGTTTAAGAAATTCTATATCTTTGATGCACAAAACAAATATGGTATATAATTGAACATACCGAAACATGGTATATTTAACCATGGTAAGGTCGAATATACTGGAATATGGTGTATTCAACCTTGGCAAGTCGAATATACTGGAATATGGTATATTCAACCATGGTAAGTTGAATATACTGGAATATGGTATATTCAACCATGGTAAGTCAAATATACTGGAATATGGTATATTCAAGGTTGAATATACTGAAACATGGTATATTCAATCATGGTAAGGTTGAATATACTGGAATATGGTATATTCAACCATGGTAAGGTCGAATATACTGGAATATGGTATATCCAACCTTGTTGTTGTCTTATACCATATGTTTTCTTCATGAATATAATCTTTTGTCTTTATCAACATTACGAAAATTAAGAACAAAAAGTACCATAACAATTTTATGGAATACAGAGGTCGATTTGTGCTTAGCAATCACAGTTCAATTTCTTTGAAGATCCCTTTTTTCTTGTCTGTTGTAGATAATACAACACACTACTCTCTTGCGGTCAAAAATCTTAGGAGAATGAAATATTTTGTACACTTTAGTATGTCTCCACAAACGTGATATGAGCTAATTTCTTATATTAGATTTTGGAAATTGATTTCACAAAAGATGAAAAAGGAAAGAAAGTCCCTGAATATTTTGTCCATTTTAGTGGATGGAATAAAAGGTAGGAGTTTGGATTAAAAGTATAAATCCTTAATCCATCGTTTTATAAAATCCGCGAATAAATAACCATGCTGGATTGCTAGCTAGAAATGTTAATGTAGGTTTATTAGCACACAATTATACATCCACACTGATCGTCCATGAACTTCCATCCATGAATCTATAAAGAAAAAGTTAATAAAACTTGAAGCTTTTAACGCCTGTATTTTAAAGCGTTATTCACACTCACGCATTGGGTGGGAGGTCGTAATCACCTTATTCCATGGAAATCTTCACGAACGTTACCCAACAGATAGCTGAATTCTGAGTATTTACTGAGAGAAAAAGACTTGCATGATCAGGCCTGTCAATCTCGGGCTTTAAGTATTAATTTCGAGAAATATATGCACGTCGTTTGTAATGTTTTTTTTTACCGAATATTTGTTTAAGCTGGGATCGCTGGGTTCTGGAAGATCAGATTGTCGCTGGGACTGAAGTGAACAGACAAAGAATGAAACGACTGCACGAGGAGGCCGTTAATCGGTAAATGTTTAGTAAAATATTGACTCTACAGACTACTGTAGTATTAACCTTCATTCATTGTAAAGATTTCGTCTACGTGCATATATACATCTACTATAGCTTCAATTTAACAAAGCATTTTTGACGTTCCAAGGCTCAAATATTGATATTGTACAGTAGTTCCAATATAACCAGGGAGCAGCGTGGCAGCCTCTTCAAACAACTTACTGTAGCATCAAATACTCTCCTGACAAAGGCCCTCAGGTCGAAACGTCGAGAAGTATTCTTGTACAGTATTTAATCCTGGTCGTGTGCCTTACACAAAATTTACAAAAAGCTAATCATTTTTGTTGGGGTTTTAAGTATTCTTTGAAAGCAGTTCGAATAATTATTAAATACCATCAACTCAATTATGCAAAATATACTCATGGTTGATTCTCGTTAATGTGCATGTGTTCGCTCCTTCTAATTATGAGCTTAATTTGAGTAGAACTAACTATATAATCCTCTTCCCACTCCTGTTAAAAATTGTTTATATTTTATTTCAATTTTAAGCCTTAAAAACAGAAAAAAACGGAAGTCTATAACTCCAAATGTTGACACGCCAAACACCAACGTAGAATCAGGTCTTGATGATGCTCCGTCTACACAGGTTTGAAAACTATTTATGATTTAAGAACGTTATGTAAAGGTCGGTTCACACGATCCAATTTTGTTGGATCCAATCCACTTCTGATGGATGTTTTATAGTCTTTTGTCTTGTAAGCAGCAAATCTACCGAAGCCAATGCACTACTGCTTCATCAATCAACGACTATATTCCATACGTCAAAAGTGAATTGGATCCAACAAAATTGGATCGTGTGAACAGACCTTAATAATACAGACATTCTGAACGTATGAACTCATCTGAATATGGGTGAGCTCAGACACAAAAGAGAACAGTGGCGTTGTTTTGTTGGGAGTTTACAATTACATACATACAATATATTATTAATTGCATCCAGACAGGAGATCGCCAGTTCTTATCGTTGTTGATATCATTAAGACATAATCTTGTTTTATTCCCATATAACCTGATGATCTCTTTCAGTCGGTACCGACTCCTAGCTCTCCGTCAGCACCAAGCATTGATATTGAAATTCCATGTGCATTGAAACTTAAACTTGAAGATGATTGTTACTTCATTAAACGAAAGAAAAAGGTGAGATGTTACTTCGATCACGGAGTTCTATTAAATAAGTTTCACCAGAAAGTTCAAACATGTCCAAGTTTTTATTTTTGGAAATTGAAACGGCTCAGTGTTGTCACATACATTGGTCATTCAAATTAAACCGTTATACTTGGTTTTTAGCTTGTTCGTCTGCCTCGTTCTCCTAATGTTATTGATATTTTAAAAGAATACATTAACCACGTGACACTCCAGGAAAGTCACCAGCAACCATCAAACGATGTTCAGTCCAGGTAATAAATTGTATTGTTGGATCATTTTCGGTCCCCAGCGAGTAAAGTGTCATGCATCTTATCCTGATCAGTTTAGAAATAATGTCTTGTCTACATGATTCCTTTTCCAGGACGTCCTTCATATATATACCAGATTTTGAAAGAATTATCACGAATTATAACTTGTCTAACTTGCATTTAGCGTGAAAATCGTAAAAGAAGTAATGGATGGTCTTCGTGTGTATTTTGATTTTACACTTCCCTCGCTTCTTCTCTACAACATCGAGCGTGATCAACACGAAAAAGCCATGAAGGAAGCTGCGATGAAACGTCAGAAAACAAATGATGTGAAAACAAATTATCCGTCTGATGTCAATACGACTCTTGAGAAATCAAGCATAAAAATTGAAAATATCGTCGAGGAAGGAAACGAAAAGAATGAAACAAAACCATCAATAAAATCAAAACGTACAACAGAAAAATGCGCTGATGAGCCCAGTAAAGGTAAAATTGTTGATTGCACGTTAAATAAAAATAATATAATACAAACCACTGTAGCACAGTCCTATAATTACGTCTGAATAATTAAACTGTTCGAGTGTTTCCTCTGTTGATACCTACTATCAATTCAGTTGTTCTTTCATGTTCACTACCATCCATACACAACACGCATTTTCCGCCATTCAAACAGGAGGGAGTGGGTTTGCCTGCATGGCAGGAGGGACCGCCTGCCATGCAGGATAGGAGTAGGTGAATAGAGGGAAACTGATGATATTCGGATGGGAAACTGACATTTAAAAAATGCAAAAAACATGGAATAAATGCTTAGCCACAACTTGCATGTTACATGTATTGAGGGGATAGAAAAAAGTTCAACAGTAAGGATTACATGTTTTTGACAGATGATGAATCCAATGGTCGTGTTTTACGACGAAGATCAAAACGTCAAAGTGTCTCATCTACTTCGTCATCAGCAAGTTCCAACACGCCAGGAAAGATACCCGGAACACCGAAAGCACCACAGGGAGTATCTTCTGACACGAAAACAACAACGAAAAAAGGAGTAAAACGAGTGAGTTATTTATTCACCGTCAGAAGTTAATTTAGTTCATGCTCAAGTCTGTCAATTTACACAAATCACAGTGTTATAACAACAAGTGCTTCACTTGAACACATTTATTTCTTCAGAACAAATAAAAGGTCTGTACCCTTAATTGTCAGATTCTTAACTCTACACAGGCTTGTTAAAACTACACTCTATACTAGGCAAGCTATATGCATGCACCTCTTTAGAAGCGGATTTACAGTTTAACTGGTATTCTCACTACACCTAGCATATCGTATATCTTTACAGTGTTATCACAATTTATGTCTAGAAGTTGCCAGCATCCACCATAGCAAAAGAAGAAGATGCAGTAGTAGACTTGAATACTGCAGAAACGTCAATTCCTCCGGTCATCAGCCCATCTCAAGTTTATGGAGTTGAACATCTCTTAAGACTTTTTGGTGAGTTTAATAACTCGTACCTAGTCCCCGAATGAAGAAAATAATGGTGTATGATGGGAATGATTAAGGCACCACACTTTCATGATGTACAATCCTGCTTGTTGATGACAAGTTTTTATTAATAATTGCGCTGTTTTATGTTCATATAGTAAGACTACCAAGCTTACTGGCAAAAACAAAAATTGAAGACAGCAGATTGCCTTTCTTATTACATCATTTAACTGATTTTTTAAGGTACATCTATGTTCTATTCAAGATTGCTTGGAAAGTTATCTTCACAATATATTTATAAAATGCTCCGTCCTATATTACAAAACACAAATAATTTATTTGTGTCGATTAGCCAGAAAAATATTTTAACTCAAAAAAACTGCCCGCACAACAGGGTTTTTTTTTCACTGACGAGTAAAATATTATATCTGGCATCGAATTGATAGGTTGAGACTGAGATATCGTGAAAATTGATGTAGGGAAAAATCACTCTAATATTACCACAGGTTTTTTTAACTAGAATATCTAGTCCTAATGTTATAACAATATAGTATATTGTGCAATATATTATATGTGCTATTATAACAGTATAGCAGCGTCTCCTTTGCTTGGACCATCCTTCTTTGTGAGCTGGTAACTGTATGTGACATAACGTCATAGTTTCTACAACCTGATTAAACCGACAAGTATAAGATACTAACCCGTGTCCTCCTGTGCACATCATGCATGTCGTCTTATTAATGATCATTAACGTGCATTAACTTTCCGCGATCTAATATTTCAATATGAAATCGTTGAACACTCTTTTTTATTCTATAGTTACCTTTCAACTCGAGTGAACACGTTAACTTCAGAAGATGCGTATGGTGATATCGCTGTTCTTTAGATACGACTCAGGTCAGGGATATTCTAATTTGAAGCATAAAAACATGCATCAACTGCTTGTATATATTAGGTACTGTATTCGAGAGAGGGAGAGAATCAGATACACCATCTTCGCGTTGACATGGTCAATCAATCATTCATTCAGCCAATGGAAGGCCTTCAGTGGAACACTCCACTCTTAAAATGGCGATCATCCTTTTTTTCTGAGAAATTTTTATGCAATACATTTTTCTGAGCAAATTTTTGTCTCGAACTTTTGTTGCGAGACAGGTTGCATGCAACAAGTTCCACTTTCTATGACGCTTAATGCAAATTGTCTCGCTACGATTTTGCTCATTGCAAGGCATGTTAGAGCAAATGACTCGTGCACGGCTGAGCAATGACTCTCGTCTCGGCATTGCGAGAAAAGTTGCACGAGAAATGCCCCGATGTAACAGCGCTTTTAGAGATGCTTGCATATGGGTTAGAATTTTTGTAAAACTATTACGTTCACAGTGTATATCGTAGATAGTTTCACAAGTACAAGTGTGGTACTAATACATAGTATTACATGGTCTCAAAGTTGCACAAAGTCGTACAACGTGACAGCCTTACATGTTGTTACAAAATATTACATCGTTGGTATATGATGTTACCCTGTACGGTCTCAAAGTGTTGCACGATACTACATAGTATTTGCATTACGACAATTCACTACTGAAAAACCAATCAATATCGGTATTAAAACTGGTACTGTCGAGATTAACCTAGAACAACTGATACCCACACGCATTCAAAAATAATTTCAACCGCAAAATTGCAGGTTATGTGTGGCCGACTAAATTGTAAAGAGGATAGAATGAGTTCGTGTATATAAAAATACGAAAATAGAGAAAGACAAAATGCAGTAACACCGTATTAAGGTTTGTGAGAACTACAAGTATAACATGCACCGAAGCAATGTATAGTTTTTCACTATACGTTTTTATTATGACGACGTTATTCAAAACCACTATTTACTAATATTGTAAAAGTTTGTTTTATGACTACATGCGTTTGAAAATCAGATTAGTCCCGAGTAAATATTTCAAACACGTTATATTTTAAAGTTTTTTAAATTTTTTAACAAATTTTCTATTCTGACCACTGGCTGAGTTTCTGTCAGGATTGCGTGACCTTGCAAGCTATCGCAGCTAATCTGTCTAAAAGTTTACTTATAAAAATATATTATTGTACATTATGTACACCCAGTATGACATCTTTCGGATATGTGGGCTGGAATTTATTCTATAACTTGTATGTCATAAAGCTATGAATCGTATCGTTTAGTTAAGAATTCTTGACATATTTGAAATGACGTGCATAGATGTAGCTAGTAAAAACGTATAAATATGTATTAAAACCACAAATGCAGTTATGTAGTCCTAAATTTAAGTTCTGCTCTTAACCACGAGCCGAGTAATAATATATAAGTGACCACAAGCTCAACCACTAGCAAGTAACATAAACGTGTTATATCATCATAAAAACTCTATGTGAAACTATCGCAGCTTAGACACAATCACTTTAATAACAAAAGCTTCCATTAAATGATTATCTGCATGATTTTAAAAAAATGCTTGCATGATATAGTGACACTTCGATCAGTTCATAAATATTTTTAGGCAAAATTTCAAGGCAAAATTATTTATATAATGATTTTGTACATCCTACAGGATTTTATATTAGCTCAGATCGCAAACGTGAAAACGCATTTGCGAAAAAATGTACCATATGAAATTCTATTCCAGTTTTTTTGTGGTTTGTGCAGTACGTCTGATTGAATTAGGGTTGTCATTCCTAAGCCTTTAACATTATATCTGAGCGCGCAAAGGTTGATGGTTGCAACCTTTAAAGGTTATTTCAGACGTGATTTTTCCTCCAATCAATAATTTTTATTTCTGCGATCAGGTACTAGAATAAACGAAGAATCCAGAACGTCATAATAGACACTTGCATGTATTTGAAAAATGTTGTTGAAGATGTTTTGAAAACCTGTCACATCTTCCGTGTCATACGATCTGCTATGTCTTGTTGAAAATGTTTTCGAATGTCAAACTTCTACTTTTTTATTTATTTTGACTGAAAATTACTCCCTGATTGATACCCAGTTTAATATTTCGCAATATTAGACATTTTCATCATGTTATGAATTTTGTGTTTGCATGGGTCTTAATTAATCTGAACTGCATACAAGTGATTACTTTATTGTTACTGAAATTAAGGCATTGTTTAGGTCACATTTCTAACAGAAATACGGACTTACCATTGCAATATTTTACAAATTTTTTAAATATTACAGTATATTATCTTGTGATGTATATAAAGGAATTATTTATGATCTATCGCTTTCATTATGATCCATATATTAACACAATTCTTAGGCAATTTGTCTTCATCTTAGAAATACAAATTACCGAAAACTTCATTAATTAGTTTCCCTGCATGCGACTTTCGTTTTACGTCATGCTGACTAACACAAAGTATTAAGATACATAACCACGCTTCTGCATGTGTGTCACTTGTGACTGACCACCGCGTTCAATTTTGAGTAGCAAGTATATTCGACTCCAGCATTCTTAGGCCAAAATTACTAAAAAAATCACATGTTTAATATGTTTATAAAAATAACAAATGTATTAATGAAAGACGTCTATCACTTTAGCAGATGACTGGCCTCGAAGTTGTCCTTAAATTGCGTAAACAAAACTTGTTTTTAAAATCTAATGATTGTTATCTTTGCAGTTGTTTGGAAACAGGATATCCTATCAATTCCCAGAGGGACATGCAATCCTCGTAATTCTGATGAAATTTCGCGCGTAATAACTAACCCTGCTAGGAGGGTATTAGACACTAAAGGGCTGTCCCATATGACTGGCGGTGGTGATTCCCTGATTAAGGAAATGCATGCTAGTATAACCTGTGTGGTAACCAACCTGTTTTATCTCATCGCGGCACCAGCAGCAAGAACTCGTTGAATGGCTAAATTTTTGTTCACCCTGGCCCCTGCATGCATGGCCATGTTCTTGTCATCAGGATCTAACAGAAGCGGAGTAAAAATCGTGATTAAGTCAGCGCTCTATATATCAATCGTTAAAACACCTGCTTGCATTTTATTGTGAAAAAAAGAAAGTATCATGTATGTCCGTGCTCTGACATATCGTTTATTAAAGTGAGTCAGATATAATTATCTATATTGGGTCTGTAAGTCTTCATGGGGAACGTACATAGATTCTAGCTGGGGCAAGATAAATCGCATGGCCATGGATCTGTTTTGCAACTAATCTAAAATATTTTTTCACACGGTAATTGCCAATGTTCCAGTTCATATCTGTGGTCTAGCCTCTCCGTTTCAGCGGTGTTAACGTTGAGGATATTTACGGTTAATCATATTGATGGCATTTGAATTATCATATTTTGTATTGTATATATAACAGCTGAACAAATTGCACACAAACACTACAGTGTTATGACTAAATAGAATTTAAAGTGTACAAAGCATTTTCTATTTCAACTGGTTGGACGCTTGGCACCCAACTATCAAGATTACGTTCCGTGTTTTAAAAATGAAATATCAGAAGACCACGCTGATAAATACTTATGACATCTTCTCAGCTTGTGGTACCAAAAACAAAACTCGACGATCAGTTCACATTCATTTCACTCAGCTGGTGAAGAAATGTAAACAGTTTATACACTGTAGCTGTCGTTTAACCTTTAAAAAATGCGAGATTTGTGATTTTTTAGTTAGAAATTTAATTATAATCCATTGAAATTTGTTGAAATGTAGTGAAATACTTAACTGAGTGTACTCAGAACAATTTCAGTATAGTTATACTTGAACATCAAAAACAACCACAAAATAACTGTTGCTATGGTAACTATATGTTGGAATGTCACTGGCCGAGATAAAAGGGGTTTTTTGCTAACGAGGTTTATAAAAGACAAGTGTTTTCTCTGAATTTTTGCTACTAAATTTGTACTTTGAAGTAAGTTGCACAGTATGGTGGTTGTCCATATATATCATGTCATGGTAAGATGATATTTCAGTCAATAACAGCTGCAGACATTAAGGAGGTATTATTAATAGCTTGATTAGAAATACCTCACCTCACATGTGGTGTAATTACTATGGACAACAACATGGAGCGATTGACATGAAAGACTCGAAATCTCGTATGAGGTATGTTTATAGATATCACTTTATATTAAAGAACGTCGTATATTTCTGTGGGATTTTTTTCTCAACGAATCAATATAGTTACACTTAAAGACAGATCATAAACTTGTTTGACGTAAGTTGATTTTAGAAAACTATTCCTTGTAGTTTACTTGTGTAGAAAATGCGTATGTCTCTTATGGGCGAACGTTGCTTCCAAAACTAAAATCGTATAAAAATCATAGTTCCTCGCTCATAAAGATGTTCTCGCAAATACCTTCACGTATCACATGTCTGCACGTGTATAAAAGGTCATGTATAATGGCTTGATGCATTGGTATCAAGTAATGCGTTTATGCTCTTGCTTTGTATACCGAATGACTATATGCCTTTACTGGTTCGTGAATAAAGTTTGCTCACCAACCTTCAAGCCCGCGTATTCAAGTAGCTACGAAGCCATTGAAGGAGTTTTAGGCTCGGTTATGTAATCATATTGGTGCAAAACTATATGCTTAGGAGAAATTGACTTTTTATATCGCAAAAATTTATAAGTACAATTTACCAGAACTTTTTATTGGCTTTTATCCACTATAAAAGAGCACATAAAATTAATGTTCATATATGGTCTGTTGTACAACTTGTACTAAGTATAATCCTTTTTTATTTACATATTAAATATGTTTTGGTAAACCCTTATATTACAATATCTACATCCAATCATCATCTGTGCTTGACGTCGATAATAGGGTTATGCTTAGTTTAGAAATCAAAGAAACATAAGATGATGATCTTGGTAATAATAACATTAATAAGTTTCCTATATTCTTTGCGACTGTAATTTTTTTGACGATGCGTTCATACTTGCTTCCACGCACGTTTCTTATTTTGACTTACTTGAACACGACGCTTTCAAATGAAACTGGGCACAGTGCCACAGAACACAGCCAAGGATAGCAAGTATTACACGACAGCACCGTGTTCAATATGTTTTGAGAACCAGGTCTTTCATTGCGCACCCGTGTCGGGCACTTGGTCTAAAAGCCGCCTAACTATTTTGTTGAGGTCTTAAAGAGGGTCGCAAACTTATGTCGATTGTACAATCCAGTAAAAAGTCCCGTTTTACGGTTGTGTGACATTAAATTATTTTGCTTACACTGCATGTTGAAACGTTTTATCTCGTTTTTATTGGTTCATCATCTCTCCTAAAACATGCTGCGATGGCCGCCCAACACCTTTAATTTATTGACAGTACGTTGGTCGTTAATTGGATTGATACAGATTATACTAATTAGTAATTATGTTATAAGTAATTATTAAATACTTCAGTAAATTGAAGTAATTAGATTAGTTTTATGCGCGCTTTCCAATTAAAGCCCAGACCGCGGCCGTACAGATTTCTACCTCCTTACTCAAAGACTATGTTTGCCCCAGATAATTTTTCTGCTTCGTAGAAATTGACGTACTTTGTCAAATCGAATTTACCTGTCCGGCTAAAGCCAGTATAGGTTTTCAAAGCTACGTGAATGTAGTGTGCATGTGAATTTGTTTACCTAGCATCATTCTTAATGGTTAAAAAAAGTTTGCTCGGAAACCACATTTTGACAAACGAAAACAATCTTTAAGAAATCGGAACCTCATAGGGACTGAAATTGTGGCTTCAAAAAACATTTGGTTTCTATAGTTTACACTGAGTAGGTGTGTGATCATAGGCAGCCTAATTGCTGTTTTGCTTATTTGAAATATAATGCTCTCTAAAATATTGATTCGTTACCTTGACGAAAATGACTTCAATACCTTATACAGAAGCTTGTTGTCAACGCCGGAGCAATCTTTAGCAATGTTATGATACAAACTTTTCACGCTTCCGAAAACAGGCCCAGCTCTGTTGACATTGTTCAAAACTCTTTTAGCCTAATATACATGCTGGCAACTGGCAAGAAGTTGTATAATTTATCACGAAGGATGCTATTTTTCTCCGTGAGATTTGCGTATGGACCGCGACAATTTTATTCTCGTGAGTTTCCGCTTCCTTTGTTCTTAGAACATCGGAATTTGATCAAATTACGGAGTGGGGCGTTCTCGAGACGTCCCTAATTTAGGGGGGTCTGTAACGTCCGAAGAATTATAGTTACCACTTTTAGCGCACTGTTCATCTACTGTTCATCGTATATGATTGTTGTGAATGAATGTTGTGGAAAGAAAAAGCATGCAGGAATCCATCATGTCATACATAGTCAGTCTTCACGCAACGGAAAACGTGCGGGTTTTGTAAAAATAGTATAAACATGCGCGCACTAAAAACAGAGAAAGTTTTTGCTGAGATCAACGATCGAAAACTGTATGTTTTCTTAAATTGTTCTCTGGAATACCCACTTAAATTTACCAGGTTACCTTGATTTCCACTATGTACAAATCTGATCCCTATAAGGATCGTTGATGAGTATAATTTCCCAGCATGCTGGTCGGACGTTTCATTAATTGAGATTTGTTAACTGTTAACTGTCATCAGTTAAAAATAACTTGTTTATTCTTTGAACTGAAACTCAAATGCTTTGTCTTATTTTGCTGCTAGATATTGTTAATACGCTGCTATCGGTATTTGACTTGAACCGACTGTAGCTATATGACTGAGATTTGATAGAAAGGACCGTTGTAGAAAAGATAGTTACCTTTAAATATATACTAGTTCGTGACAGAACTGGTCAATCAGAATTGTTTATGTTATGACATACGATTTGACTACGCAAAATGTATGTAGTACAGGTTTTCTCATGATCCGTCATGTTTTAATGCATTGCAATTTGCGTTTGAACTATAACCGGTAGAGCTTTGAAGATTCCAAGTGCGTGGCATGCCCCCGTAAAAACGTTGGTAAAATTATCTTTATAAACATGCTATATTTAATCTCATTATACATTGGAATTTCATCATTGGGGACGTGTCAAATGATGTTCCTGTGCCATATGTGATTTCGAGTTTTTCTCCCACGATGGTTCAAACTGCATGTCAAACGCTGCATGCCTGCATGTATCTATCAGGTATCTATCTACTTTTATCAACAATTTTCTATGCAGTTAAAATCTAGAAGCAGGAAAGTCAAAGAGTTTCAGGAAATTACTGCAGGTTGGCAAAACGTACCTGAAATATTTAGCGAAATACGTGATGAATTTAGACTGCATTGTGCATGCATTCATGCACAGGTATTCGTCTGCCTCCTTGCACGATAAAAATACAACTTCATTTTCAAACACATGCATGCTTGCATGATTCAGTTCGTTTTGATCAAAGGATCAGTCAAATGAAATCGATTATGGGAGAGGACTTGATGTAACAAAATTTTTTCTCCAAATATGGGCAGGCAAATGACTTCTTTGCCACTTTCTCACGCTCGTACGATCCTTACTTGCGGTTCACAAACACCATAGTTGAGTGACACCTTAACTCTGCTATCTACACTAGCATCAATAGCTATAAACCGTACATCATTCAGTACATTTGATGGCCTATTAAGTCTTTGTAGAAGAAATTCCAATTGTTTTCCAAAATCTTTGTCATATGGAAAACATGAGAATTTTGTCAAATGTTTTAAATAAGATTAGGTGCCAAGATAAAATTCATTTAGACATAAAAAATCTAGTCAATATGGCTGCGCAAAGCATGATGAAAATGCGTTCAGTCCAGAATACTTAATAGGCATTTCTTGTGAAATTGTCCAGTTATCAGACGAGACTAACAGGAGGATATTATCAGCTCATGCAGTATTCGCCATCGGTAGTGCTTATGGTCGCATCTTTTTCTGTTAGTCAGACACTAGGAGTGTGAAGACTGCGGCGTTCAGTGCCTGTTAGAGGTTGGTAAGTCACTAATTCATCTATCGAAATATATTAAAAGCATTGATAAGAACGTTTTACTAAAGCCTTGATAAATTTTGAATTGAATGGGCGGAATGATATAGTATAGAGCAAATCATCAGTAAACATATTCTTGTTAACTCAATATTTTTTTGATAAACGAGTCAACAAAACAAATTTCACCCGCAGCGGAGGGAGATAAAACCACGACTCCACGAGCCTGCGATAATGTTGTGCATGATGTTATAATATGAACTTTCTGAATCATGCGAACTCTCGTATATACTAATAAATTCTCTTTGTCATACCAGTGATAATAAAACGAACTATATAGTACAAACGAATCCTGGATATGGAATAAATGTATTGAAACGTTCAAAACGAAACACGTGAAGACGTGAATGATGAGACATTCATCATATCAGAGGGTTTATTGTTATGATCATGGAACCTTGCCACCTCAACGAATTGCAAGTGCATTTTTGTGACTGAGCTAATTATACTCGCCCACTTTTACTCATGTAGCTACTTGACTCGCGTTTACTCATAACTTCTCACGTCAGTCCTAAAATTTAGAAGAACTGCGTGGACGACTTGCTATGAAATACAACAATCAATTACTACTCTCTTATTCAGCTAGGAACCAACTACGGATCATGCATCAGTTTTTCAAAACAGCATGTATTTTTTTTAATTTTCAAGCCTTCCTGTTCTTTATCAGTTTTTTAGCGATTAACGCGATATTAATTTGTCCCTGTGTGTGGTTGTTGAGACGTTTTTTACAGTGGTTTCCTTTTCATGATTCATATACACTTTGGCTGCGTGGCAGAGAAAATGCCAGCCTAAGGTAACCTAAATAAAATGAACTATTGCAAAGCGATAGGATACCCATTCACATGTTCTTTGTAATAATGTCTCCTGTGGTCCATCAATTTTAACAAACCGACGAATATCCTGTCCATTCTACCATATTCGTGACAAACAATAAAAGCTTAACGGAAATTAATTCATCTCCAAGACGGGTTTCACACTGGCTTTCGTGCAGTACGAATTCGATTCACATTTATAAGTTCTTCCGTTATAAGTCCTTCCGATGTGACAAGTAAATTGTAGTGTTTTTATCTGCCCTTCAGGCACGAATACAAAGATACTGGCGTTGGAGTATAATTACAGGGCGTATGTATAACGCATTTGTTCCCTAGAGAAGAAAGACTGTGAGCCTGCGAAACAACCATATTATACAATTATTTCCAAGGTCGCCTTTTGCATTTTAGTTCACTCGGTTTCTTCCTATACACGGACATCAGAATGTTTTCGTGAGTATTATCTCATCCATATAGCAAGATCGCACTTAATCTGAAGTGGCTAATCTTTCCAGCATTATAGTTTTTATCACACGAATTTTCAAACCACGGACCACAGGCACGGTATTAAAGTTCTTCAAGGAGGAACAGTTCAGCCTTTGTTCATACAAGCAACATGCATATCGATTTATTTGCTAAACAAACCTATGCTGCACTTGTTTAATCGTTCATTTGTTAACTTTACATGCATTCACGTTATAAATATAGCTACCATCACAGGTTATAAATATAGCTACCATCACAGGTTATAAATATAGCTACCATGCATATGTTGCTTATAGAACACTTTAGTTTCTGTTCCGTGAGGTCTAAGGATATTGTTAATCGGGGATTTTTCCTCCTTGCCTTCTTGCAGCCTGGTTTGAGTTTGTTTACCAAATTGATTGACAAAGTTCACACTTCTGTTTGAACAAACAACCAAGTGGCCACTGCAGCTGTTTCCTGATGTCACCTTAAATTATGAGGCGGCGTTTTTACTCATATAGACCAGGGCGTACTGTATATGATGAAGAGGGAAATTATTTGATTGTTTTTTTAACTTGGATTTTTCTGAACTATGCTCATGGTAAAAACAAGTGTGCTGTGTGCAAAGTGTCACACATGACATGCAGCAGTGATAGTATTAGGGAAAGTTTTATTGAAAGTAGTATATATTTGACAGCATTCATCAAGCATGTTCAGACTATATTGCATCAGTCGGCATCATCATCTGATCATCATCATCATCATCACAAAAATTTGATTTTTTAATGTTTTCTTGTTCTCCTTATCTCAAGTTAACTGTGGAAACACAAGATTGATAAGCGTTCATCATCATCGGATTTTTAATATTCAGCGCAGTCCGCTAGCTAGAGGCAAAATATATATTATCAATCATGCTTTGCCAATTGCGAATATTGGGTGTCTGACTGACTAGGCCATATTGTATTATATGTATGTAATATAATAACCTGGTGACCTAATGACTTGTATCTTAGAGTTCTTAGTTACTTTAAAAAAGTATTTGTTTTTGTTCTATCTAAGGAGGAGGTCTGAAACTTTGGGAATTATAGGCGATAGTAACTGAAATTGGACAGGATTTTCCCCGATCGTCTACTGGGCACAAATTAAAGTTATAGACTAACGGAATATAGTATATATAGGGAAGGTTTTTCAGTATATAACGGTGAAAGTTGATGAAACCCTGTGGTTTGATTCATAATTCGCACCCTATTTATTTATATGCCCTAGACAGTTATTACAAAAACAAATTTTGTTGACAGAAAATATGCCAATTAGGGTGTGGGTTGATAATGCATTTTAATTACAGGTGTTTGGGTGTATCTCCTGTGTATCTCTCAAATATAAACCACGTCAATCTCGCTGGCACACATGCAGGCTATACTAGCCATAGGCATTGCCATGCCCAATCTGAGAGATTAAAACCTATAGCAATGATGTATTGCCTTCATATTGCCCTTATAGTGTAGTGTTAACAATAAGATTCATGATTAGGTCAAGATATCATACAGAACTGTATTTACTTACATTGCTTTAGAGTTAAATAAAGCGAGTTAGTGTTCTCATGCCGTATTATTTATAAGGCGATGTTGTACTTTTAATTGTGGTTACTCCAAACAAATTCAACATAATTAACAATGTAAATGAGCTTTCAAACCAATCAACTTGAATATAATCTAATTTGCATCGCAAGTTGCCGCGTTGAAAGTTGTTCCATGTAACTATTACCTTAAATGGTGACCAAATTCCCAACTTTCTTCGACCTCCTGATTTGTTAAAATCTCTTGCCATTTGGAATGTCAAATTACAAAATAAGTGTATTTTAAACACTGATAAAAGTCTAAAATTATACTTCAACTGACTGCATTAAATAGTTTCTAAATTTACAGAACTGCAAATGTAAACTGATTAAAACACTTCAACACGTAATTCAGTAAGAACGTAATTTCCTGACAGTCATCAGATTAGGTTTGCTATTTTTATGTTTTGTTGATATTGTCACTGTTTTTCTTTATATAAGTGTATAAAGAAAATTGCTCTTAAGAGATTCAACAAAGAATTATTGTTTGAAAGTTTGTTTTGAAAAAAACCTTCAATATTCTTGGATGAATCATGACTTTTTATATCAGTTGTGTCCACCCTTGAATATGATGGACGAGGTGAAGAAATAATCTGTGATCAAGATTTATAGACCATACCCATAGTATCGAGTGACTTGTAAATCACCGAGTTCTTTTGAGAAAGATTTCTTGGTACTCTGGTATAGGAAGGAAGGTGAGAAGTTAGATATAGGAACCTTTGTTTGATAAGTTGTTCAAAGTTTCTTACTGCTATCGTAAATACATATAATATAACATGCAATAGCTTCATGAAATCGCCGCATAGAGACAGTACGTGACCTTGCATGCGTATGGTGGTGAAGAAGACACTGGAACTACTTCAGACAAAAAAAATCCTACAAAAAACATTTAATCTGATCATCATGCTTGCTTGCTTTAGAAAAGAGAGGTAACAGACTTACAGTCATGCCCTGGTTCAGTATTTATATTGTTTGTAGTGAATGACGTTGATTGAGGAAATGTCCATGTTTTTGAGCTGGCTTAACGACTTTCGTCGTAACCGTCTGCAATTTAGTAAATGAACATTAAAATGCGCTACAATTAAGAAGATTTTAAAATGCATTATTTATTTTCTGATAATCGTCAGTTAAGTTTTGTTTTTATTTGAAAGCGCCATTCAACAACGTGTTCGTTCTCGTCGGCTTCCAACAAATTCCGCAGAAATTAGCGCAGCCGCTTGCGCGACAGATGATTGATGAGCGAGAATACCAAAGTCGAGGTTTGTGGAATTTGTTCCGACCGCGTGATGGTATTTACTCCAGCTTATCTATCTTGTTGTTCCCTAAACTATTTAAAAAATTACGAATAATGCTTTGGGAATGACTGGTTATTAGGAAGATGATATACTTGATAGTGGTTCAATATCACAGTAAACATCAGAATGCTATGTTTGGATTTGGCCTTGCAGTGACCTTCCCTATATGTTTCACCGCGCTCAGCTGGTGACGTCGTAATCTTATATCCCTATAATAAGCTATAAAATTGGTAGAAACATTGACAGTTGGCTTTCATCGGTATTGCTTCATTTTCGTCTCATGTACTCATCGTATTATTATTGAATTTTAGATCGTCTTCACATTGCAAACTAGTACGTATTTAACCCGAAATACTGACGTGCTGAAAAAGAACTCACTTCAATCATTAAAGGCACACGACTTCGATAAAGACAGTTTGTGCTGAAACAAACAAAATGAGATTGCTGTTTGTCACCTTTTTATTGGTTTTCTTGCCAGGAGCGATTGGGGCTCGAAAGAAACTGAATATTCCGTACGACTTATTATCAAAAAGCTCTAAAGGATGGGGGACTATCTCGAAAGCAACAAGCGTTTTAAAATCATCCAGAGTTTTTCCCTCCGATCGCAATTTAATGAAACGTATTGCTCTGGTCGAATCATCTCTGAACAGAACATTGTCTGAAGGTGGATTATGGAACGTTGGAACTTGTGCCTTCTGGGGAGTCACACAAAATCGACGAAAGTACGGTAAACGTTTGAAAAGAATTCAGAAAATGGTCGGACGAAAATTTGGTATAAACTGGAACCGGATGACATATGATCAACTTCAACGACCAATGTATTCGTTGATTGCTGCTCGAATGTACTTATATATAATGACAGATACTATCCCGCGAGGAGCGAATGCACAGAGCAAAGTATGGAGTAATTACTACCATAATTGTGGGGAATCTAAACTCTCAGTCAGGAAACGTTTGACGAAAATATTTAAGAAAGGTAAACACATTTTATTATATTGATTATATAAAAGTCCTGAGCAAAATATACACGAGTGCGTTGCAATAATGTCCGAAATGATTCATAGTTATCTCTTGGTCACCCTAATCCCGCAAGGTACTTGCTGAGATTACTTGTCAGAACAACAGCCAGCCTTGGTGGTCGCGTCCTGACTACGATTTATCTCACAGTCACGCATGGCTTGATAAGAATAACATTTCAGCCCTATTATGGTTTCTCGTGCGTACGTACGTATTTTCAACGTGGATACTTCTCGTATGCGCAAAGTCAGGCACATAATAACACAATTCACGCCGCTTATTCATGCTTTGCCGACGTATAGGCGCGTATAAGGTTGTATGAAGACATTATAATAGTACGATCATTATTATGCGTTTATTCATTCAAGGTCTCACCCGTAGACAATTTGGCTCCATATTCAGACTGTTTCATACTAAGATCTATATCAGCATCAAGTTTATCATTTGTGTTCACCTGACGTTCGTTATCTTAAGGTAGATATTTTATCATGCCGATTCACAGACATCGAGTTATCATCCACGCGGTGTAAAATAAACACGTCTGACGCTGTGCCAGCCTTTTCCTTTTCTACGCTCTTCAGTGCCGATTTAGTGGATCAAATATTCAAATTCTTATAACTATTTCACACTTGAGAGGATATTTCGTCAGTATTTAATCAATTTTTTGGGTATATTTAATTCTTGTGGTCACAGGTTTTTCGCAATATTCTTCGAGTGTTGACGTGTATTAATAAGGGCTTGCTTATTACTCGATTTATTGAGTTATCGCCATGTCGCCTTGTCCAGAAAAAATAATAAAAATAACAAAAGTCATCTTTTTAACCGATTTGGAAGTTTTTGCGAAGCTCGTATTTATAAGAATATTGTGCCTGAAAACGCAGCCGGTTTTTTTTCCAGCTTCAAATATTTTATCAGTGATATAGCGATTATAATCATTAACGACACACAGAGGAGGTGAAGTTACAGATGGAATCATATTTTGCTGCATCATCATTATTTAATGTGTTTTGTAACTTGCTTGCATGTGAAGGACCCTAATTTTTTTCCGCCAATTGAAAAAACAGAGTGGGTATAGTCTGGCTGTTTAATGGTTCGTGTAATTACTTAAGTTGTGTTTGTCGGCCGCACGCAATTATCCCGAACTTGCCCTTGAAGTTCCAGTCTTCCTGTTATCAGGGAATTAATGTTTAAAATTGCTAACTTGCAGAACTCAAACACTCAGGAAATTCTCTTATGACAATAAATATCGGAAACTGCTTTATACGTGTGCGTAAAAAAACAAAGTCAACAAATCAACAATCATTATATTTTTGTTAATAGTTAGTGCATAGCCTTTGCTACCACTCGTAAATCAAGAAAGTCTATAACCCCACTATAAATGGACTAACAGCAAAGTTGTTGAATGAATTGTTTTAATAAATTAAACAAATGTGTTGTTGTCTGAAATTTCTCATCTACATTTTCTTTGATTATCAGATTATATGTTTTATATTTATAATTAGGTTGAATTCTCGTTTTTTTTATCTCAAATACCCACCAAGGAGGGTGCAAAACGTTAAATGCGTGGATAATGTCAATACCAGGATTATAAACGAAGCGAGTGTTCATAATATTTCACATGGTTGAGTTATGACATAGTTAACTGTGGTTATTAATATCATAAAAAAGTATGGGTGGGGCTGTGTCAGGTTAGTGTCTACGAAATCGCTTTGAGAACTATTTTCCTTACTTGGTACCGCGTCCATCCTCGTTGGAGTCATCAATATTCTCTGGCAATTTCTACCAATTTCTATCTCGCAATTTCTACCAATTTCTATTTGGCAATTTCTACCTTTTTTAAACTTCATCTGTTCCATGCATCTATAATAATATATTTCCCACGTTGTTTTTATGTTCTCACTATCAAATATAATGGTGGGCGATACCATGCTGGATTCTTTACTCCAGATGGTACTAGTTCTGTTGGATATTTCCGTTGTTTATACCACCCAACTTCATCCAGATCGGCCATAGAAGCCATGAAAAGGCAATGTGTGGCAGCCTTGGGCTACAACACCATAACCATTATTGTGATATTACTTGTGTCTGGGCCTCTGGGGCTTAGAACACATTGGTGACGTACACGTCTTTGTGCGGGAACGCGACACGAAACGATAGAAGTAATGTATATATAAGGGTTCTTAGTCCTGAATCGTGTAATTCAACTGAGCATGATTCTTTTTTAAATGCGATGTTTAAAGAGAGGTATCAATCGTAATCGTCTGTTTTATGGTAAAACGCTCCTGCGCGCGTTGTCCCATGCAGTTGTTGAAGTTATGATTGAACTATGTTGCGCCACACCCACCTGATTGTCAAAAACAGTGTTGTTACAATTAGGAAGATATGAATCATTGTTCCTAACCATTTCATTATTTGGGGTTCAGTTGCTCTATCTTGTTTCTTTAATAACTTGAGCGTTTTTATCATGTAATTCGATAAAATCTTCAAAGTTAAAGTTTATATAAAACCGAGATATTCGTAGTTCTAAATTATCTATTACATCAGAATTATTGATCATTTTGCTCAGGTATTGTCATTGCTATCACAAAAGCACAATTCCCCAATCCATATACAGACTTTCAGACATGGGGTCCTATCTTGAGAAATGTCAAAGGTTTTTTTAATTTTTTTGTAGTCTAGCATTTAAAAGGATCATCAATTGATAAGTTCGATAAAAATGCCAATGTCTGACATTTTTTCCAAATTAATTAATGAAGTTTTATTTATTTTAAATTATCAGTATACTTGAACATCGAGTAATGAAAGTAATGAAAGTAACTGATGTTAATTAAACAGTTAAACTCGAGTGTTTTCCTCACCTCGAACGACTGACTCTATGCTCTCGACAATGCCTCAAGCTAAGATCGAGTCACGAATCATACAAAGAGCGATTCATTTAAAGTGATGTGATATCATGCATGATTATGACTGCGTTAGGTATATCGATTTTAAATCAATTTTATTTTAGTTTTTTAAGTATTGATAAAAAGAAAACCAATTAAACATTGCATTGAATCATATGTACACTCATTCTCTGTTGTAACCTAAAAAATCATCTTGTGAACGCATGTGTTTCATTTTATTTTAACAGCAGGATAACATTTAGTGTATTTTTTTAATGTCACACTGAGACATAACACATATTAAACCAATGCTTTTTACTTCAACACATGTCACCCTTCCACCTTGACTTTCAAAAGTACTTGATTCTTTTTTCAACAAGATATATATGACATGCAATATGATTATGCATGTTGATAGATATTGATTACGGTTTTAACATCACGAAGATTTTAAAAATATTTTCTCTGTTTGTACGCTATCACCGCCATGATAATTTCATAACTATAATAAGTTATAATTTAATAATTTATAATTCAATATTATCATATGAGTGTTGACTCCTTCCTTACATTACACGTAATAATTTAAGCTAGCCAATAATACTTAAAAACATTGTCCAGATCCACGTACGCTATTGGAGTGGATAGATCCAACGTTTGATCTTGATCATTTCTCTGAAACCTATCAAGTTTATGCGTACAATCTCGTTGGAGCTGTAGAAAATATAAGAACCGCGGGGCTTCTCTGGCTCGCTGTCTTGTCAACTATTTTGATCTTTTTATAGTTGTTCGTGGATCATGCCACAGCGGTTACAAGAAGTGTGATCATCACTGTGTTGAAGTTACCATCGGTCATGGTGAATGTCGTTGTAAACCGCAATTCAAATTAGAATCTGATGGAAGGTCTTGCAAAGGTATGAAATTTCCAAGTATATTATATATTATTATTAATGTTCAGTGCGAGAAAATTGCATGTCAATTAATGAGTTTTTTTATTTCAGCGCAAACCTACCGAAACCCATGCACATTGGATAATGGCAAAGTTTGTGAACATTCATGCCTTAGGGTTCCTAATACGATTATATGTACATGTCCTGATGGTCACTACCTACACAGTAATAGATACAAATGCATTGGTAAGCACGAAATACGTTATTATTTTAGAATAACGGAATATAGTGGTTGTGATTTTTGTCATTCTATACATCTTTCGTTAAGTGGCCACTCAGCGGTTTTTTATACCCGCATATTTATGAGAGGTGATATATTCATTGGCGGTTCTTTGAAAAACAAGGAGATGATACTACTATATATAATCCCATCCTAAACGTAGCTATTTAATAGATTTAATGCAAGGAAACACATATAGTCGACTCGCAGACTAAAAGTCGGAATTAAGGGGGGGGGAAGGGAGGATGGTGTATGGGGCGCACGTCACTACATGAAGAGGACAAAGTAGAAAAATGTTTTCAGTATTGCACCCAACCATTCAAATATTACCATATTGACCGTTTTGACCATATCTAATTTGATAGATGTGAATGAATGCTCAATGTCTCCTTGTCAACACGAGTGTCATAACACGCCTGGATCATATTATTGTTCATGTTTTCCTGGATATTCTCTGGCGTACGACCAGAAAACATGCAAAGGTGATTACGTTATTCAATACCTATTACAGTGTCCTATATTGCCTTTTATGGAAATTCAGTTTTGTTTTTTACCTAAGACTACCCATTCAAGTGTTTTTGAGGAAAGGAAAAAAAAGGAGATCTTAAACTATCTGTCTAATTAATATGTTCTTTTATTTTTGTTAGTTGCCGATATCAACTATATATATATAAACAATGTTTCATGAACAATTTTGAACCTTCAACACATTTATTTTCAGCTGATCGAAGCAGTGATTGCATTTCCTCGAATGATCCAAGCTGTGTCACTCGTTGTCTTCGTCGAGATAACATGCAGGGTGAATGTGTATGTCCTCCTGGCATGGCTTTACATCATGATAATGAAACTTGTATAGGTAATATTCAACATCAAATATAATGCACAGAATAAATAGCTCTTAGGTCTATTTCCACGTCACGGTGTAAGAACGCGCAAAGGATACCAAAAAAGAACTAGGCTGATCACAACCTGAGATTTTCCAGAAGCAGAGAGATAAGCTTTTCTGAGGACGTCACAAACAGAGGTTATGCTTTAATATATTCACTGAAATTGACATTTTAGAAAGCAATGGCTGTTTAACATCAGAAGGGTTTTGTCATCACAGTTGTTTGAGAACTGCCTCTGGCTTCTCCTGTGCCTGCAAAACAGGATTTATGTTGGACAGCAATTCTGTAACTTGCACAGGTAATATAAATATGTATTAGCTAATGTTCCACACACTTAAAGACGTAAACGATGCCTAATCTACTTTTGGAATGCGTTTACAACAATTCAAGATCTTATTTTTACAAAGAATTCTGGCGCCCCACGATGAGGTGTCCTGAGCTTTATAGCTACTCATAACATGCACCAGACCTGTTTTCACTTGAGTGTAAAATTTCGTCACAGTTACGTACAGTAATGAGGTTTTTCTGATGCATGTGCTCTGATGTATTTTGTAGACATAGATGAGTGTACAATTGGTGAACATAATTGCGAGAAAGGATGTTTGAATGTTCCTGGAAGTTACCATTGTTCATGTCCCCTTGGATTTAAGTTAAATAAAGACGGTCACACTTGTTCAGGTACGTGGTCATGAATTAGTTTTTGTCGCTAGGTGACAAATTCAGCATCACTGGTGTTTTAATCTTGCCATTTTTAATCGTTTAGATATCAATGAGTGTTTATTGAAAACAGACCTGTGTAAAGCCCCCGCTAGATGCCGAAATACTGAAGGAGACTATACATGCCAATGTCCGACAGGATATCAACTGAATTCAACTGATAACTGTGTTGGTGAGGATGAATTATACTCTTTTATTATCACATGGTAAACTAGGCGTTGAGATGTGTGATAGATGGATGATAAGTGACATCATCATGCATTTTATCACGTTAAAAGTCCATGCTCAGATGCTCTAAGGCTTAATTCTCTGGTGTGATAAATTTTCAAGTAAATATAGAAGGAGTGAATAAATAATTTTATCCTTGAGACTTGCGCATTTGCTACCGTCGGTCAATTTCACGCTCCCTAACCATGCACTATGAATCCATAGAGGTAAAGTAAGATATAGGAACAACATGGAAGTATTATGGAACCCGCCCCGTGATTTTTGTATAAGGCGTCACAACTGATTGGAAAATTTGTACTCAAATAAAAAAATTAAGGCCAAAGATATGAGAAGTCTTTCTGGGCCAGTATAGCTTTTAGATAATGGTTTAAAATAACTTTCAACCCAAGGAATGTTTGAGTATCGAAGTTAAAAACTTGAATTTTAACTCTGGTCGAACGTTTGTGTAGACATCAATGAATGCTCGGTGAATAACGGTGGATGTGAACAGACATGTCGTAATGTTCCTGGTAGTAGTCAATGTGGGTGCAATGCAGGATATCGTCTCAATGTTGATATGAAAACATGTCAGGGTAGGGTTAATGTTTTCTTGTTTAACCTGGATGCTAGATTTATGTTGATTGCTCGTTGATTGATCTGAAGTGTTTGTAATTGCAGATTAATGTTTACAATTTAGATTTGCATGTCTGTTGCAGACAAGTCCATGAGAGCTATCAACATTATCAAAATACCAGTTTACTGACACAGAACTTTTCTTTTCACAGACATCAATGAATGTTTAGAATTCACAGACATTTGTAGTCACAATTGCACTAATATCCCTGGAGGATACAAATGTTCCTGCCCCCCCGGAATGAAAAGCATCGATAATGGAGCACTGTGTTTGTGAAATATTGAAAGTATAGATGATAAATTATCCTATATTGTGTTCTTCGTTTAACGACACCCGCATAGTGGACTGGTACTCAAGCTTCTTATGGCCGATCTTGTTTCAAAGATGCTGTGATTGAATCCAGGATTATTGGTCATCGTAAGTGACTCATAGTGTAGCCTATTTCCTTAATGACATCGTATATAGTGTATATGATGTATCCATCGTTTACTTGAGTAAACATGCACGATTTGATTTGCAAAAAATGCTCAATTTTGTTTTGTAAATAGTTGTGACATATAATATTATATATATAAGAAAGCACCGACGGTTGCACGAAACAGTTTATCAGAAATAAATCAAATAATCAATGATTTCCATGAACTGTAATGATCCCTTATTCTATATGCCACAAGAAACGTAGAGGACCTGTGGAGCTACCGTATATTACAGGATATATATCATGTAAAAGCTCTGATGGTAACAATAGAAATATAGAAATGTACATTATAGGATAGGATATATATAAAAGCACTCATGGTTGCACAAAGCCATGGTAATTCAGAGGCTTTCCACAAGAGTGACAAGACCTATGATCGTGGACTCTTGATATATGTCAGTTGAAAGACTATATTCTCCGTATTTGTCGGTTGCACTTTCAGATGGAACATACACTAAAATGTTTACTATATAATGCATTATTATTCATAGTAATATTTGTTCTACTGGCAATAATCTATTTGTAATGTATGGAATCGTTTGAATGATTGAAAAAACATTTTTTAGAAAAAGGAACTTCATGGAACTGATCGCACATTGATCGAGGCACGTGTAATTACCATGTTATGAATTTAAAGTCAATAATATTGATTTATCAATTTAATTACGATATATAAGCATTAGTTCAATCAGATGATTGTAATTTAAATTGTGTGTTAATGATTATAATCTATTGTTAAGTCTAATGTGAGGCATTATTCAGATCAAAGAATTATAAGATCTTGATGAAATAGACACCGGAAAGCACTCGTTTAAAAGCGTCTACCCGCGCGCGCGTCCACAGAGGAACTTCGGAAGCAAGCGACTCTACGTTGCCACAAAAACACGACGAGAAACGCGAAAATAATTTTTTCAAACCTTTTCTTAGCAATGATCAGAGAACTCGTTGGGTTATAGCAAGAAGGTGCATAGACAGACAAAAATATTTTTAATTTTTTTTTCTATATTTCAATGATTTTACAACACTTGAAGATTCGATGTAAAGGTTGAATGTCAACCTGTTGGTCCTAGCGCACAGCACTTGGTACAAATATCCTATTGTTAAACCGGTAATAAAATACACAAAAAGCGTTTGTCATATATAACTGAAGAAGTACTAAACTGGAGTATTTACATTGATTTATCTGGCTGTTCACAAATATTTCATTTCGGCGAGAATGTCTAAATAAGTTTACCTCGGAGTGATGAAAGTCTGGATTAGCCCGGATTAAATATTTCACTATTCATTCTTTGCCGCATTCATTTAATTATTCTAAGAATAGGACCTAATTAAGAGTAAGTACATCTGGCGTCCGTACAATAGCTCTCTCTGAATCCGCAGTTTCATCAATATTCTCAACATAGGTATAGCGATCATTATCATCAACTTCACCATCGTCACTGTCATCCATCAATTTACTTCGTTCATTGAGTAAATCCAATCTTTCAGGGGACGACTCTTCACGCAGTGGGAACACAATGCCATCACCCATACTAAGATAATGAATATTTTGAAACATTGAATCAATTCCCACCTCGACTACATGGCAAATGATTGCATACAAATGACCACGTGATAACATATGCATGCGTTGCTCTTTACTAGCTCTTGATAAGCAAAATTGCTTGCGGTAGAAAATTATATCTTTTACAATTTACGACAAGTTTTCCTACACATCTCTAGGTGAAAGTGATACAGTACCTGGTGTAAACAGGAAAACACCACAACCAACGTCTTCTACCAAACACTTGTCGTATATTATTACGTGATCCCAGATTAAAACCATTTTTATCAGCACCTCCAACACGAAACACTGGAGGCCGCATTGATTCTGAAATACACATCAGGCAATAAAGCTTTAGAAATTACTTAATTAATTACACATAACACTGAAATTAATACAAATATTATACATTTTAACGCGACTTACAGCATTGGACTATTTTTAATATGCAGTGCCAGATGTAGCGAAATGGCACCAAATTACTCTCGAAGAGTTTGCATGATATCGGGACTCATTCCTAACGCGCTTATTCTTATCATAGGAGGATAACGTCTACATTGTATCCTAACAGTTCATTTTATTCCGCAGATTTTTATCTCATAAAAGCGGTCAACGAAGTTTTTATAGTGCAGAAACAACAGTGTTTCAATCCTCGATGGTTTCAATACAAATATAAATACGATAACTGCAGATATTGCTCGCATAACTAACCTAACGTGGTTCTATTGACGATTACAAGGTAGATATGATATCCAAGCAGAGTCCATAAACTGATACTAAACATTATTGAAACGAAAAAAAGGAACAAGATGTGTAGACGACCAGCTCCTCCTTTGCTTATATGCTTGAAAAAAAATCAATTAGGAAAAAAATTACAGTTGACACAAGGAAAATATACTGAAGAATCTACATCGTAAGACCCGGGGCGGACATATACCGCGGACAAGACCTTTCGGCATATGACGTCAGAATGAGCATCTGGGGGGGGGAATGCGTGTGTTGCATGAATTTTGCAAAAACGTAAGAAATATTAATTAACCACTCAGGAAAATTACTTTGTTGATACTTCATGTTAGCCATATGATCCTTTACTGCTCTTAACAATTTTGACGTCAGTGCACTACGTAGGTCTATATTATATTTATGAAGGCTCACTATCTGCCCAAGCACTTTAATTAATATATGCATACCATGCATATTATATGCATACCATGCATATTATAGATCAAATATTTTATTGGCTGAGCAATATGATTCTGTATGAGGGCCAGAGTAGTTAAGTGAAAAGAAAATAAGACAACTTACTGTCCAAATTTTAATAAAATATTGCAAACAGGTCATTGCAATAAAGAATGTATAAAGAATCGCATGGAATAGAAAGAGCAGGAAGAACTTATAATTTCGGAAACCAACACAATTATTAACCCATGGACAATGATGATCCATCTTTAGGCGACAACTGGAAGAGAACATTTAGAATATTAACAAAATGTACAAAATATCCTGAAACAGTATGATACATGACTACATGTATGTGATAAAATTTTCTTTTTGCTCCCAAATGCAGCACTTTATTATAGCTCTCCATGAGGTGGGAAAGGAAGGGGGATAAAACAAATAAAATAAATCCTACAATTTTTCAGTATAGATAAAGTGATTTGGCCTGCTTGCAAGTATCTGTTAAATATTTCCTGTTGTCAATGAATTTTAATAAACAAGTACCAGTGTGTATGATATATAACAAACATTTATCATTTTATTGACTCACGTCTTGCACATTGAACAGTGATGACTTCTGTCAGGTTTCACAGTATGGCATATCTCACAATAGCGAACAGCTAAATTGACATTGAATAAGTTCAGTAGTTAAATATTTATTTCTATATCTATATCTATAAGTATTATTTTCATTTTCAGTGAAGAAAAAAACTTACTATTTGAATGAGTTTGGGTTTTTACAGGTAACTTCCTTGCTATGTTTTCAAGAACAGAGTGCTGATTTTCCTTAAATAAACACCACATATTGGTACTCCTATTGGTTGCTTGCAATGACATAACTTAATTTAAACTACTTACAGCTTCTTCTAAATTTTGTTGCTCTGTTGGTGATAAGTGGAACTGGCAGAAAAATAGAGAACTAAACATTGAAAGGAGTGTATAATATAGACAATACATTGTACGATAATAAATTAAAATCACCTGTAATGGTATTCGGCCTGGGGATGTGAGAATTGTCTTCCAGTATGACCAAACAAACATCACAAAAAACAGATGATAAAACAATATGTATACCACTAAAAAGGAATGGATTTATGAATTACATATGCTCTGATATACGTTCTACAACAATGTCTATCACTATCAGTATCTAATATTCTACTGATGAAGAAGTAATAAACCCTTTTTACCTCTTTCTACATTGTTATCAACAGTTTCTAAGGGAAAACAATAATATTTGTCATGTTAGATGACTTAGATCAGAGCAGCTGCCTAAGGAACCACTCAAAACAGAACCAACATATTGACATATTGGATTTCAGTATAAATACCTATTACCTATCTGTTTTCTGTCATTATTCTGGTCATAAAAGGTTGGGGACAAATTATACGGTGAATGACCCTACCGTTTATTCCATGTTGTCTCAGACAGTCAGACGTACATGTAAAAATACACAAATTATGCCCGAATACCTCAAATCTTTGGCACTTACTGACACATAAGACGACAACATAAGCATAATAAGACCACAAAACGATAGAAAATATAACCAAAACTGGGAGCCACTGAACAGCCCTCAAAAGACAATCTATAATGTCCATAAACTTCATATTTTCTCTATGTTATAAACCATACATAAAATTTTCGTGGCGAGTGTCTTACTGTATACGTATCTGTCAAATAAAAACAAAAAGGAAAACAACAAAATGTTTGAGCAATCTCATTCGACTGATTCCAATGATTGTGATGGAGGACTGGGGATGAGTACAATGGAATTCTGGGAAGGCTTCTCTGAAAACAAACATTGTGAGTGTATCAGTAGTGACTTTATACTTTGATAGTTTGTATGAGGAATTTAACATATTTACTTTATCAAACTGTTTATCTCAACCTTCTGAAGCAATTTAGTAAAGGTTTGTGTATTTTCATCTGTTTCTGATGACAATGAAATTGCCTGATCTGCACCGTATCGTGATGACTGAAAGTAACAAATCAACCCATTCCTTTCATGGCTAGAATTATACAACTGTCCACACCAAACGTCATATCTTTACTATATATCAATTCCATGTATAACCTCACTTAATTGCAACATGCTTGGGGATTCCTTGTGTCACCATAGACTTTACCAAAGTCAGGTGCAAAAAAGCAATATGAATGTTCTATTATCTGTCCCACCAGTTCAGGCAACATTTGGTATTTTTTTTCTTGAAACTGAAATACTGCTGTACGCCTATCTAAATTGTCTAACGTATTATATCGTATCAATTTGCTAATTAAATTTCCCACACCAAAACACTTTAATGAAAGTAATATTTTTCAGACTTTGTTGAATGTCACATGGGTAATAAGATGAATGAAAGTAGACGGTAACAAATCAAGATGCCTGGAGCAACTGTTACTACTACCATTATTGAAGTATGGCAAGAAAACTTGGAGGAAGAGTTTGCAAAGATGAGAGAAACCGTTTTGAATTATCATTATATTGCCATGGTAGAGTGATTCATTACAATTTATGAATGCATCATGCATGTGACTGAATAGATAATGAGTAAGATGTGAAAAGTATTCCTAATGCACACAGCAATAGTAACATTCAATGGCATATTTAATACTATTTTCCAAAGTGATATTTAATATTAAGGTGTTCCTTTTATGCAAATTTTCATTTCTTGGTTATTTATATCTAACTTTTATTTTAACTATATTTCTTTATAGGATACTGAATTTCCTGGTGTAGTGGCCAGGCCTATTGGTGAATTTAAGAGTACTTCTGATTATCAATACCAACTATTAAGATGTAATGTTGATTTACTGAAGATCATTCAATTGGGGTTAACATTTTATGATGATCATGGTATTCAACCACCTGGTGGTGGAACTTGGCAATTCAATTTCAAGTTCAATCTAACGTATGCAATACAATTTATTCTGCTCTTATTTACTGCTACACATCATTTTAGCAAGTTGTTTTAAAGATTGTACATACTGTTATAGGGAAGATATGTATGCCCAAGAATCCATTGAACTTCTTGATCGATCAGGGATAAAATTCAAACAACATGAAGAACATGGAATAGATGTTGAAGATTTTGCAGAATTATTGATAACATCAGGCATTGTTTTAAGTGATGAGATCAAGTGGCTTTCCTTTCACAGGTATGAAACATATTGTCTGATTCCCAAACTATTACAAATCTTGATTTGTGTTTCCTAATTTTTCATCTGACTTTTAGATTCATGCATCCGTTTCCATCATTACAACCTTGTGCAAATTATAAACACTAACTGGGCTAAGACTGAGACTGTTTATTGCAGGCTCTCTAACAATAATCTTATAGTAAGACATAGTTGCAGTAAGCCCCCTACCAGCTGAATTTGAAAAAAGTTCGTCATTTTGTCTGCCTTTGTCATTTTGTCTGCAAACCAGTAATACAAATGTAGCCTCTATTTTCTAACTCCCAACTGAACAGATAGCACATTATGCACATACAATGTAAATATATTGCTACCTACTGAAGTTCTTCATATGGGACAAATATAATTTGGATTTGCCAGTAATGTGATTAGAGATTGTTTTAATGTTTTAACTTTACAGTGGCTATGACTTTGGCTATCTTCTTAAAGTTCTTAATAACACCAATCTCCCATCTGAAGAAGCGGAATTTTTCGAGTTGTTAAAAATTTTCTTTCCTCGTATATATGATGTGAAATATTTAATGAAAAGCTGTAAGAATCTCAAAGGCGGACTGCAAGAAGTCTCCGAGCTATTAGAGGTAAGAATAGATTAGAAAGATAATATCTTCCGTCAGAGACAAAAAGAGATCAATGTGGTTCTGTTTTTCTCCTTTTCATTGGACTCGTCTTCATTATCGCGCGCATCCGTTTTGTGTATATACGTGGATAATAAAATCACTTTGTCTTTTAACTATCCATGGTATATACGTGAACTCTTGGCTGAGGTTCTATCGGCATCAGGGGCCGTTGTTCGAAAGGATACATAACTTGAAACGGGTATTGAGCTCATCACATCGGTCGTCCCTTGGCGTTCAACTCCGGGCATTCCGCGACCTTAGACAAACTACTCCGGAAGTTTATTTGTTCGTTTGCTACACTTCATAATTTTTTTGTTTCAGCTTGAAAGAGTTGGTCCACAGCATCAAGCAGGCAGTGATAGCATGTTGACCGGAGCTTCGTTCTTCAAAATGAGAGAGGTATAAAAAGCACCTTGTATATGATACTGTAATATGATTACTTATTACATTTTAATATTTAGTTTGAAGCGCCTGGGTACGAGGCTGTTTATATTATATGATAATTGTCCACATGCTGTCATGCGCCAAATGAAGTTAGAAAAAATTCAATCCTGATGAAACTAGATTCATAGACAAATCACTAAAATAGTGACTGTTGCATGTCACATGCAGCATGGCAATTAGCAAGTAATAAATTATGTTGAGACAAGTAAATAACTATCAGGTCAAGTAGGAATTGCACCGTTGAAAGATAGAAGACATGGATTGTAAAATCGTTTTTTTTTAACGTTTTTTAATTTTTTTTTATTTTTTACTATAGATGTTTTTTGAAGACAATATAGATGATGCGAAGTACTGTGGTCATCTTTACGGTCTAGGAACATCTTATGCTAACAATGGTGGACAGGCTTACAGCGGGCCCAATTTGCAAGTTACCTCATCCTAACATATTGTAGACACAATCTTTTCATTAATTTTTAACTTTTACCTTTGTAACATTACATGTGACAAAGATGAACGGTTTTAGTTCGGAAAAAATGCTTATTGCATTATTAATATTATATAACAAATCTCAAATCTTTTTATCATTATTTTAATTATATACATCTTACATGCAACTGATTCTTTCTGGGATACGATTGGAATGAGTGTTTTGCTAAGAGTCTTTTGACAGGGAAATGGGAAATACACAGGGAATGGGAAGTATATATGCACACTACAGCTTTGCCGCTAACAATCATTAAAGAGAATCCCCGATTTAATCGCATTAAAACTTACAAGGTTTATTCAAACTTTTACACAGAACAAACCACCATCCAATGTATCGATAGCGCTATCCAGCTTTCGTACATCCGGCCCCAGGACTACATATACCCTTGCACTAAGATTATATCCACTGGCACTGATATGTAAAACTATGGTAAAACTGACACGGTAATTTTGCAAGGTCTATTCTAGAAGTAGGTATAATGCGTTCAAAAAAATAATCGAATGAACTTTTTGTATGTACCACATGCTTTATTTAGAGCACTCAATTGCACAAGTGATAACGCGCGAACATCTAGATAAGATTTCTGTGTGTCATATGATAGCTTCCGAAAAATTGATTCCCTCATATCACCTCGATTATGAGTGGAGAATCTAGCAATAGTTTTAAGGCGATTCTCATTACCGACTTTACTTCAGTTGTTTGCGCTTCATAGTTGATTACATACTTGCATTTGATTACATTTTTTAAGCGCAGACAAATTTCTTTATAATTTCTGATGCATCAACTTATCAAAGAGTCCGGTTACGCTCGTAAGAAAAAAAATATCTTTCTACGCCGCGGAAAGAATATGCAAAAACCGTAAAGCGTTGAAAAGTTTACGTAATTATACTATCCCTCTGGTGTAATTACATTGTACTTCGAGCTCGCGGGTACTCTGTTTTTGTCCCGTTTTCTGTCCCATTTTAATCAACGTATCATCGTCGACCAATCATAGGCAAGAAAGGATTTTGACGCCCTTCAAGTGAAACTGGTGAAACTCAACACCTACCACGTTGACCACTTTGGACCAAGTATTCAAACCATTCATTCCTAGTCTGTAATAAACCCTTAGAAGCAGAAGAACGATAGATATTAAAAAAATTTTCGAGTATGGAACAAGTAATCGAGGTAAGATCTTTTTTTTGCCGCGTAGTATTACTTTATAAATAGCGGACTTGCCATTTTAACCGCGGTAGACAAGCTGCTAAGTGACGCCATGTTATTTTTAGTTCTGCTTCAATGTTATAGTTCGGCATTTTAGAACTTAATTTCCTAACCTTTTTGAGTTTGATAGATTCTCCTTTTTATGCCGTTTAGTTTACATAAGGCTTTAAAGGTTTATTTAGATAGTCTGGCGATTGAATTAATCGTCCCTTCCGTAGGCTGTAGGTCAATAGGTCGAACACGTGCAACACACCAAACTAATAAATATAGCGTAAAAACAAAGGATTATCTTGTTTTAAGAAGTAAAATGACCAATAGAATGGTAGTGGTTTTGGTCGTTCCGAGGTATGAATGCTGTTTTATTCGGCAAAGAGCAATAGTATTTTGGCGGGCTTGCGTTTCTTGTTTGAGAAACGGCAATTTTGATGCAGCCAGGATTCAATATGGCGTTGACAGCAAATGCGCAGCCTTGAAAAAGATTTTCGCGATTTTTTAAATGGTAATATTGGTTTTTACTTCTATTATTCGAAAACTGTGAGAATGATGTGGTATTTTTTTTGGTTAAAAATGTGTTATGAATGAACTCTCTACCAGTGCTCCAGGTTAAGAAGTTCTTTTTTTGTAAAATTTAATGTTTAATTTTGCTTTTACACACTAAATACTACATGTATTCTGGCAAAACTTTTACTTCAATTGTCAGTCAATTGGTTCCTTAAGGGTGTGAAGTGAAAATTATCCTGCTAATAATGAACAGGTGTGTGCTTAAGAACAAAGATCCTTATGACCAAAATTAATGACTCAGTTAATAGCCCAGACTGTGTGCAATTTACTGCAGGAAGGAATACAGGTCATTATCCCAACTTTGAGAGAAAATCTATTAAAAATAATAAAAAATGCTTAAAAGTGTTTAAGTGATGACCAATCCATAGTTGATTTCTTAATTAATTGAAGTAGAATTGAAATGTGTTTTGTCAAATTACTGTCCAATTATTAAAAGGATACTCTCTGTTAAAATGTAGATGAATGTTAATCAAATTAAAGGACCACCAAAGACTGAAGTAGCAGAGGAATGCTTGTGTGCTACTGCACCAAGCAAGATTAAATGTTCATGGTGTGCATTTGAGATGTACGGACACGTGAGAAGAACATGCAAGAGGCATCCGAGAACCATACATTTGATGGATATTGTGGTTTGTCCAAAGTGCCGGGGTACCTTGCAACACTGACACAAATAATTCAACATGGACAAATATAATTGGACATTGTTTATTTTGTTGGCATGTCTGCATCTAAAATGTGGGTACCATATCCATCCAAAAACTACAATTAAAACTTAAAGTGGTTTGAAAGTAGGTTGCTTTCAGTAATGTGTATGGGTAGATTTCCATAAGGATGTGAATGTAGTATATCTGAAAACAATAGGATTGGTCACCATAGACCCATCCCATACCACTTCTTTGCAACTTATTTCATGCATTACCCATATATGGTGAAAACATAATGAATAGCAACCTATGCTTTGATATTATTAAATTATAAAATGTTGTCATTTTATACATAATTAATTTTTTTGTTTATCATGAGCATGGAGCAACTAAACAGAAAAGTTGTGGAACTATCATGTGGTATATATATATAATGTTGTGTTATTTAAACAAGGATTTTTTCTTTCAAGGATCTATTTTGTCTTTGACTTTGAATTCTAATCTATTGGGAAGACAATATTGGATGTAGGACATGGGAGGCATTTAAAAACTTGATCATTAAACTTGATTTGAAGCAATCTCTGCAAAAAAATGAGTCCACCCTCTTCCATTAGGCATTAGAAATGGATAACTACAACCCACCTTTGTCAGGTCATTTTCAAAAATTTCTAAACAAACTTAAGGAAATACCTGTTGAAAATACGCATTCTCACATGATGCATTTTCTTGGAGAATTTTTTTTTCTACCACGCAAAGCTGTACCTTATGTAAAGAAAGTTGTCGTTATTCTACAAGCCATTAAAAAACTACAGAATTACAGGTTGCTGTGGGTATGAACCTCGTTTCCAGGGTTTTATACTCTTCTGATTGATTAATTAAGGATGCCAATTCAAATAAAAAATATCGAGATATAAGGCTAGTGCCGGCCAGTGCAGTGCCCAGTAGTGCCCAGTCGATTATCTTAAACGTCATCTATACAAAGCACCGAATCATTTAAGAGTTCATACGAGAGAATACCAGAAAACATGGCTCCAGGCTACTTCTTCATGATTGGTCAATTGAAAAAGATAGAGATTCTTATGATGTTAGAATCTTAGGAATCAAAAGTGAGGCTATCAGGTCTCGTATAAGTCGTATTTCAGAGAAGAGTATCGTGATATTGTATCAACTGATCCCGTGTATTCGTATATATCTAAAATCTTCGCCAGGACCCGGAAATACGTAAAGGCCACACTGAGTTTCACACCGCAATCCAATGACCCCTTTTAGTCAAGGGCGTCCCCATGTTTGCTGTTACTTTATTTATTATTTCAGAGATTTTTTTTCTATCGCATTTGCATTTAAAAATGTGGCGCATTTAGGACCTGATTGGAAAGAAAAACTCTGATAATTTTTATAATACGTATAACTTCATCAATACAACAATGCAATTGAACATAAATTCTTTAAAACTGTATTTCAGGTTTAATGCTACTTACACATTAATAAAATAATTTGATAGAATAGAATGATAATCTTATATATTAATTAAATATGTGCAACCAAGCACAACTGTACATCATGATATATTACAAACAGTTAATTTATATTATCTGTGTCCCCCAACATAAACTTCGTTCTCATTTTGTGTATCGTTGTTTCAGTTTATTGTACCATAGTTGAGTGTCTTGCTTCGTCTAAAACAGAATATAGATCCATATTATTTAGACACATATATCTTCTTTTGTATATTTTTATATACATTTTAAGTACTCAAAGCTGCCTTGTGATCACTGAATTAACTCTTATCAGCTAGTCGAGATTTAAACTGTATATGGACCTTGAGACCACGCAGTTCCAACGAATATTCTTGCGGCATTTTTTTTAATGATGCGAGTGGAAATTTATGGAGGTATTCCTTTGGCAACCGCGATTCTTTTAACTCTATTATCAATGCACTGCGTTGTGATTTTGGGGCGTATGTCCCGAGTTGATCCTGTTACTCACACACATTTTTCAATTAGAACTGATTTATGATTTCAAAAAGTTCATGGACATGGATACTTACAAATTGTGTTGAAGGAGGTATGGAATGCGGGTGATGTTTTTTTGTCATGTTTCCTGAAGACGTTCCTGTGTCAGTGGTAGAAGGATCTTTACCACGAGATCTTAGATTCAATACAACATTTTTTATAACGCCCAATTCCTGAGATTTGATAAAAATAGAGTATATTGGTGAAAAAACCTTTGACTTACTTAATCTCGTACACGATATATGTATTTACATACTTCTCGCTGATTTAACAATCGTTCAAGGTCTGCCGTTATTTTGTTTTTATTTTCAGCGAGTTTATCTCGTTCCTCCTGCAACTTTCTACAAATCAAAAAATATATTCAATGCGCATGTGGTCAAACCACCTGGCGTAAATACCCAAAAGTACAGAAAACAGGAAGTAAAAGGCGCAATTGAAATAGTTATACGAATTCAATGTTTAAACAAGCAATTTATAGTCTTAAGTATTAGAAAGCCACTTCCGGGTGTTTTTTTGATATTCAGAATATTATATTGACTATTATAAACTAGTTAACTAATTGGTTTTGCTTTGAATAGAAAACATGAAATATCTATTGACGTCCGGCGTCGCTATATGACCACCCCCCTCCCTATAAATCCACAAAATGGAGTTCACGTGCACCAGTCATGCAGGTCGCTATGTGAAAAATACTATGGGATGCATTGAAATGTAATTTACCAACATTGCATGTCAGTCAATATGAAGTGATTCAGTTTTTCTTTAGATTATTCTAGTCGATTGTTATTTCGTTAGGATTCGGAGGTAAAACATAAACCATTTAAGTTAGTGAGACTGTAATTAAGTTAATATACATAAACATGCATATGCATAGGCCCAAATTAAAGTCTTCTCGAGGCTTATACCTCATATCTTTTTCGAGCAAATCATTATTTTCTTGTAATGATTTTATTTGAGAATCTCTCACTCGGATACTTTCAATGAGATAATTGTAGGGTTGTTGAGCTTCGTTCAAAATATTCGTTGTATTCGAAAGCTAAAAAATGGAATGCAAAATTTTGAGATTCACGGCAGGGAATCGAGAATTGAGGCTAAGGATCAATTAAGAAATGATTTAAAATAATAAAAAACATTCCACCTCCTGCAAAAGCTCATCTCTCCTCTTTTTCTCCTCCTCCAACTGCCCTTGTAATGTTGTGTTCATTCTTTCTAACTTCAACACGCGACGAGCAAGGTGAATACTTTATCGTACACAAAAAGATGATTTTATAATACAAGGTGGTCACGTATATATGTGACAAAATATGCTATATATATAGTTTTTGTTGTGGTGTCCGCGTATAATGATGATCCTGTTTGTCAGTTTGATTATTCAGTTCAGATGTAGGTTGCAAAGAAACACACAAAACTTAAACTTGAAAATTATCGATGAATTTTTGATGAGGTCGAAATTTTTGAAAGTATTAATATTTGACTATTGGTGATTCGTAACCTATAATCTTTAAGTATATTCCACCGAAATATGTTTCCCGCTATGCATGCTCTTACCTCTGTTGCATTCTTCTCTTAGCAGTACTTGGTACATTCGCACCATAACCGTACGCAAACAACACTCTTTCTGCATCCACTTCACTTTCCACTAAAGATGCAGGAAAAGAAAAAAAAATTAACCATTTAGTTGCGATAAAACGGTAACGTTTTACTTCGTCCCCCATTATATATTAGTGTTTTACAAACTACTATAATCAACTAAATCAAGAAAAAATAATGAAAAATAGCGAAATTTTGCGATTACATTGAGCTGCTTGTAGAATGACGTCATCCAGTTCTTGTTCTAATTTTTCATATATCGAAAGTTTCTTCATTGCATCAGTATTCGTTGACTGTAGTTCGTTTATTTGTTTATCAGTAGATGCTTGCAGGGTGTAAAATTCTTTGTTCAAAACCTGTAATAAAGTGCAGGGTGTAGCTACAACAAAGCGAGCATGGAAAATTATCAATTTTTTTCCAGTGAACAGGAAACGGTGGTAGAAAATTCGTACCTCTAACTTGTGTTGATATTTAGTCGTATCGACGTTAGCTTGTTTCAAATTTTGTGATGTTTCTTCGTGTAACATCTGTAAACGATCGAACTCAAATTGTTTTAGTTTTAAATCGCTCTGTAGTTCCGTAACCTTGCTATCAGATGCCGTGTGCAAGTCTCTGTACCTAAAAACAGAAGTTATTTTCTTTCCAGTTCTCGCTATATGTCCTGGTGTGACTTGATTCAGCCTCACCACAAGACCATCTTAAAGTTTAATACTCCTTTTGAGCCAGGAGTTTGTAATAATTGGGATACGTACTCTTGAGTGACTTGCTCATATCGTGACATCATCTGTTGCTCAGCATGTACAGCTCTGTCTTTTTCTGCTAGTGCATTGTCTCTTGCTTCTCGTAAATTCCTATTATTTTAAAATGATAAAAGTTTGAGAACATTTGATCACAAGAACTCGTTTTGCATTTCGTTAAATTGCTCTGAGTCCTCCACTATAAACACTCGGATTATTATAAATTATATCAATGAGTCAGAAAAGTAGTTAGACCTGACACTAACTCGGATACAAATTTATTTACGATCGTACTGCGTGTACACCACATTTCTCCCACCTGTTTTCTCTTTCATACATTTCTTTAGTGTTGTTTTTAATCTTTTCCAACTCCGTACTAGTTTTCGTTGTAATTACATCCAGTTCATCTCTTAACCTCATTTCATACTCAGATTTATATTTCTCTCTGCAGGAAGACATATTGTATATACATCATATTATATTACCCAGGGGCGTAGAAAGATGTTGAGGATTCGTGGCCACGAAAGAAATTTTTAAAATTTGATTGCCCTAGATCATCGGAGATGATCAGAGCATAAGTACATGTGTGTACTACAACCTACTGTATATATGCAATTTTAAATACTCAGTGAATTTCAAAACATTTTCTTTCAAAACATTTCTTTGTCCCCCGAAGGATAATCCGCTATGTTATTGGGGCAGCATAGAAGCATCTTTGACTTACTTTCCTTTAAATCTGGCATAATAACTGCCGAAAAAAATTTTTGCCAGAAAATGCAAGTCTTTTACCACTGTAATAATTTTTGCGGGATTTTCGAGTTAAAACTAATACATGGTATTTTTCTTCGAATTGGCATTACTTTTGCTAATTCATTAGCTTGTTCACTTTCCAATTTCAGCCGACGAAATAAGGTGGTGTATAATGCATGCACGTCACAGTAAGGAATAGTTACCTCACTGAAATATATTTCTCGTACAATTCCTCTCTGTCCTGTTTTATTTTCGCTAGTTCTTGATTAAGGACAGGCCCTTGTTGTTCAAACACTTTACATTTTGTTGCGATTTCAGTCAGCTGTTTATTCAGGTATTCTTTGTCTTGTTTTAAAAGTGCCAATGATTGCTTACATGATTGCATCTGCGTGTAAGAAAATGAATTAATTGTTAGCATATATGCACACTCTATTTCCAGGCGTGTACATCTGAGGCAGGTTGTATGACCGGATGCCGGATAGTGTTTTTTTTCAATCTCTTTAAAATCGCCCGTTGTTAGGAATAACTTTGATTAAATCTTAGTATTCCTAGATTGAGGATGCATCGATGTATCTTTAGGCTTTTATGTTCTTTGGATGTAGGTTCCAAAGATGAAATTTCATAGCTTTCCAAGCTTTTCTATAACGGTTGAAAACATCACTATCCGATGGATAGCGCTATCCAGCCTTCGTAGCTACAACCGACCCTGGAGAATCAGGCTAAATTTAAATTTTTCGGTTTTGAATAAAAAGAGAACTTAAAATCTACATATTTTGCCACAACGGGGAGAGTGACATTTCTTATGTGACATTTAATATGGAAATCATCATTGAACACTTGCATGGAGGAGGCATTTTATGATGGGTTATTTTGATTATTAGCGGTCAGCTGTGTTTAAATGAGCTGAATCTGCCGACAAGGATTATAGCGAAATTCCTGGCAATGCATGGTTATATGAAAGCCAGGTCAAAGAAAACAATAACCGCTGTTATCAAAAGCAAGATAGATGGCGTTAAACCGCGGTAACCGCGCCTCTTATTGAAATCACTGCAGGCATAAAGTTCATGATTAGTCCAAGTGGCACTTGCGATGTTAATCAATTTGCTCCAGATTACTGATAGATAAATATGGACCAAACTAAATGAAATACAGAACCTCTTTGTGAATTTCCACATTTTCATTTGTTTTACTGTTCAACGAAGCCTTGAGTGAAACGTGTTCTTTTCGTAACTGCATTACTTCTTTCTCAATATCCTGACGATCACTAAAGTGGACATTCGTTCATGTTATGAAAAGTGACCGGAAACATATTCCTAATATATTGTCGAGCTAAAAAACTTGCATGATTTCCACATACGTGCGTATTCGCACGAGAAGTTAACATCGTTTTTTTCTGAACTTTACCTGATAAGAAACTAATACTAGCTTAATAGTAACACAATGACGATCTATAGTTAGAGTGTTTTTTACTTGATCCGGCTGCTTAACCAAGTCTGCCAAGAGTGCATGAACGAAGCGTGAAATGATTCTTTGTATGAAAGAGAAGCACTTGCTCTCGTGAGGATGACTACACGACTGTCAGATTCATGTCAATTCAATACCTCAATTTTCAAGCCTCGTTCAACATGTATTCAAAGTCTATTCTTTCGATGTATTTAGTACTATGTCTATTATGTATAAAGCTTTGTCTTAGAAAGATATAATTTATCTTTTGCATGCGCATACGCACGTTATGTGGAAAGAACCCCTAAGGGTTGGTCGAAGGGTTTGGTGTAAGGCTTCAAATCTGTTCAAATTTTTTAAAATGTATCTTTTAAAATAACTGAATAAATACACGAAAAAAGTAGTATGCATAAAAAATTAAACAATTGAAAGTCTGACGACTGCATGCATATTAGTATAGCGGTTGTAACCAATAGTGTCGTGAACATGACGTCAAGGTGGCTGATGTGATAGAATATTTCCATTCGTGTGCAGTCAACAATTTGAAAACAGAAATAAAGACAAAAATCGGTGAAAATGACTTGTTCATGACAATTACGAGTAAATGGAAATCAGGCTTCAAACTGTTCTTATGCATACACTGCACAAAAGACAAGAAAGTCAAGATAATATAGACTATGTGGCATCTGCCATACTTGTCTACCTCTAGTGGTGGCAACATGCCTCTTACCAGATCACTTCATCGTAATGTTCTGACTTAAAATCTTTATTATTTATTCGAGATTGCAATTCTTCCACTTTTAAAATCATTTTTTGTGCCATAAATTCGTGCTCTGCCCGAGCCTGCCTCTCGCTGTCGATTTCCTGCAAATAACAATACATGCCTGTGAACAAACTTCAGGGGTATGCACCCAAGTCAAAACAACATTGCACATGGGGAAGGCTAATTTTCTCAATTGCACATGTTTTAAAACCATTTCAATATATGAAGATTGTCCATACAGGAAAATCATGTTGCACATAAGTATGAATGGTTTGTTGATTCAAGGGGTTAAAGCAAGAGGTTCCCAGCTTGGAACAAAAGGTGATCTTTAGTGGCTGGTGGCATTTAGTGCTATCACAAAAGGTCGAGAGAAAGAGCATGAAAGAAAGAGCTTCTTTGAATACACAGAGCATTCAGCATGTGTACTAGATAGTATTGTCCATGTACATGCAATTTAAAAAGACATTCATTTAAAAAACCTTTTGACACAGAGCTACTTCTTCATCTCGGTAGGTTAATTCTTGTGTTACAATATCAACACGTTGTTGCAGACTTTCACATTGTATCTTCAGAGATTGAGTTGCTTCAAAAAAATGAACCTATTCATCATAGACAAAAGGCATATTTAAATACATTACATAAACATTGTACAATCATAACATTTAGAATGAATGAATACCATGAGCACCATAAGGAGAAAAACTGGCCAGATATTGGGTATCATTACAACCAAATGGTGATACTTCAACCTTATATTAGATTTTGTAAGGGCTAAATCTGGCAAATTCTGGCAAAGTGTTTATTTATCTGGCACCATAACCTGATGAAACCAGTTCACAGATAAATGATGGACAGCTGTCTATCTAAGGTACAAAACTGTTCCAACAAAGCCATCTTACTGGCAAGTGTTACTTAATATTCAATTGTTATTACACAATTGCCTCTACCCAGTGACCTATTTTACTATTGTCTTAGCAGTTGATAAAAATTATTTTTGCTTGATAATGAATAAAATTTGCTTTCATGAGTGTAGGATATATAGTATATACTAACATCGTAATGATCGTACTTACAGCAACAAAGTCTTTCAAAGACAACTGCTCTGAGTCTTTTGACTTGAGATCTACATACTGATCTTCCGTTAGCTGATCAATGTCAACAAACAAATTTGATTTCAAATAGCCTGCCTTTTCATGGAGTTTGAAATTCTCGTCCTCAAGCTTTTTCTGTCTTTCAGTAATTTGCACTAGTTCTTCTCTTAGTTTACGTTGTTGAGTTTTTGCTTCGTCTTCTTTTAATTTTAACTGTGATTCAAGCTTTGCTCTCAGCATATGTTTTGAGTATGTGATATCAGACAATTTCTCTTCCAGATCGTCAATTTTATTCATTAGCTCAGCTTTGTAGCTTTCTGCAAGCAATGTTTTATGACTGAGTTCTATTCGCAATCTGTCCATTTCATGTAAAAGCTGTTTCTTTTCAAGCATATGTGCAGTTACAATTTTTCCATCATAGCTTGTATCAGTTGTTGTAGACAGCTCCGAAGTTGCAAGAGACGACACTGTCCCTCCTAAATCGTCTGAAACAAGGGTTGATTCATTTAAGGTATAGTTAACACTTGTTGTCGTGGACGAATCTGTCCTAATAGAATTCTCCGACATATTTAAAACTTGCACGAATATTAAAGATATTTGAAGCAATCCAAGATTTGATCTTCTTTGTTGTTATTGTTTGTACTTCACGCGCAAACGTACTTTGTGACAAGCGCCGACAACAAAGCGCGAAAAATGTCGATTGTAATTGTAACATTCATAAATGTATGTACAGTCAGTACAGAAAAACGTGTTCCTGTCCGCGTGTGTCCGCGTCCGCGTTTTTCAAGCTAACCCAGAACAAGTGAAAACATCCGCAAATTAAAGTAAAAAAAAGTTAAAAGTTACTGACTATTCCTTAATTCCTATACTTTCCCACCAAGTGGGTAAAGCCAAATTTTGAACGTTTTCGGGAACTTCGGGCTTGTAATTTTCGTTAGGGGGAATATCAAATATCAATATAAATTTCAGCCGGTTTTTACTGCATGAGGCATGCAGCATGACTTTCTTAACATTAATCTTCCTTCCTTTTTTTAATGATCTTTCCAAAAAAAGGATAAAAAGAGGTCTTTTGCTGTAGTTCTTAATTCCATTTTTTTAAAAAAAGCTTCACCCCCCCAAAGAAAGTTAGAAATTGGTCGTGTGGCAAAATTTCGGAGCCCGGGTTGGTATATTTAGGCTTTATTATAAATAATTAGGTTTTCAATGCTGTCACCTGAATAAGACTGTGTAGGTGTCAAGTTTGCTAAAATTTTGACGTGTATTAATACAAGGGCACAACCACGCCATAGTTCTGTAGGGCTTTGGTAACGGACTATTTTGACCATGGCCCCTTAAATAAGTTAAATTGTACAATACGTCTTGCATTGGCAAATTTACTCGAATTTTATACTATATTATTTTGACCAATAAGAAAGAAGTTTGATCAACTTCTCATTTGGACGTTGTGAACTGAGAAACGGGATAAAAGTTTGACCGCTGGGCACTGGCATAAATTTGGATCTGTCTTTGGTCACAACTCACAAGCTACATGATTAAATTATACTATGCTAGAGAACACCAGAGATGAAAGAGCAATAAGTGGTATGATTGGATGAGGTATGTTTGGAGGACGAGGAGTTGGTTTGGAGTGGGAAACAAGGAGATGAGGAGGAGAATGATGGTGATATATAAGTTTTCTACAGGTAGTAATCAAACACAGCTATTATACAAATTCAGAAGACTGCATTTTATGGAATATTATTCTTAAGTCACCCCCAATGTCTTAAAGTCAAAGTACAGTTCTTTGACCAGTTGGGAAAAGCTCTATTATTGTATTCTAATCAAGACATTCACCTAACATCATTCAACCAACATGGAATCTATATTGGATGGAATCTACTACAACTAGAGACAAATTATAAGCAATATATCATTTTTAGAAGAAAAAAAAATTGGAATCCAATGTGCAGCAGGGTGTTCTTGATCGATAGCCAACACACCCACACAGAGTCTTAATAAAGTTCCTAAATGTATTTAATTAAAGTAAGAATTGAAAGCTGTTTCAAATCTATTTAGTGATACATATTGGTTAATAATGATTTAACAAAACTGACTAATAGCTCGAAATTTTAATGTTATTTTATCTCTTAGAGATGAGTTTGATGACATGGGATTGGATAGCTGGGGAGGGGCATGAAATAAGAGGGGGGCAGGGGAAACTGTGGCAAACCAATACTGTGTCCTTCCAAACAGGATTAGGTTCATATGTCCTTGATTGGTGAGATCTACAACAACATTTAGTATCATGTACCAGCAATATTTTTCATTGCTGACTTCCCCCTTCAGTTGGAGCCCACCCATCTCAATGTTTTCTTTTGACACTTGACAGTTTAAAAAACAAGCGCCTCCAACATCAGTAATCAGATAGTGATTCACTACCCAACATTGTTCAGAGTGCAGGGCCGAGTGTCTTGTTTACTCCGCATAAAATTGTAGTTCACTTCACTGGGCGAGGTATATTGAATATTGTTCTATCGTTCAGTGACATTTGCCGATAGTAGACAGTGCTTTGACTGATCTCTCTTTCCACAAGTACAAGTTAGAACATGTTATCTTAGCAATGATAAAAGCAAATAGTAGATTTCCAGGTTCAGACGGGCCGACCACAAACATTTACGTGGTGAAATTTATGGACTAATCCTACTATTTAATAAACCGGAATCGAAATTAATATTTCCTCACGTGGTAATTTTAGTGCATGTTTACAGGGTTTTGTTGACATAAAGATGAAATGGAATATGCAGAATGCAGTAGAAATAATGCACCCATGCCTAACGGAAATGCAATTAGACACTTTCCATATCCATCACATGCGTCTTGACAATTTGTTTGTAACTCGCCAACGATTTAACTCTATTTTTCTAGCCTGAATACTCTCCACTTGTTGTGTAAAACTAGAGGACTACATTGCTACTCTTACAGTACTTTATTATATAGATTTAATATAATAGAACACAGTGGTTTCAACTGTTCAATATCATTTCCGGCATCATAACCGAAATCTTAGGGGAAACCATACACATTCACACTCAGGTATTTTGAATTATATATTTCTAAAGCATACGATGTGCATACTTCAGCTAAGTTTAGAGATGATGTACAACTAGGTGCCTACAGAAATTGAAATAATACTATAATTTACATCCATATTCTTGTATCTTTGATAGAGGAAGCAATGTATCCGAATTAGCAATATAAAGTACAAAATTATAATAAAATCTGTCATTATTTTTGGACTTCAGCAATTCAAATTTTATCCTTTCTTCTCTTGTTCGATAGCTATAAAATACAAAGAAAAAAATAATCAACGAACACATTTTCTCAATCTTCAGGACCCTCCATATATATTAATGTACTAAATAGATTGCCAAATACGTCAAATAATGCAGCTTGGCGAGTGAGGAAATGACAAACAAGTATAATTAAACAGCTCACACAATAGGCACCGCCCAGTCTAGCAATTTGCTAAAAGCCAAGTCAAACTTCTCGTTTGGCTGCCAGGATAATATAAATGTTCTGGATAACTGAAGATTATCAAGCCAAGCTAGCTAAGATATAACAATGAACAATTACGAAAGCAAACATGCATCACTCACAATTGAGTGTAAACTTAGTTAAAAATTCCATTACATTTCAAAGGTGTCGTATATCATCAACAGCATATATCAACGCATGCTAAAGTCAAGATTTAAATATTCTGATGAAGTACCCTATGACTTTGTATTGGTTGGCATTTTAGTACTGTAAAGACTCGGAGTTGCACTTACTCTCTTTAGTTGGTAAGGTATTCTTTTCCGCCGTTGTTGTCTTCTTCAGCTTGCTTTTGTCGAACTGCTCGACTTCAGATATATCAGGCTTTTTATCAGACATATTAAATGATAAAGAATCCTGCAACAAGAAAAACAAATAAACTCCGATAAATGAAATAACTTGCAACATTGACGACTGCTGGATAATATATAGATGCCATGAGCAATACAAACCTTCCTTTTGCAAACTACGAGTGAACACACTGACGCCAAACAACAGACAAGTGACGAGCTGCTAAAAATATGGGTTTATATATTATGTAAAATGATTAGTATGCGAGATATACCACATGACCAAAAAATTATCCAGAACGGAAATCCGAAAAAATCTGTATTCGCGTAACAGGAGATTAGAATGAATAACAGCGTAATATTATTTAAGAGATATATTAGTTGAGGAACGACAAAACTATATTTTTTGGTGAAGAAACTTCAGGTTATATGTTTGGTATAAATTATCGTAAATTAAGACTTTTATTTTACATAAAAAGATATTAAAAACAAAGATTTTTTATATCGCAAGGAATTCATACTATTCACTACAAAATGAAGAAACGTGAATATTCGAATAACTACAAGAACAAATTTATTACGAACTGCAAAAAATACTCCCTAAAATATGGCCCTAGATTTATTTTAAAATTTATCAGGGATATAGTAATTTATGCTGATATAGCTGGTTGGTATGTATGAGGAATTTCATAATTAATCCCGTTTTATTGACATCATTTTGCAGAAATATCACATATAAGATATTGATTTGGAGGTTTTTGACATATGTCAGATGTTAGATATTTTAAAATGTATCAAATCGAATCTATAGCTTATAGAATGTTAAGATTAAACCACACAGTACTGACAGTAGATTGTTATTGTATTGATTGAAATGGGTATTCCTATTACATCCAGATTCTGTGCACGTGGGTTTGTTAATTTCCGTATACCGGCGCTTCCGGCATCCTTTTGAGAGAATTCAAAATTTGATCGGAAATTGTAATATTTGTCTTTTAGTTTCTCTTGTAATAACTAACGTATCATAGGCAGTAAACTTCAAAACGAGCGTTAGACTATGTTTTGTTGTTTTTCAATTAATATGAATTAAAATCCAGTTGTAATAGAAGAGAAAATTCGGTTGATTTTACAATAGAATTTTCTATTTTCAAAACATCGTGTATGCGTGCGCATGACGTTGCTCTTGGCATGCGATTATTATGCACGCCAAAAACCTTTCATCCAAAATATTTATAATTGCCAACCACATATTTCTGCTGTAATGATCTATCGTTTGTGTTGAAAATATAGGGTGTTCTTCCCAAGTTGAACCATGGTTATGGGCTCAGTGATCATGGACGAAGCTAGTAAGTTTACCAAGTTTTCGTATTCATGCCCGGGTTGATAGGAAAATGGTTGCACATGGGCAACTATAATTGTTTCATTGTTGTTATTGATAGCTACCTTGGCTGAAATGGCTCATCGTGAATATCAAACGGGGAACTATAATCGAGCAGAACAACTGTGTATGCAGTTATGGAGAAGAGATCCGTCTAATACTGGTGTATTACTTTTGTTATCCTCAATTCACTTTCAGTGTCGTCGAATGGACAAGTACGTTTGAAACGTGATATTTAAGATTAAATGCATTTTGTCGATGAAATCACACCGGTCTAATATTGTTTTGAAAATTTCTTACTCTGTGTTATTGAGGTGTATGTATGTATTCCTTACTTGTGGTTCTCTATCTTTTTCAGATCAGCTCATTTTAGTACGCTGGCTATAAAACAAAACCCTGTCCTTGCCGAGGCTTACTCAAATCTTGGGAATGTCTACAAAGAACGAGGACAGTTAAAAGATGCTTTGGACAATTACAGACACGCGGTTAAATTAAAACCTGATTTTATCGATGGCTATATCAATTTAGCAGCAGCGTTGGTTGCTGCTGGTGACCTGGAAGGAGCCGTTCAAGCTTATGCTACAGCACTTCAATACAATCCGGTATATTACTTTTTGCTGTTGTTGTGATTTGTGTGATACTATACCTCCTCTATACCATCATTACCATGTCTTCTAATTCGGGGGGGAGGGTCGTTTTCGGGGGGGAGGGTCGTTTTCTGTTGATTACTCGATGTTACCCCCTGTTTTTTTTATTCCTCAACCAATAGCACAAACTGACGTTCATATTTTATCAAAGTGCATGGCTCACAGTACATATCTGGTCATTGGCTGTGATAATTGGTTAAATTTAGAATTTGCTTTACGACAGTGTCTCAAATACAACATAATAACAAACCTTTTTTTGTATAAATTGTTTCCATTTTGCAAAAGCTTTTTAGAAGCTCATACTGGCAAATTATGAATTAAAAAATGAAATGATCATCTTACAAAAATGCATGAACAATCAAAATCCTGATTGGTGGATCAAACAAGATAATAATTGTACATCAGTTGTTATCATGAATAATCATCACACATGTGTTTATACAGCTTTTGACAATCCCTTTTTTAAGTTAAGTCACATAAATAAAATCTTTAATGTGGTTGTAAAATAGAAGTATGGGAATTTGACAAAATTAGTTAGGAATTATCAGGTGCTTGAGATGATAAATATACCCATTTTAAGCCAATATTGTTGTTTTTTTGTTAGAATAATGGAAATTGGAAAATTAATTTAACTTATTTTTTAGGATTTGTTTTGTGTTAGGAGTGATCTAGGTAACCTTTTGAAGGCTCTTGGAAGACTAGAAGAGGCCAAGGTAATTTTATCATAGTTAGAAAACATGTTTGGAGAATGTTTCTTCTAACATTCTTTTCTTACCAAATATGTTTAAATAGAACAGTTAAAGCAGGTTTATAAAGAGTTTGGTGCTTTTCCACAAAATGGAATTCAGTTACGATTGAAATCCTGAAATCTTTGAGGAAACACCTAATCTGCTTAGTAAACCAACTTTTTCTGTTGTAAAGTAGCTGTATAGTTGATCATATATGTTGTGCGTTCTTTGTCAGTTTTTCAGAAGTCTCCCAACAATGCCTTTGAAACAAGTATTAGTTTACAATCAGAGTTCATCTGGTTTTGGTTTCTTCAATATTAATGTAAAATTCACTTGAAAAATAAAAGCATTGATGGAGTTTTCTTATATATATTCTGCTGACATCTAGCATAGCCCTGCCAGATTTCAAAGAAAAACCTCACTGACTTAAAAATATCTTCCTTTTCCACCTTTCTTTCTACAAGCAGTTATTAGTGCCATGGTGAGTGTAATTACAGCATCTTGGATGATACAGAAGATATCCACAATGATCCCAGGGCTGATGACCGTGGCTGAGAAAGACCAATTGGCTTTTTTCTTCTCGCTGCTCCCTTTTCTTTGCCATCCCAATTTTGGTTTTCTTTCAGTAAAAATGGGAATGCTAGTCAACTTCGAAGATTGTTGTTTACCATTTCTAAGGGCATGTCCCTTTTGGGAATTTTTATTAGTTGGATCTCTACTCTTTTTCTCAGGCTGATTTTCAAATAAAAATGGTGGTATGCAACAAGCTAAAAAGTTGTGGTGATAAGTATTCTCATTTTTACTCATTTTACCAAACAAAACCCTAACCTTGAAATTGACAACAGCAATATGTTATATACTTTCCCTATTTCACCATCCCTTGAACATGTTGCTTGTTTCTTTTAGCCAGTTATCAGTGTATTGCTACAATTGGAAATTATCATTGTATGTTTATGATTTTTGGACAGTTCTATGAAAACAAACATTTTAAAAGCATTACACTGTGTACTGCAGTCTTTTAAGACTTGGAGAGAAGCAAGTGGCATGGTACCCCATGGTAGAATTTTAGTGTGAAGTTTACCAAGTTATTTTACTGTTTTTGCATGGAAAAAGAACAAATAATTCCTGTGCTTTTATGGTAGAATAACAACGTACTTCACACTTGAATTCATGACGTTATTTGAATTAAATGAAAACCATTATGTTCTTTCTGCTTCCTGCTGCATCTTTTGCTTATTTGCTTTGCTTTGCTTTGCTTTTTATTTTGCTTTGCTTGCTCTTGCTTTCCTTTTCTTGCTATTTGCTCCTTGGTGAAAACCTAGGCATGTTATCTAAAAGCAATTGAAACTCAGCCAAACTTTGCTGTTGCTTGGAGCAACCTGGGGTGTGTATTTAATGCTCAAGGAGAAATTTGGTTGGCCATACATCATTTTGAAAAGGTAATTAAAATATTTTTATAGTTCTCAGCTCAAGATTGTTATTAGCATTTCTTGGACATAGTGCCATGAATCCATTTTTCCTAAATTCAATCATGATTTTTTAGGCTGTTCAGCTTGACCCATCATTTCTTGACTCCTACATAAATCTCGGGAATGTCCTAAAAGAAGCAAGGATATTTGACAGGTATATTACATCAGAAAATTCAAGAGCTTGCCTGTGTTTGTCTACCGTGGTTACCAGAGGTTTTCGCCCGCCGGGTTACAGATACGAGCAAGAATACCACGGCGGAAGATAAAAAAAAACCTGTGGTAACGAGTGTGTAGTTTGCATCGATCTATAAATCGGCCAATAACTTAAATGTGTCAGATATTGTACGTGAAGTCCCAATAATTTAGATGCAGAGATCGGCATACTTATATCAGCTGGAGTTTTAAACATAAAAAAGCCGACTGTTTTAAGTATAATTCCCCTCTTGTATATTCTATATAGAGCTGTTGGTGCATATCTCCGAGCGTTGCAATTAAGCCCGAATAATGCCGTCGTTCATGGAAATTTAGCTTGTGTCTACTATGAACAAGGGTAAGAAGTGATGTGTGCGTGTCTTTTAAATCCCACATGCTGCTGTTTAAGTAAACAGCGTCTATTTGGAAAAATAACAGTATTGCCTATAGTGGCAATGCCTACCTACCACGGCAAGGGCCTGCTTTTGATGACCTTCGGCAATTGCTGTCCACATAACTATGATTTTTGAAACCAAAAATTTTCTTCAATAATGAGAAAGATGAAATCCTAAATCTATTTTGAGAGAAAAGCTCAATTAGCGGCGATTTTTAGAGATGATATAAAGTCGGTTCGGTTGTGTGCATATTTTTTTGTAATATTCCAGTGGTCATGTCGCGTTGTTACGAGCGGAGGATATGTTTGATAAATAGAAGATTAAAGATATTTTATTATTGCATATGATATTATTAAAGATATTTTCATAGCAACAGAAAAAGGGAGCCAAACCTAACAAATACCGCTGTAGCGGCGAACGACATTTACCAAGATGTAATATTGCGGGCAATCACTGTCAGTATCAGTAAAAAAATTCACAAAAACACTTAATGACGTCAATGACGTGGAATTTTAAGTGCGACCCGAAAGCACATAATATGCACATCCGCCATTTGTTTCCTGTTTTCACTTGGAATTACTTCTGGCAGTTCTGCTGTTTTTCTAACAACGTCTGTCATAATTCTCAGACACTGCATGGAAACAGTGTTTGGTGTCTTTTGTGCATACGGTTGTATGTTCAAGTTTTGCATAGCCACAGAAATAAGTTTCTTTTCCTAAAGTCGTAAATATGTTATCATGTTAAACAACAAAAAGTTGATTTTAGCGATTGGTGAAGGATTAGTCATCAGGGAACTGGGAACAATCGATCGACTCCCTTGGCGAACTCGTAATTCCTTCAGAAAATCACTCGCAATTTTTGTGCCCTACATGAGTACCTTTCTTGTCTTTTTTAGTCTTACTGATTTGGCCGTTGACACTTATCGCAGAGCTATTGAATTACAACCAAACTTCCCTGATGCTTATTGCAATCTTGCAAATGCCTTAAAAGAACAGGGAAAGGTAGTATTATTAGAGCTGATCGTGAATTTTTCCTTGATACGGTGGTATAAATGAATGATTTTTATACTTACGTTAGACCGATGAAGCTGAGGATTGTTATAATATTGCCCTTCGACTGAATCCATCTCATGCAGATTCGTTGAACAATCTTGCAAACATAAAACGAGAGCAAGGTTTTATAGAAGAAGCTATCAAGCTGTATTGCAAAGCGCTTGAGGTATGGAAATTGTCGATGTTTTTTTAAAACACGATATTGATAATAAAATGAAAATGTAAATTCACAGGTGTTTCCTGAGTTTGCTGCTGCTCATTCCAATCTTGCTAGTATATTACAGCAACAAGGAAAACTTCAAGATGCCCTCATGCACTATAAAGAAGCAATTAGGTAAAATTTACCCTTCATTATGTGTTTGGAAGTTTGCTGTAGGCGATAGTTATTGGTGTATATTTTTTGTAACGATATATGTTTTTTTAGAATTCATCCAACATTTGCGGATGCTTACTCGAATATGGGTAACACACTTAAAGAAATGCAAGACATTCAGGGAGCAATCAACTGTTACAGTCGTGCAATTCAGATTAATCCAGCATTTGCTGACGCACACAGCAATCTAGCCTCGGTTCACAAGGTTTACTACTTTCTCTATATATATTCACGTATATTTCATACGCATGTCATAATGCCGTAAACAATTGTGTTTCAAATTAATTATACAGGATGCTGGTAATATATCGGAAGCGATCCAGTCATACAAAACAGCTTTGAAACTCAAACCAGATTTTCCCGATGCGTATTGTAATTTGGCCCACTGCTTGCAGGTTTGTTTACGAATGTTATATCTACTACTTGAGAAATGGACGCTGTAGTTCGTTGCATTTTACATGGTAATAATATTCGATAGCGCGATTTTTCATCGTTGGAATAAAGAAGATGAACTTGCGTTGACGTGGTATTACGGATTAAAAAGTTAAACAGCGTAACCTTTTAAAACGTTAAATTTATCCAACAAATATTCTACATAGAAAGTACACCTGGGGAAAACAGTTTGCGTATTCCTTTCATGTAGATCATTTGTGATTGGACGGATTATGAAACAAGAATGAAGAAATTGATAAATATTGTAAATGATCAGCTGGAGAAGAATCGTCTGCCATCCGTTCACCCGCATCATAGCATGTTGTACCCTTTGACCAGTGACGTACGAAGGAAGATTGCTAACAGACATGGAAACTTGTGCATTGAAAAGGTGCGTTTGCCATATCGTCGCTTATTCCTTATATTTAATAGTAATCGGATTTGAAGGGTGATCATAAATTAAGGTTTAAACAACTAAAATGAATACAAAGGTGAACTGAAATAAAAAGGAAATCGTTGGGGGGGGGGGGGGAATGCAAAGGACTTAAAATATTATATATTCTAACAATTACAATAATGTCATCTCCTGACAGGTAGCACTTTTAAAAAGGCAACCATACAAATATCCGAAAGATTTGAAGAGTAGCGACGGTCGTTTGAGGATTGGCTATGTTTCCAGTGACTTTGGTAATCATCCAACATCTCATCTCATGCAGAGTATTCCTGGTTTTCATGATAGATCGAATGTTGAGGTAAGATTCTAATGCATATGCAGAAGACACTCGCAGATCAACGCTATTGTTCTTTATATCAAAGTAATCAAGCAAACTGGAAAGTTGTTGCTGAACTGTATTGCACTTGTACAATCCTGGTTGGTTAAATATTACCCAATATTTGTCTTCTTAGATATTCTGTTACACGCTTACTGGTGATGACAACACAAGTTTCTTCAAGAAGATATCCCGTGATGCCGATCACTTTATCGATTTATCTCAGATACCGTGTCACGGCGCAGCTGCAGACCGCATCAATGCTGACGGGATTCATATTCTCATCAATATGAATGGCTACACAAAGGGAGCAAGAAACGAGATATTCGCCCTGAAACCGTGTCCTATTCAGGTATATACTGTACATAAACCCAAATGATATTTGCATGAATATCGCGTAAGGCTGCGGTCAGTTAATCCTCTCTATAGCTTTATTTTTACGGAAGCATGGTTAACAGATGTGATTAACGCGCTGTTTGAGGGATTATCATTCTATCAACAATCGTTTGTTTTCTTTGTTTTCTAGGTCATGTGGTTAGGTTATCCTGGCACAAGTGGCGCGCCATATATGGATTACATCCTGACTGATCGCATAACGTCCCCACCAGAACACAGCAGTTCTTATTCAGAGAAGTTTGCGTACATGCCAAATACCTTCTTCGTTGGTGACCACAAGCAGATGTTCCCGCATCTCATGCAACACTTGCGTACCTTCGGTGAGAATCAAGCCAATCCCCAGTCCACTCCTCATACCTCGCAATCCTCGCAAAAATTCAAGTTTTTACCAGAAGTTGACGTGAATCTTCACGATAAGGTCGCGAAGTTGGTGGATTACAAGAGTCGAGATTATGTTGGATGTAAGGATAGTGGTGAACGTGTTCCGTCTGTGTGGCCTACGACATCAAGATCTCAGTATGGTCTACCCGAGGACTGCTTTGTCTACTGTAATTTCAATCAACTTTACAAGATTGATCCAATCACACTCAAGAACTGGGTGAATATTCTAAAACAAGTGCCGAATAGTGTTTTGTGGTTGCTGCGTTTCCCAGCCGTTGGTGAGCCAAATATTAAGGCCCATGTGCAAGCTCTTGGGCTTCCCGCTGATCGTGTTATCTTTTCACCTGTCGCCCCGAAAGAAGAACACGTTCGTAGAGGACAGTTAGCAGATGTATGCCTAGACACACCACTGTGTAATGGTCATACAACTGGTATGGATGTATTGTGGGCTGGCTGTCCCATGGTCACCTTACCGCTTGATACCTTGGCATCTCGTGTGGCAGCGTCGCAACTTCATGCTTTACGAGTTCCCGAACTTGCCGCTAAATCAAGGGAAGATTACGAAAATATCGCCATCAGGCTTGGAACTGACAGTGACTAGTAAGAAAATGTCATATTTGTTTATACAAAGGATATTTGTTAGGCCCGTTTCAGACGTCCAACTTTTTGCCGAATTAAATGTAAATGTGCTAAAAGAAAGACTTCAGCTAATTAACATTAGGTCCGGCAAATGAAAAGTTCGATGTGTTGAGCGCTTTTCGTACAGAGAACTCTATAGCATACCTTTCATATTTGCACACAATTAAGCAAACCATTTCTAATAGCTCGCTGCTTAAAGTAGATATACTTCAACATCTAATAAAATGTTTCTGTATTTAAGTTATGCTGACGTAAAGAGACGAGTGTGGAACGGGAGATTGGAAAGTCCACTGTTCAACATCCGACAATATGCCCGCGACATGGAAACAGTTTATGCAAAGATGTGGAACAGATACTCGAATAATTTAGGTGCAGATCACATCTTGGACTGAGTGACCCGTGGAACTGTGCGTCGTAGTAGAGTAACGCTACATGTTGTTATAACGCCATTCTCTTGAGATGTTCAGGGTGTTAAAGGCGTGATTCAGAGGTGCCAGCCCCTATCTTGACCCCACTGGAAATGATGTTAGGATACCAATAAGGCCAAAATATGCACTTCGCTGTATAGAAATTATTTTTAACTGTAACCGTATGCACGCGTATAAACAGTTATGCTTAAGTATATGTGATGTGCTTGCGCAATCATAGCTGTATATATATATTATAATATTTTATCTGAAGAACTATTGAAATATGGCATTTAAAATTGCTTTTTTTAATACGATTGCAAATGTTTATTCTGTATTGTCGCCATTTTACTTTGTTCTATTAACCGCATTAAGCCATTCTATGGTTTGCACTGTGCTGAGATCTGTAAAACCGCATTTATGACATTTATACATGGGACAAAAGGTCCAGATGATTATTTCTTCGATGAGTTTTTCTTGACATCTGATGCTCTTATTTGGATATTGACTTTCATTTGTTTTTGTGTTCCAATGTGACAAGGGAGGGAGAAATGGATAGATGTCGCACATTTCCTATATACAGTTTAGGGGGTAAGGTGGAGTTCTACCATTCCACCCAATCTTGTATATAGGTAGTTCATCGCTTTCCGCCTGTCCTTGATGGCAGTTTTATAGTAAAATTCTCACGTTTTACTCTCACGAACTTTGTACTTGTAGTCTAGGGAGTGTGCGTTAGCTTTAGCACAAAACTGAGGCTGATTTTATTAGTCAATTTATATTTGATAAATTTAATAGATTAACACGCCCCATATTTTAATGGGTGGTTTGTGTCAAAACGAAACAAATATTCGTAGCCTGAATGTTGGCGCCCGTCTGTACGAAAGCCGGAAGTTATTATGTAGCGTCGGCCGTCTGCGCGCAGGCTATGCATATATGCATGTTCGAGCAAGATAAATACTGAATCGTTAGTTTTTGACGTAACATATAATCGTGGAAACAATATCCCTGGTTCAACGTTCAGAACGGCTAATCGCACGTGCATCGCGCTTCTTATCACGTAAGCTCAAGTGGAAACGGATAGCGTTGTGTGACTGGTGTCTTCTGAGGGTGATATCCAGCGATGAGTATCGCGTGAAGCAGTGCACGTTGGGAAAAATTTTTATTTTGGCTGTTCAGGCGGCCTGCAGTCTGCAGTGCAGGCTCATCTCTCAGGTGATCGTGCATTATACAAGACAAAGTCTGACCCAGATTGGAACTATTGTATACTACGAGTACTAAACATAATGGATATTTTCTATCAGTTTAGTGGATTTATCTCGACGATTCCTCCTGTAGTACAAGTTTTGTTAATATTATTATTTGCTTTTATCATTCGTAAGTTACTCAAGCCTCGAGTAGTTGAGAAAAATGATCTTGAAGCAGAGCGACGTTTTTCCTTGCCACCGATGAAGAAACGTGATTTTACCGTAAACGAGTTACTAGAGTTTGATGGAGTAAAGAATGAGAGAGTATTGCTTGCAGTCTGTGGAAAAGTATTTGACGTAACGAAGGGTAGAAGCTTTTATGGACCAGGTACCATATTCGATAGTTCAATATAGTATCTATATACTAATTTAAAATGTTTTATAATATTGTAGTTAATAAGTATTGACTACTATGAAGTAATGATATAAAAAAACACAATTGTTTGTGAACATTTTTTTATAGTCATGCCCTTGGAAACTTCACAATTTTTGCAATGAATCTCAGAGCTTCAATAATTTTTCATCAAGGCAAACATTGCTATTAGGTGGTGTGATGTATATGGTTATTAATAATGCAGCACTTTAGGCTATTAATAATCAGTTCCAAGCGAGTGTTCGTTATTGATAAGGTTACAAGGCTTATTGAGGGAATAGATCATTTTTCTCATAATTGACTCATTTTTCTTAAAGATCTTTTATTTCATGTGTTCGAAATATCCATTTGTATCAACTGACTTGCTCAGTCACATTCATTCCACATTTATGAAGAAATACAGGATGAACACTTTTATAAGAATACACAGCATATTTTTCTTTTTTCATTCCATGATCTTGCAATAAATAATACTGCTTTGCATTTAATGAAGGAAATTTTTAACATTTATAAGAGCATTTTGTACCATAAGGGTATGTGCACAGGCTAGCACTGCATGCCTGTTGTTGTAAGTACATATCATGAACTTAGGACCTATTTTTCTAACCTTTTTATTCAATTACATGTTTTGAAATAAGATTACCTACAAAATCTTGCAGATTATGATCACTAAGCTATCATCATTTTGTGTCCTTGATAAAAAAAGACATTAAAAAAAGCTTTACCCACATTAAAGTGAAATATCTAGTGTAAAAAAGCAAAGTTATACCCTTGGAACAAGGTTTTTATAAAAAATCAGGGTTATGAAATGTTTGAATACTAAGTTAGAAACTTGTTGTCTTTGTGTTAAGGTGGTCCATATTCAGCATTTGGTGGTCATGATGCAAGTCGGGGATTAGCAACATTTAGTGCTGATACGAGTGCAGTGAAAGGTGAATATGATGACTTATCTGATCTCAATAGTATGCAACTTGAGTCACTAAAAGAGTGGGAAATGCAATTCATGGAGAGATATGATCATGTTGGATCATTATTGAAACCTGGAGAAAAACCAAAACAGTATGAAGAATCAGAAACAGAAGAAGAGGATGATAAGAAAATAAAATGAAAAAAAACAATTTGATTAAAAAAGGGAAATTTTCTGGACATTTCTCCCCATGTTTAATAAAATGATCTCACACAAGAAGGTAGGATTAGATTGTTTAATTTAATATGAGGAAGATACATGGCACAAAGCTGACAGCCTGACACTATTATATATATGTATATTAATTATATGTTATCCTGTACCTAATTACTTGATTTGGGACAAATCATTTGCATTCTAGCATAGGGGTATAGTTTTGATGTAGTGGCAAACAAAGGTGGAAAGTTGAAGCAGCAGTTTCTAAAGTTTACCAAGCAAGTTGATCATGCTAACAAATTAACTAACTATTAACAACTGCTACATTTTGTACTGTAGTATTCATTGTGGTATACTAATTAAAACAGATTCCTAAGGAAGAGGTTTTGGAGAGTATTTTATTTTAAACATTCAGTTTTACCTGCTTCTATTTTTGTTCAATCCTGAATTTCATTTGCAAATTAACAATACAGTTTGTATACAAATTTATAGGAAAGACCTGCCTGCAAATTCCACTCAAAATGATTTACCTAAATTATTAAGTACAGATTAAAGTTGATTAATAGCCTATGGCTTCATGCCAAGTGAATGCTTCATAGGTAACTCACAAAATTTTAGACAAACATAATTTCTTTGCCACATATATTTTCATAATACATGCCTTCATGTATTACCTTAAACATCCCAGGATGCTATCAATCACATGTGTGTTGAATGCTTTGATTTCCACACATCTATATGCAGCAAAAACAAGTTTTAAAGCAAAAGGATGGTGATGCTTATAACTGGGCAGTAATTCATGCTTTCCAGGTACAGTTTAGTAGAACCCTCAGATTGTATGCCTATAATCAAACCACTAGTTTATTTGACGTGAACAGAAGTTGCAGTGAAATTGTTTTCTTGGCACACCAATGAAACCACTATCTGCCAAAAACAATTATTTTCAACCTACAATTCTCCTTGAAGTTGTGGTAGCAGAAGAAAATGAATCATGATTGCTGGCTTGTATTGCAAAAGTAATTTCCTTTCCAGATGTTTAGATTTTGGGAGTGAGGAAAAACCTTGGCCCTAGTGACAGAGATCCCCCTCCCAGCCCTGTGAAATCAGTTAACTCAAGGGGTTTAAATTGTCAAACTATAGACTGTTTCCTATATTTGTGCATGGAAAAGTTATTTTTACAGTTTGTGAACTACACATATGTCATAAATGTTAACAATTCAATTTTAAACACTTAACAATCAAGTGTTTTTCTATGTACAAGCCACCTGTTTTTGCAAAATCTAAGGCATGTTTTGCATTGGTTACAGCTGTGTCATGTGAACATTGGTGTTGCAAAACTAGAGCTTTTAAAACATAAAATCTGCATTTTGTTTCTAAAGGTAAATAACAATCTGACAATGTTGAGATAATACCTTCTGCAATCACTGTGCTGTCATCCCCAGGGGAGCCTATAAGCAACAGAATTGCTGAATTTAGTTGTGCATTATAAATTTTGTTCATTATTCTTCGTTGTGCAGAATTATAGGATATCTGATACTGAGTCCTTGCAAGCTCCAATTTCTCTTTTGCCTCATCAATAAGGGCCTTATTAAAATTTGAAATCTTCAACAAGAAACTAAGCAGTAACCGGCCTTCACTATAGTGTAAATCAGCAGTATCTTCACAAGGTTTAAAATGAATCAATTTTTCACTGGCAATTCTTAAACATTCTTCAGCATTTCCTAGTGACATGTCATAGTGGTGACAAAATGACAGGTACATATAGGCACGAGCAATAAGAAGTTCCTTGTTTATACTCTTTGTTGTAATCATTTCAAGTGCTTGTTTAACCAATAACTTGGCTCTGCTAAAATTACCAAGATGACAAACTGCTTTGCTTTGTTCAAGCATAATGCATGCTTTCAGATCAGATTTCCCCTTCTCCAAACCAAATAACATTTCATCTCCAACAGAAGCACATTTTTCCCATAAACATTGTTCTTGCAACTTTTGTAATTTCTCCATAATACCAATATATTCCTGTTCTGAGTAAAATGAGCAGGCAGATAATTTGCTACTTGAAGAGATCTTAGGGATATTTTTATTCATGGCATATCTTGGAATATTTCTAATATCTAACTCAATGGTACTAACGACCTTGTCAGCATCACCTGGTGCATGTTTGTGCAGTTTTAATGTTATTAATATGTGGAATTTGCATGACTTCCCAAAAAATCTGAACCAGAAACCGTAATGACCAGGTTGAGTATCTTTGCCAGGGTAATAATTGAGCGGTAGGTATTGGCACACTTTGTGTACTGGTAAATCTGGAAGCTTTGACTCTTCAGCAGTGATAGGATGTCTGGTAATGTCACTTATCCCTAATAGATATGTTGATCCGTTAATAAGGCTTTTACTCTTCTCTAACGTGTTTCGTTCCCCAGAATTACTTTCATAACGTACACGAACATGTTCCTTTACTGTACTTCCTGATCCAGCAGATATATTAGAAACAGCGACTTTCACGAAACAGTCCTTAGAAGAAGGAAATTTTCTTCGATTTTTTCCATTCTGTATTGGTTCTGGTGGTAGATGAATTAGAACTAACTGAGGCGGTGGTATCTTTCTTCGAGTACAAGATTCATTTATTACCTTCGACATTTTAAATTTAACATTGTACTGTTAGTCAGTTTGCTAATGTCTAATGACAGCACAGTGAACGAGGAAGTTAAAAATTATAAATATTATTTAAATTTTGCATTCATTTGTGGGCACTTCATTTCATTTGTGAGCATTTGCGGAAACGCTATAACGTGATCATCACGCGGGGAAGACACGCGTGTCGGGTGCATTGACTTCATATAATTATAATCAACATGGCCGCTCAAGTTTGCAATGATACAAGTGATTCTATTGAATTATGTCCAGCTAGAGGTCTTTATTTGAAGCCTGTCACCAAACTAACGATACTAGTGGGGCTGCCAGAGATAAGGGAAGTTGGAATAACTATTTCAAATTGGGAAGTCATGGAGAAAGTGAAGTGTATGGTCGCTCCAATTCAGTTCAGTGTGCTAAGAGTTGTAGAGTCTTCACTTGAAAGAATTCAGTTTGAAGCCGAAGTTGATACGAAGTCGCTGTTAAGTAGAACCGTCGCGAAGCTGGATGGTAACTTAATAAAATTGAGTGGCTTAGCAGACGCTCTTAAAGTGCGTTCTTATGAGAAAAAACATAAATATCCTGTAAAACATGACTGGGAAGCTTTCTTTAGGGATGCTATAGAACTGAATGAATGGAAACCCGGCGAAAGACCAGACACTATTCATCTAAAAGGCCTACCATCCAAGTGGTTTAGTGATGAAAAATCTGGAAATAAACCTGTCAAAGAAGTGATTGTTAGTGTGTTTGAGAAATTTGGGAAGATACGGTATTTAGATGTGCCAAGTTTAGATCCATACAGGGCACGAATCACGAAGCAACATCAACCAAACTTTCAGACATTTTGTTTTGGTTCTGAGCTACATTTTGAAGTGTATATTCAATACGAAGATTACCAGGGATTTGTTAATGCTATGAAGGGGTTGAAAGGAATGAAATTGTTGTTGAAATCGGAAGGAAGCAAGTCAGCAATGGCAACAATTTCGTTTGATTTTGATAAAACGTGTCACTTAAGTGAGACAAATATCAGGAAGAGAAATGCAGAAAGAAGACGTCTGATAGAACAAGACAGATTAGAGGAACTCAAGAAGGCACAAGAAAAGAAAGAACAGGAGGAAAGAGAGAAAGAAGAAAGAATTAAGGCAGAAGAACGAGCTGCTGAAATATTAAGACAAATGCAAGAAAACAAGCGTAAGAAAGAAAAAAGGAGGAGAGCCAGGGAAGAAAGACGCAGGCAGAAACGAGAGGAGAAAAGAAGACTAGAAAAAGAACGTGAAGAACGACAAAAACAGATGTTGATGGAAAAAGAACGCATAGAAAAATTACGCAGTAAGCAAGCAAAGAATGTTTTGGGGGAAGTTTTTCAAAGAATTAATGATATAATTGTAGAGGAAAAAGAGACAAAGAGAAAGCGAGAGGAAGAACTTGTTCTCCTAGCTCAAATAAAAGAAAAGAAAGAAAAATTAGAACATGAAATGAGAAAAAAGGAAGATGAAGAAAAAATGAAAAAGAAACAAATGGAAGAAGATGAGCAACATTTACGAGATAAACTGTTGAAAAACCTGCAAGTCATGAAGGAGAGAAAAGCTGAACTTGAAAGAGAAATATTACGAAAACAAGTCCAGGGAAAGATAAAAATGGTGTCAGTTATTAAAATAGACACTTCGTAATTAATTAATGTTTAATGAAGAACATTAATGCTAAATATTAAGATTGTAAAACTTGTATCATGTATTTTCAAAGAGAGGTAATAAATAAGACGTGTGTAGTTTCTAAAATTATTTTTCCTCGGTCATATTTTTCAATGCTGCGCTGTCACATTTTCGTGTGTAAAAATTATTACCGTTTCTGTTCATCTCATTGCAATCACTTTTTTAATTAAATTTCTATGGTTATTGCTAGATCTTCGGAACAAAACACATATATCTATGCTTTCAACTTTAGACTGCGCCCTATCGATGATAATTATTAAATGCCCATTTGAAAGTCTTTGAAAGTATGTTATGTCGAAGAATGATATAGTATTGCAAACATCCCGTAGGTTCTTAATTCCTTGGTTCCATCTCTCGGAGCTCTAAATGTAGATTGTAAGATTTAAGACCAACATGGATGTTAACATACAAACCATGGCCTATATAGTATTCCAAACATAATCCCATAGGTTCTTTTTTGAGTTTCCTCTCCCGGGGTCGAAACGTACCCATGCTTGCACACAAACCATAGCCTAATATGGTAAACATAATCCCATAAGTTCTTTCTTAGTTCCATCTCTTTCTCTTGTCCTGATTTAATTTAATTGAAACGTCTTATTCGGTCACTTGCGGCTTTGAATGTAGTTCGTAAAATATGACTAACCATCGGTCCTCATAATTACGTTGTAAAATAGATATTAGTTATTACTAGTTTAAAAAACGTTGGTTATTTTACTATTTGTAGTATATTTAACAATATTGTAAGTTTGCAACACAAATGCATGTAAATAGAAGAAAATGAAAACATATTACCACAAGTTGCTGCATATATATACAAACTAGCTGAGTGACAAACAAGACCAATATTATATACATTGATACAAAGCATGCATTATTCATATATACCCTTCATTGCAGACAATATCAGTATATAGATTCCTTCTATAGGATCTCTTCCACTAGTCCCTCGCTACCATTACGGCTGTTTAAGAACCATTTTAAATATATACGATCTATGCGTCATTCTTACTATGATCAGATATCAATTAAGTGACGAACATGGGCAGTGGCATTGTAACTTTATTATTTTTCCAAGGTCTCTGCGAGACTTCCAATTATTTAGCATCATCGAGCAGTGCCTATGAAAAGAAAGGCGCCACTTTTCGTTTGTACTGTTTGACCTTGCTGAGTGTTTCGAAGTGCTAGCAGGTATCTTGGGATATCTAATAACGTTGCAGTGTTATTTTCATTGATGTTTCTATAAGGGGCAGCTTGCTTTGGCTATACGCCTTAGCCCTAAAAAAATGTTCAGTGAATTTTTAAGAGAAAAAGATTTTACAGTCATTGCTGTTTCTATAAGGGCAGCTTGCTTTTTGGCTATACGCCTTGGCTCTAAAAATGTCCAGTAAATTTTTCACACCAAAAAATTTATAGTCATTGCTGTTTCTATAAGGACAGCTTGCTTTGGTTATACGGCATTGATTTTAAAATGTTTTTCCGAGAAAAATATTTTTATTTTGTACAATTTCGTTACGTGCGGCATTGAAACTTTGGCTCGGCCCAAAAAATTTGATCTATTCAAGGGCAGCTTGCTCTTGCGGGTTGTGTGTGCACATTTTTAAAGAAAGTTCCTAATTCGTGCTGTTTCTATAAGGGCAGCTTGCTTAGGCTATACATGCCTCCGGGTTTTAAAAAAATGGTTTTGTATTATTTGAGCTAATCTAAAATACAGCTGCACACTCTAACAATTAAAAGAAACTCTAAGGAACACTGCCTATGGTTTGTCATCGAAATACTTTTGGTTTTTGGACGAACATAAAAAATTTCCTGAGCTTATATAGAAGTTGAATTTCGTGTTTTGGGCATTAAGAATAAAACCTTAACTCTTCAAGAGTAAATTGGTTCAACTTCAAGATGGGTAGTCAAATAGGCTTAGAATAAATTTTACATTATCATTTACATACATATTCGTGCATCTACGTACTGCACAAAACAAAACATGTACATTGTTTACTTTGACTGTCTTTGTGTTTGATTGCGGCGTTCGGTGAGGGTTTTCCTCCAGGATCTCCGGTTTCCCTCGTAATCAAAACAGTGTCCGTGTGTTCGGGACCGCGTTTACGGTTGGGTTTCACTTAAAAAATTAAACTTGATACGTCCCGTTTTTAAGCATGTGCGCTATAGAAAGTTAAGAATGTTTCACGCCCAGCAGTAATTCTTACTCGTGACGTAAACGCCCTCAAAAATGCTGACAAATATAAATGCAGTAAATTAATTTAATGGAATCTGACTGTACACACGGTTACTGGGTTAAATTCCTGGTACACTGTTATTCCGGTAACCAATAAAAAATTCGATTTTAACCGAACTTCATTTGAATGAAAAATAATGAATGAAAAATATCTTTTAAAAAGGTACTCTAAGATACTCTAAGTCAGCTTAAGTAAAAACCAAAACACACAGTTTACAGATATGGTGGTCGAGTATACGTATTGTTTGTTGTGAATGTGAGTTAGATGCAATACAAGACTTAAATAATTCAAAGATGACCACGCACCAATTCGACTGTATCAACATCCCAAAGGAGCTACTGTTAATATTAATGTTAATAAAAAATTTTTTCCAGTCAAAATTTTTTCTTGTGTCCAAATTTTTTCCTGTCAATTTTTTTTCTCAAAATTTTTTTTTCTTTTGTCAATTTTTTTTCCAGCCAATATTTTTTTTTCTTGGGTCCACATATTTTTCTTGTTTTTTTTTCTTGTGTCCTATTTTTTTCTCCTGTTAATTTTTTTCTTTTTTTTCTTTTGGCCAGAATTGATGAATTTTGAAAATTTTCCAAAAATGTGTTAATATGCTGAAAATGGATTCAAATATTCACTAAGACTAATCTCTTTGTTTTTTGAGCATATTTGGCTTGTTTTTGGAAAATTGGAAAAATTGTCAATTTTGGCCAAAATGGTAACGGGATACCCCGATTTTGGCCAGAATTGACGAATTTTGAAAATTTTCCAAAAATGTGTTAATATGCTGAAAATGGATTCAAATATTCACTAAGACTAAACTCTTTTGTTTTTGAGCATATTTGGCTTGTTTTTGGAATATTGAAAAATTCATCATTTTTGGCATGGTATGTGGCTCACATTACCACTTAGCCAAAATTGACGAATTTTGAAAATTTTTCAAAAATGTGTTAATATGCTGAAAATGGCTTCAAAGTGCAAATATTCACTAAGACTATTATTATAAGCTGAAAATGGCTTCAAACATTCGCTAAGACTATCACTCTTTGGTTTTTCATAATATTTGGTTGGTTTTTTGAACGTTAAAAAATCTTTTTTTTTTGGTTGGTTTTTGGAACATTAAAAAAGTCCTCAACAAAATCAAAACAAGTATCAACAAATAAGGTTGTAAGTGTAGGTTCGAATCCTGCGTGGGAAAGATTCGATTTTTGCCATCGAAATTACTATTTAATTTAAAATTCTTCGAAAAGGATTTGGTCAAATAAACAACCATAGCCTTCGACAAATGATGTTGTGGCAATGCAAAAAAAAAAATAAAATTGAAATTGAAAAATTTCGGTGTGATTTGGAAGCTTTAAAACAGTTAAAAGACTCCTCGGCCTTTAGGATCGTATGTTGATACCAACCTTACAGTATATATACATGTTATTTCGGTGGCCCAGTGGTTAAGGCTACGGGCTACCAGCCTTGTAAGCGTAGGTTCGAATCCTGCATGGGAAAGGTTCGATTTTTCCACCCGAAACTACTATTTAATTTAAAATTCGTCGAAAAGGATTTAGTCAAATAAAGAACAATAGCTTTCGACAAATGATGTGGTGGTCTAGTGGTTAAGGCATTCGTCTCTCAACACGGGGACTGACGTTTCAACTCCTGGCAGTGCAAAAAAAATTAGCCTGAAAAATTTCGGTGTGATTTTGGAAACCTTAAGGCAGTTAAAACTCCTCGGACGTTCGGGAAAGACTATAAGTTGAAAAAAATTTGAAACGAAAAAACAGAAAAAAAATTCTCGCGTTCGAATGTACTTGAAAGTTGAAAAAAAAGATTTTAAAGTCAAAAGATTTTAAAAACATGTGTCTTCTGAAAAGACTGAAAATTAAAAGTCGGAAAAAAAATTTAAAAAAATCCCGCTTTTCAAAAACTCATATGTTTACTTTAACTTAATTTTTTTTCACGAAAATTTGACAGGGTGATTTTCTCGAGAGTGAAAAAATTTAATTTTTTTCATTTTTTTGAAATTCTCTTAGATTTTTTTTCGACGCGAAAGTATTTTGTCTTGGGCTACCTGTGTCTGTCTTGGGCTACCTGTGTCTGGCTTGACACAGTAGCCCAAGACAAAATACTTTCGCGTCGAAAAAAAAATCTAAGAGAATTTCAAAAAAGTGAAAAAAATTAAATTTTTTCAGTCTCGAGAAAATCACCCTGTCAAATTTTCGTGAAAAAAAATTAAGGTAAGTAAACATGAGTTTTTTAAAAGCGGGAAATTTTTAAATTTTTTTCTGACCTTTTAAATATTCAGTCTTTTTAGAAGACACACGTTTTTAAAACTTTTTTAATTGTGCTTTTCTTTCAATTTTCAAGTACTTTTGAACGCGAGAATTTGTTTTCAGCTTTTTTTATTTCAATTTTTTTTCAATTTACAGTCTTTCGCAAAGGCCGAGAAGTCTTTTAACGGTTTTAAAGCTTCCAAATCACACCGAAATTTTTCAGGCTAATTTTTTTTGCACTGCCAGGAGTTGAAACGTCAGTCCCCGTGTTGAGAGACGAATGCCTTAACCACTAGACCACCACATCATTTGTCGAAAGCTATTGTTCTTTATTTGACTAAATCCTTTTCGACGAATTTTAAATTAAATAGTAGTTTCGGGTGGAAAAATCGAACCTTTCCCATGCAGGATTCGAACCTACGCTTACAAGGCTGGTAGCCCGTAGCCTTAACCACTGGGCCACCGAAATAACATGTATATATACTGTAAGGTTGGTATCAACATACGATCCTAAAGGCCGAGGAGTCTTTTAACTGTTTTAAAGCTTCCAAATCACACCG